GGATGGGGCTACTACAATCATGCATTTCTCCACCAATAGCTTTGACCCTTCCAAGTCCCGTCCACTTGGTTTTAAGTTACACGAACAACCATTCTGCATTTTGACTCATATGAGTGAGGCTATCGACAATGAACAAAGACCACTCTTCATATAGCATCATGCTTACAGCATAGTTAAAACATAAAGACAGCCATATCTCAAGATTTCACAATGAAACGTGGGGTTTTGAATAGAGCAATGGGCTCGGCTTGGCCAACAGCACCTTGTGTGAAAGTTTCACGTTCAATGTCGCAACTAGCCCAAAAAATATTTTTTGGATCGTCGTCGTCGAAGAGGTCGACCCCCAGATCCAGTTTGGCTGGTGGCGACATTGCGAAATCTGGGATTAGCCACGATGAACTTGAAACTTGCACCCAAGGTGCAGTTGCCCAAGCCGAGCCCATTGCTGTAATAAAAACCCCGCGTTTCATTGTAAAGTTTGGAGATACAGGCACCTTTATGTTTGTAAGCGTGATGCTATATGAGAAGTGCTCTTCGTTTAATGTAAAGTAGCTAGACCCTGACAGAGCAAAAGATGCAGAGGGTCGTGTTGTGTAACACAACTACGTTTGCATGAATGAAAGGGTCAATGTATAATTACTTTATGGATCATCTAGGAACAGGCATGTATTGCTAGCTAACGACCACTTTTATCCAATCATCATTGTTGCGAGATCCACTGCATGGGAACAATGCTCCTGCTCTAGACATTCATTTCCATGATTAAAGTAGGTTGATCCGAGCTGATTTGACTGAGCTGCGGTCAAAGAGAGATTACATCACTCTGGACATAAAGCACGCTCGATGTAGCTCAACCGATGTAATCTTGTGTGAGCGTAACTCAACCAAATCCGCTCGGATCAACCTACTTTAATCATGGAAATGAATGTCTGGAGCAGGAGAATCGTCCACCTACAATAGAATGCACAAAAGTTGGGAATGCACAAAAGTGGCTATTAGCTGCCAATGTATGACATAAAAGTGAGGGTTGCGTACCTGTCATGCATTGTCCCTGAAGTCCTGACTTTTTAGCTGAGTTATCCAAAGAGGTCCTTCTGCATCTTTGGCTCTGCAGGGTCTAGCTACTTGGCAATGAACAAAGACCACTTCTCATATAGCATCACGCTTACAAACATAAAGATGCATGTATCTCCAAACTTTACAATGAAACGTGGGGTTTTTATTAGAGCAATGTGCTCGGCTTGGCCAACTGCACCTTGTGTGAAAGTTTCAAGTTCATCGTGGCTAATCCCAGATTTCGCAATGTCGCTACCAGCCAAACTGGATCCGGGGCTCAACCTCTTTCGACGACGACCAAAAAAATATTTTTTGGGCTGTTTGCGACATTGAACGCGAAACTTTCACACAAGGTGCTGTTGGCCAAGCCGAGCCCATTGCTCTATTAAAAACCGCATGTTTCATTGTAGGATCTTGAGATATGGGCGTCTTTATGTTTTCATTATGCTGTAAGCGTGATGCTATATGAAGAGTGGTCTTTGTTCATTGTCAAGTAGCTGGACCCTGGCAGAGCAAAAGACGCAGAGGGACCTCTTTGTGTAACTCAGCTACTTTGCATGACTAGAAGGATGGAAGGATGATACTGTATACTATTGACAATATCCCATACATTGCGAGCTAACAGCCATTTCCTCACAATCGGCAATGTTGCCCATTCTATGACAGTGGAACGATGCTCCTGCTTCAGACATTCATTTCCATGATTGGATTATGTTGATCCGAGTTGATTTGGCTGAGCTACGCTCATACAAGGTTACTTCAGTTGAGCAACATAGAGCATGGTTAGATGTGTGGATTGATGTAATCCCTCTTTGGCTGTATCTCGGTCAAATCAACTCGGATCAACATAATCCAATCATGGAAATGAATGTCTGGAGTAGGAGTATTGTCCACATGTCATAGAATAGACAACAGTGCTGATTGAGAGGAATTGGCTGTTAGCTGGCAATAAATGTATTATTGAATAATGCATAAAGTAATCATACGTTGACCCTTCCAATCCTGCAAAACAGCTGTGTTACACAAAGAGGTCCCTCTGCATCTTTTGCTCTGCCAGGGTACACCTACTTGATAATGAACAAAGACCACTTCTCATATAGCATCACGCTTACAAACATAAAGGTGCCTGTATCTCCGAACTTTACAATGAAACGTGGGGTTTTTATTAGAGCAATGGGCTCGGCTTGGCCAACAGCACCTTGTGTGAAAGTTTCGCGTTCAATGTCGCAAACAGCCCAAAAAATATTTTTTTGGTCGTCGTCGAAAGAGGTTGAGCCCCGGATCCAGTTTGGCTGGTAGCGACATTGCGAAATCTGGGATTGCCCACGATGAACTTCATACTTTGACACAAGATTCCTTTGACCCCGACAAGCACGTTGATCTACTAAAGAGCCCACGTTTGATTGTAAAGTTTGGAGATACAGGTACCTTTATGTTTTACATATGCTGTAAGGGTGATGCTATATGAGAAGTGGTCTTTGTTTAATGTAAAGTAGTATGACTATAACAGAGCAAAAGATGCAGAGGGCGTGTTTGTGTAACTTGAGTCATTCAGCACAGGCGATGCATGATTCTTGTACACTATTTAGGAATAGTTCAAAATGCCAGCTAATAACCTAGTCCTCCCCATTCTCCATTGTTGCCCAAGCCAGTGCATACGAACGATTGTCTTGCTCCAGCCCAGCATGCCCATCATTTAACTTTCATGATTCGAGCTAACCTGGTACTAAGGTAATGGCTGTTGTTGGATCATCATTATCATGTAAAGTGTAAAATGGCACACACCCTTTTGCTATACGTGAGGATCATTTCTTTTATTTACGTGTACCTATTGTCTATCGTGAGGGTGATGATCATGATGGGTGGATGGTGTGTATAGGGTAATTGATGAGTGGCCTCAGTGTAATAGCAGTAGGGGATTTAAACTTGGGGGACAGCAGCTCCACGACTTGAGACAACGCTTCTCTTCTTTTTCTCCCACCTTTCCTTATTCCATTCACGGCATCTCGATCAAGGTAATGTATTATAAAAAAGTGCTCTTGTTGGCTGTGAGGTGTTAATGTAGTTCTGAACATGCATTGTCAGGGAGAGTGAGTGTGTCTAAGTGCTGAGGAATGAGCGTGGTTGGTGGTTGCCATGGCGATATTGTTGCTTCCTTTTACTCGTTGCTATTCCCGCTATACGCTTGGTGTCAACAGGCACATTCAGAGTCCAATGTTGCAGCCGAATTGGTTCCATTGACGCGTCAGCTTGTATAGAGGGCAAGTTTGGTTTCAAGACGTTGGCTGGTTTGGCGTTTTGTTTTGGCTCAACTATACTACACCATGGTTTTCGGTTTCCAGTAACCAACAACAAAGGGGTTTTTATGTCTATGGAAAAGGCAAGTACAATGAAACAAACAATGGAAAGGGTGTTTATTGTGCGTGTGTGCTAATAATGAATTGAATAGGTTTCTTTGATCAGGCAATGCAACTTGGGGCATCATCATCATCTCTTTGGGTTCGAGTCCCAGCCTGTATCAAGAGGTCCCTGCGTCGCTCTGCACTAGCCAAGTGTGCTGGAAAAGCTTCTTGGAACGCGTCCAGAGCTCTATAGGCCTGCATTGAGTTGAGGATGGGTCGACGACGATGGATTTTTGGAAGAGCATGGTCACCGTGTTGAGGTAAAAGGGGATTTGCAACAGCTTGACATCAGTGCAAACCAACACGCTCTTCTTGTGGTAGGCTCGTTCTTTCCCTTGAGGATTTCTTTTCATGAGGTGGGAAATGATTGGTAGGATTGGGGATCATTCTTTCTTTGGAGAGGATGAATGAGAACAACTGTATGAGCCTGGACTCTACGTAAGTGATGTCCTTCCTTGTCATGGATCGAACTGGCCTTGCGTGATTCGTGCAGTGCTTTCTCAAGAACAAGGGATCGGCCGACGTTGCTCGTATGGTAGTGATTTGGTTTGTGAATTCCTTCTGATTTGCTTTCTTCCTTTGAGAGGATCGCCTAACGGTATACCAAATCGTCATCATTCCCGGCATCTTATGGTCTAACTTGGTTGGTTTTTATTTATAGAGACGACGATTACGATGATTACAACATGATGATGATCACGACTACGAGATCCACGACAATGACGATAACCACAACGGCACAAACATGCATGGATTTTGATATTGTGGCGACGAGGATCTTGACAACTGTTGCCGAGTACATACGAGTACGAAGACGAGCATAAATGAGGATGGACGACGAAGATGAGGATGGTAGCAAAGTAGCAAGATGGGATAGAGCATTGTTTATTTAGTACGCACTTGGACCTTGCTAGCTTGTGGATTACATAGGATTGCTTCGAAGATGAGATAATAAAGGTGGTTCGGTTATCGGTCACGCAAGTATATGGCTTTTGTGATACAATAAGGAGTTGGATGACTTGAGAAGAGAAAAAATGAAGTGATCCCTGCGTTGAGTTTCAGGACGAGTGACCGATCATTGAATTGATTACTGGGTTTACATATACAAGTTGGTTTATGCAGCTCGACCCCCTCCTATATCCATATGTGATATGGAACCATGAATGCCACGCACATACCTTGACACACCTTTCATTATTGGATGTTGGTTACTTACGTACCATGCTAAGGCAATCATCATCATCATCATCATCATCATCATCCATTTGTGCAACAACCTGCCAAGGACGTGTTATGTCTGCTACACTTTTGGCGGTCAACAAGAGCTGTGGATAAAGATACCATCGATGCTGTTTGTTACACATAGATGATATCAGTTGATCCCATAAGATGAGTGGTTATCATCATCCCTTTGTACAAGTAAATCCATGATGTAAACCATGATTTCTTTTATTTATCTATTATTTACATGTCATTTGTGAAGACTTTTGAGTATACATGCCTGGTAGGGCATAAATGGTGGAGGGTTGTGTAACAGGCTATTTAATCAAAGATGGGCAAATCGATACCATAGGCAGGCTCCATGGTGTCATTGAAGCGGAGACCAGCATTAAGAGTAGCGATAGCCTTGAGATCCTCCTCATCAAGCGACCAACCAAAGACACCAAGGTTAGCAGCCATACGACCAGCGTTGAGAGACTTGGGAATGACAACAATGTCACGTTGAGTGGACCAACGAAGCAACACTTGACCAGGGGTCTTATCGTGCTTGGCAGCAATAGATTTGATGGTTTCGTTATCGAACAAGGTAGGAGTGTTCTTGCCAGTGGCAGTCATCTCATTGTAAGAGATAGGGCCAAACGAAGAGTAAGCCATGATGTGGATACCTTGCTTCTTAACCCAGTCAACAAGACGAGGTTGTTGGAGGTAAGGGTGATGCTCAACTATTGTACAGCGAAACATTCAATCAGCTTACAATGTTCTCCCACTCCAAAAATGTATCACTTACTCTGAAGAACAGAAGGCTTGATGCGGCAATAGGTCAACATGTCCAAGATGGTTTGAACGTTGAAGTTGGAGATACCAATGTTACGAGCAAGACCATCATCAACAAGCTTTTCAATCTCACGCCAGGTGTCTTGGATGGGAGAACGCTCATACTCAAACTTCTCCTTACCAGGCTTGATCCAACCAGGTGGGGGATAAGCTTCAGCAATGGGAGTAAACTCACAAGGAACAGGGAAATGGATCAAATACAAATCAAAGTAGGTCAAGCCGAGATCCTTGAGTTGACGCTCAACAGCAGGGCGAACATTGTTCTTGCCATGGTAAGTGTTCCAGAGCTTGGTGACAACTAAAATACGCGTAATTTAATATCAGCATATGCTTTTTGGCTTTATCTTCCTTCCTCAATTTCCAATAACTTACAGAAAAGATCTTCACGCTTGACGATTCCTTCATCAATGGCACGCTTGATACCTTGGCCAACTTCAACTTCGTTGCCATAGATTTGAGCACTGTCAATCATACGGTAACCGGTCTTGATGGCTTGATAGATGGTATCAGCGCAAGTAGCCGAATCAATCTTCCAACAGCCGAAGCTACAAGACACCATTTAGTAAGAGTTCATGGATTTGGGAGGAGCTGATAACCACTTACCCAACGAGAGGCATCTTGTCATTGGTGCGATCCAAAGTGATATAATCTTGCGAGGCCATTGTTTGGTATAGAATTTGAGCGAAAAAGACGATGGAAAAAAGGGCAAGGTCGACCTCAACACGCTTTATATCTTGGTATTTGCTTCCCGCATTCTCCGCAGTGCATCATGTCCATCCCGCTTCTCCCGCTTAATTGTCGTCATCGCTGGTCTTATCATCGAACTAAACAGAAAGTCGGAAGAGGAACAATTTTAGAGTTGGTGCTAAGAGACGTTCTGTTTCACCCCATTGCCCACACACAAGATGCACCTGTCATTCCACAAATGGTAATCTCTCCGCAACTTGTCATGTCGGCATCTGTGCACTTGTTTGCTAACATAATCAATCTTCCTCCCTTTGCCCGGAGAAATGCTTCATTTGGACAAGCTGAAATGTTTAGTTTCTGTCAAGATTGATGTATCACTCATTGCGCAGCAAAACGATATTATTGCTGAAAAACATCAATATGGCGCTGTTCTCCATTTACGACATCCATAGTAAACCCCACATTATACCCTCCCATTCCAATCAAATGAAACATGAGGTCTTTTTTAGATCAACGTGATCATCATGCCCAAAAGCACATTGTATGCATGTTTCAGGTTCGAAGAGGGGCAATCTCAATATCAAGGATTGATGTACAGTGTACATGGATTTATACAAGAGGTGTTCGACCTATTTGATTACCACTTCTTCTACTCACCGCTTCTTCCCTCTTCCTCCCATTCTCAACTGTTGGCCCCATTCATGTACAACTACCATCTGCGAACGATTGTCCTGCTTCAACCCATCATGTCAATCCTACAACTCTCTTGATCCGATTGTCTATGGCTGAATGGCAAGTTCATGACGTGTACAGCCCATTACGACACGCGCGTCTCTTCACACTACGCCTTCTCTTGTACGCTCCTCGACCACCATCAAACGTAACAGCATTCATTCCGGGCTTTGCTATTAGCCATGTCTTTACTCCATTGTCTCAAACAGCGTTCACAACCTTGCCACACTACTACAACCCACGCTCTTCCTCATTACCACGACCAAGCATACCAGCAGTTGCTATTAGCAACGGTCTTTATTGTCTCAAGCAGTTCTATTCACTTCAGCATCCTTTACAGTCTTTTATACGTGGGCAGCAGATGCCATTGTAGAAGCAGCTTTATCGCGTACAGCAACTTGCTTTAATACACACGAATTGTGGATGATGCCATATCAGCTATCAAGTACACTACTTCACCTGGTTGAGCACCGATGGAAAGTGATCAAGAAAGGGATAGACCAACAGCTGGATGGAAAGGGAAGCATAGCAGCATCGATCACATGGCTCTTTTTCAACCAACGTATGGAATTTGCAATGGTGATGATGGATGGATGCAACCAAGTGCAGCGATAGGGAAAGATGGAATGTCTCTTTGGTTACTTGTCGCCTTGTCAGCAGGAACGATGGATCATGTCACGTGGATACGGCTGAGGATTGGATGGAATTGGTTGGGAATTGTCGAGAGACCCTTTATCTTTACGAGGGATGGTTGTTCACCATGGATGGTACTGGAGTACTCGATTCAATGCATGCAGCAGCTATTTTGCAATCATGGGATGAAGGATGATTATGAATGCAGCAACCAAGGATACACATTGACTCTATGCAATCCACCCATATCTTATTGGTTTTGCAATACTGTTCCTTTGTCACATTTACTTGATAAACATCCATACTACCATGTACTATTCTTCGACTTTTTCATTGAATGAAATTGGATTCAACGTAATATTTGGGATATCATACTATCAGCTCGTATGAGCAAGGTGTGGATCACTTGGTTGGTTTCTGGATTGGAAGGGGGAATAAACATTTGAACAAGACGTAAGGATATAACGTTGGCGTGATAGACGCAACAATCCATGACGACTATAGCGTTGCTACCTACACCTCAACCTTGAACGTGATTGACAACATTAAAACCTTATTCATATACTCTTTCTGGTGAAGTGCCCATGTTTATTTCCGGCAAACCTGGTTTCTCAATTCAGGATATTCACTACTTGCAGCGAATGCATACCAGCGACTTGTTGCCATATACCCTTCGCCTCTCGACCATTGTCATCCATCCTCATTGTTCGTCCTCTTCTAGGATCCAAAGAAGAATGTTACATCCATTGGTATAGAAATTGTTGTTGGAGGAGGAAAGTCATTACTAAACCAGCGCTTTACTTCGCCCCATGGTGATTGAGTCGTTCAAGGGTATTAGTTTACGTTAGGAGATTTGGAGGCCTAGCGAGAGCATTCTCCATGAACATAGATAGATTAATAAAGTTGTTTGTTGATTCATTATCGTGCACAATTAGCATTTTGAGACACAATGAACTTCATTGAGGACCTCTTTGTCACACCGCTAGGCACATCTTATATTAAACTGATAGCTTGTTGATGAAGTAAGCGGGGTGGTTAGCGTAAGCAATAGCAAGTTGCAACAAAGACTTCATGAACATGGAATAAAAAAGGGACAAGGGACCAAGGTCTTCCATCGTTTTCTTAGTTGCTGCATGATGAGCCATGGGATTAATGACATTTGTGATGGATGGGGGCATACAGATGACAGGGCAATGTTGATATGAGCATATTTGTGAAACTTCCCACGGGGGAATATCTACATCAGCAGCAGCAACAACCACCATGAGCAAAGCTTGGTAAGCGAAGGGGAAAAAAAGAGAGAGAGGCAAGCACGCAATTAAGGCACATGGGAGATTTATGCAAAAAGACAAGTCAAAGCAATCTCCGTTGTGCGCACGAACCCCACACACACACACCACACATACAAGCATCTCATATCGCGCGCAACAAAAACCCCCATTTTTTCCTTTGATGAGTCTCCTTTCCGATGATGATGTCTGTTCCGCCAAAGGAGAAGTGGAATCGAGCATTCTTGGAATCCATTTCTTACTGCTACTAGTTCTCTCATCTTCGATTGTGCACATCATCTCCCTCCCCCTTGGCAACTAATAGCCCCCCTTTCCCGCGGCGCCCACTCTATATCGGTAAATCGTGTGCTGCAAAATGATACATCTAACATCATTATGCACATTACAATTTCATCCGCGGATGGCCACTTGTCATCACCTTCATGTGGAAGAGTAGCCTGTTGTTATCATTATTACATGCAGCCCCATCATGCAAATGCACTAGGATCAAGACACGCATGCGTAAAACAGCATTTCATTTTGCATAATGATACGCGTACATGTGGCTGAAACAATTGATTCGTCCGGCTGTGTTGTGTCTACGTATGCGTAATCGCGATCAAAGGTAACAACGTATACTACGTTAGTTGTTGTAGTGGTGGTGTATAGTGTTTTATCGTTGTCTTCCCCTTTACTGCTATCCCCAACGCACGAGGTGACACAACCATTCTGCAACCCTTTTTGACTTCAGGGCAAGTGATAAACAACTTTAGGTTATTGGTAATACAAAAACAGCAATGTGAAGGGAGAGAAGGATGTTGTTTGTTGTACCTATCGTACCTTTGCGTTGGGCGCGCCCTTTTCGGATACGCCCTCATTTGGAACAAATGAACAGCAAGGGTCTAATGTTGTTGTTGTTGTTGTATGCTGTCTTATTGTGTCACAAGCATGTACATCCTCCACTTTGACTATTGGATGCGCTATGCTGATCCTTTGGCGTTGCTTGGAAATAACATTCAAGGTGGGTACATATTCGTGGTGCTCCAACATCGAGTTGCGATCGAGAATTGACTTTACAGTTTGCATAAAGTGTCACGCCCAGCAACAAAGATCATCGTTTCAAACACCATCAAACGACGACAACAATAATAGAGCATATAAACATTGCCTGACATTGATGGCATCAGCACCACTAGTACTACTGTTACAATAGATGCATCCAAATACTGTCAAAGGCTTGTGTATTAGGTGGAATGGACATGCGACAAGCTGCCAAATTAAGGCCTTGTGCCGATGCCATATCCGTACATGTGCTCTGTGCTTTTTTGCTTGTCCTCGCTCTATACGCATGGACTCATTGATGTCCGAGTTTCTGGCATCATCGTTTCAAGACATGTTTTCCACTCCGCCTTGTGGTATTTGTTTCCACCAAGAATGCAATCAAACCAAAAGAGCTTGGCACGTCCGGTTCACACTATATTGGCTATTCTCCTCACTCCTTTGTAAAGTCCCTTGGAGAGATGTACTAATACCTGATATGATGAGATGAGGGAGGATTATTATATCAAGAGGGCGCGGTAGATTCGGTTAATGTGGAAGGAAGGGGATAAGAGTTTAAAAAAGCAATGTGGGCGTGATACTAACCGAACCAAAAAAGAACCCAATATCGATCTGCAGCCTCACTCGCTATGTAAATGTCTTTTTGTCATGATTGACTTCTGCTGTATGTGCGTGCGTGTGCTTCCAAATCCATCTCATTGCCATCTAGGCTTTTGCTAAAAAGGGATCAATTATTACTTGTGCCCATCACAGACCACAACACCCAAAAGAACAACAACAAGCAGGGGGTCAAGGGGTTGTATATGCTTTTCAGGGCAAGTAAAAAGTAGACAATACCAACCACAAGAGAGAGAAGAGAAAACTTGTTCTCCCTACTTTTTTTCGCGCGCGCTCTAATGGTGCCGGTATGTGTCGTTGAAGATAGTACGCGCATTACCAACACGGCTGCATCAATCTTTTCGACCGATTTCCATAACGCATCAACGTGTTGCTCTTCTCCCTTCATCCATTTGCTGCGCGTCTGTGATGTGCTTTGGTTCCAATTGTGATTCATCCGCAGCGGCTTGCCACTTCCACCGCTTGTATCCTATACTTTGGATCCATGCTAAGGGAACATTCTCATACGTTTCAATGTGCGGGTTTCAAGTGCCTGTTTTACAGTTAAACACACTAAGATGGAAAAGGTAGAGTCCGAAAAAGTTAAACATTGCATGTATGCATTGGGCACGGTAGTGGTAATTCTTGACACAGACCACCAGTGACAATTATGGCAACTGCAAGTATTCCACCACCTCCTTACCCATTCTTTTTATCCCATGGTTCACCATTCTGAGCGTGCTGCTGAGCCTTGTATGTGCACTATACATAGAGAGTGAAAGCAGCAGCACATTCTCCTTTCAGGCGTAGTGGATGATAATGCGTTGGCTGGCGCGCCATCCTCCTTAGTTGAAAGTGGTGATCATGTAACATTTAATGTCATGTATAAAGCAAACCTATCATTGCTGATAACAGCAAGGTTAGCTTGTTTGGGCGTTGATCAGCAACCTTTTTTTCCCTTTGACTTTTTTTTTGTGCTCCTGGTAGTAGTAGCAAGAATCCACCCCCGAGGCATTATCATCAATCCCCTTCCTCCATGCTTTGTGAAAGAGTCCCCCAAAAGCGACAACACCCTTGATCTGCCAAAAGAGGCAGTTCCTCAATCTTTTCCACCCCTTGTTACTGTGCTGTCTTTGTTGGCTTGGGCATCTATAAAAAGACAGCGGTTTTTTGTTCAATCTTCTTTCCCATCCTCATTCAACATCACCCATTCTTCATTATCACCATCACCACTTGTACCTTTTATTGTTCCTTTCTTTTCCTCATCACTCACTCACCCACTCACCCACCCACTTACAATTACTACTACTACCATGGTTCATTCTTCCCAAAATACTTGCTTCCCTCTCGGCACACGCATCAGCAATTACGAAATTGTTAATGTCTTAGGTGAAGGTGCCTATGGTCGAGTATACCTTGCAAAGCAAATTGACAGCAAGACATTGGCACCCAAACTTTATGCAATCAAGTCTCTTCGACAAGCCAAGTTGGATGATCGACAACGCGCATTTCAGCGCACGGAGATTGGATTGCATGCACGGTTGTCGTCAACAGCAAATGATCAACATATTATTCGACTCGAACGTGTGGTGCGTGAACCTGGTTGGGTGCATATGGTTATGGAATATGGTCCAGAAGGCGATTTGTTCTCGGCCATTACAGAACGAGATCTTTACGTTGGCAACCATCAGCTTATTCGACATGTCTTTTTGCAACTTATTGACGCTGTTCGCCATTGTCATCGCCATAACGTATATCATCGTGATCTCAAACCTGAAAACATTCTCGTCTTTGATCGAGGCAGAAGCGTCAAGCTTGCTGATTTTGGTTTGGCTACGACTCAAGCTGTTTCCAATGAATACGGCTGTGGCAGTACATTTTATTTTTCACCAGGTAAGAAAAAAAAAAGTTGACTATGTATGGATGAACAAAGATACTAAGATTAGATCTTGCATTATATAGAATGCCAAGGAGATCTTCGGAAAAAGAAGCATCGTGTCGGCTATGCAACGGCACCTAATGATGTATGGTCATTGGGGGTGATATTGATCAACCTAACAACCGGCCGTAACCCATGGAGACAAGCATCGTTGACCGATGAGACATTTTGTGCCTACTTGAGTGATCCTGATTTCTTGCTACAAATCCTTCCCATCTCCCGTGAGCTCAATCAAATCCTCAAGCGTGTCTTTTGTGTTGATCCATTGCGTCGTATTTCGCTTGATGAGCTGTATGAACGCATTAAACGATGCAAGCATTTCACTCGCACGCCTCATGTCGAGAGACTCGAAATGCAACAAGATCTAGCACGTGATTTGTTGCCACCATCGCCACCTGCTACACCACGTCGTTCCCAATCATCATGGATCTCTCATCAATCGTCATCAGCAGTAGCAGCAGCAGTAGTCGATACCCCAACATGTCAGGATCATCACCACCAATTGGATTCACTCGTACCTGACATGGTGGCATTGAGTGTATAAACATTTGCTCACCTGATTGATTGCTCAACGATACCACGCATACACCCATCCATACCCGTTCCCTGGCAACACATTCATTTCTTGATTATATACCCCGCACTCTTTCTTCTCCTAGGTCGACAATGTTTCTTATGCTTTTATTTGGATTCGCCCTGTAAGTTTGTATATCCTCCCAACCCACAACCCCTTTTTCTCTTTCTCTGGCATCCTTGGTACAAAACAATCTTCTTTCTTCTTCATCCCTATGTATATGTCAGCACCTGCGGATACCCCATCCATTATTTCACATAGCCGTGACCCATCCACATATGTATATCTTGCCTCTTCATGTTACTTTTTTTTGCTTTTCTGTTGTTTCTCTTTCTCTCTCTGTGTATAGTTGTTTCCTATCATCATCCATTCATCCATATCATAATGCAGTAAAAAAAAAGGCTGTGATCATTTTCCTGTTTTCAAAGTCGTCATGTTGTATATTTCAATTCATGTGATGGGGGAAAAAAAGGAGTTGACAATGACATGTTGTTCAAAACGATAACGTAGATGAATGTGTAGTATGCATTTGCAAGGTGTATTGGTGAAGTTGTAATATGGCGTGTTGCATTAACGTCGCTGCTTCTTCTCCTATACACACAAAGGATCAGAAAAGTGACATCTTCATGACCCACAAAATAACACTTACGGGAACACCAAAGCGCTCAGCACGCTTGCGCTTCTTTTCTTCTTCAGCTTCCTTGGTGGGGATTCCAAATCTCTCAGCACGTCGCTTGAGCACCTCTGGGTCAATACCCTGTATCATGACATACGATATCAGTATCCATATACCTATCACCTCATCCATGGGATCATTCTTACCGATGATGTCGTCGTCTTTTTACCCGATCCAAAGCGCTCAGCACGCATTTGCTGCTTGGTCTTTTCATCCAATGGTACATTGAAGCGTTTGGCACGTTCAATCTTCTTTTCAATATCATCGTTCTTTGATGCGGCTGCTGTAGTTGCTTTGGGCAAAGGCTTTGGACTGGTGCTGGTAGTCGTAGCAGCGGGCTTCTTGCCAAAGGTGATAGGTGTGTACTTGAAGCTGCTACCAGGCTTGACGACTTCTTTGGGAGGTTCATCCTTGGCCTCTTGCTCAGTCGTAGTAGGAGTAGCTGTAGTCGTTGCGGTGGTGGTTGATTGTTCAGTGGCCGGCTTATCATTGGATGTAGTAGCATCGGCTTTGGATGTAGATGAAGCACCAGCAGCAGCACCAGCAGTATCCTTCTCTTCGGCTTTGGTGGGCTCTTCTTTGGGTTTCTCGGCAACTTCAGGCTTGTCGTTCAATGACTTTAGGTCAGGATCAAGTGAACTAAGATGATATTAGTATCTCATATTAGACGCCGTCCACAATACTTACTCTAGATCAAGCTTCGATTCCTCGAATTCCTCAAGACCAGCGAGATCGTCAAGTGACTCCAAAGCCTTGCTTTCATCATGCTTGACAAGGCGATCGATGAGCTCTTCTTTTTTGCCGGAGACAGGAAGACCGTTCTTTTGCAAGATCTCTGTTACAATGTATGAGACGCATTGAATACAAAGCTAGATAACACGTGTAGAATGGGAAGAGGAAATGAATAAACACACACACACATACCTTGGAGTTCTTTGACTTTGAGTGTTTTGTACTTTTCTGACATTGCTCACAGTTAACCCACGAACGCGGTGGTGCGGTCTAGTGTCCTCTCTTCAACTCCTCCTCCTCCTCCTCAGTGTGTCGAAAGATGGAGTGTAACCACGTCACTTGAGCAACCAATTGTAAAACAAAATGCCATCATCCCTTTCGTTTTCACCTCTACATGTCTCCAAATCATCACGCGTATCCATGGCTACCGATAGCTGCTATCCATATTCATCACGTTTCTATCGCTGGTGTACCAGATCTAAAAAGATCCCATCTATACATGTACAATACCACCATCATTCATGAACACTACTAATACCAAACGGTAATATTGTCAACGTAAGTCCGTTGCCATGACAAAGTGTCGTTGTATGATGTGGTCTATAGGGCTAACCTTATTGCTATACTGCTGCAGCCAGATGCACCTCCTCCCCCTTTTTCTTTGACAATGAAAATGAAGCTATATATATCACCACAGGCATCATCATGATGGTCTCTCATATTCTTTCTTCATAACAATCAATTTTATCATGTCTGCGTAAGTATCAATGTAGCTCTCCTCATTATGTATATTGCCATGGACAATGACCCATTCTCTTTATAGTGAACAACAAGTTCTCAAGCTTACGACTAGCTCAGATGCTGTGGATCACGCACAATTGGAATCTCTTTTTAATCAACTCAAGCCCATCAGCTCGGAATTTTTGCTTGGTGAATGGAATGGTGGTATCTTCAACGACGCACATCCATCAGGTGAAGCCCTCCGCCAAATCAATTGGGCTGGCAAGACATTTCATTCCATCGAACAAGTACAACCTGTGATCCTGCATGGTGAGAAACCTGGAGAACGTGTTTGGTGTGAAGAATACGGCCTTGCTCGTGTAAGTGTGTATTCCACTAATTCTTTGATGATCATGCTGACAATGCATTATTGATCATTAGATCCGCCAAATCGAATTTCGTGGTGTGGTATCTGCTGCCATGGTATATGATGACAAGCCAATCATTGATTACTTTCGCTTGGTGGATGAGCAAACTGTCATGGGTACAATGGACTTTCGCTCAGAGGCTGTACCTGAAGCTGGCCAATCTGCCGACATGTTTTACTTTTATTTGACTCGTGTTAAGAAGCAAAAGAATGATTAAGCAGTCCTCTCATTTCTTTTACCTTTGGATTCCAAAGTATAATAAACACGATATCATTTCATGCTAGCATCTTGTATGGGCTTTGGGCTGATAGAGTGATCGTATTGGTTGAAATGGGTTATGAAGCGTATGTAGTCCATCTTTGTTGGATGCAACTATGTACCAAGCATATTGGCTAAGATCTGTAGGAGAACTCAAGACCCCGAAGCTAACAGCGAAAAAGTCGTTGTCATGCAAGGCTTCTACAGGTGACATGTGAGGCTTTTTATTTTACCATCATCCTAAACGATCATATGAAAGCGGGGTTCGCATCATCCTTGGAGTCATCAAACATACGTTCAACTAGCTATTCATCATCCACCATTTCTAGCACAATGTTACCCTTCAACCATCATTGCTTTTTGAATTATGCCTAAAACAGGAGTAAAAGCCTGACCGATAAGTTAAATTGAGGAGCACCAATCGTGCCGTGACACTATTAGCTCAGCACCAGTAGCATGCTCATCGATGCATAAACTAACATACATGATTTGATGCCCACTCTGGAGCCTTTTGAGTTCTATCATTTCCCATCCAGATAAATAACATGGTTGTTACGTAGGTAAAGGATAGACTTGCATTTAGTTGAAGCACTTCATCGCTTCTGTGATGAAGAAAAGGAGAAGGGGAAAAGGTAGCAGCAGGAAAACAGATTAAGGAGGGATATTCCTCAGCCAGCACGCAAGATAGATGCCTTTTCTCAGCGAACTCGTTCTCTTTTTCAAATCCATCATTGAATGCCACAACGTTATCATTTTCATTGAAACGGAATAAACTTCTTGATGATCGACATTAATGATTCCTGTGGTGTAACAATATCCAAAGACACGAACGTGTGACAATGTTTCTCGGCAGTAAAAGAGAGAAGAAAGGCTTTTTCATTGTGCTTGAAGGCTTGAATGAAGTCATGGGCGGTGATGATAAAGACAAGCAGCGTGCTCATTCTGTAAAAGATTGTAATAATGAACTAAGCTTCCCCTTCTTGAGGAGATGATCCCTCTTTAGCCAACCATTCACACGCCATTTTCTCTTTTAACCTTGACTTTACAAGCATCATCATCGTTCTTTGTACTACAAGCATGCTCTTTCAACCTTGTTTATTTGCAACCTTCAAGAGGAATGGGAGATAGGAGTGATCTAGTGTGTGTGGGTGTTGAGTGTGCTTCGTGGAAGGAGGGGGGCAATACGCAGTATAAGCGACATTATTCACTCACATCATCTCCCCTTCTTCTTTTTCCCTTTCTCTCTCTCTCTTTTCCTTTCTCTTTGGTCGACGACAACGTTCGTTCCTTCACCACTTCACGTCCTTCAGCTTGACTCGGCACTGGTCTCCTCCAACATTGATCTCATTGGCTCCAACCCATTGAACACCAATACCCGAGCCCTCTTTTTACCTCGACCTCTTGATAAGCTCGCTCCTTCCCGATACTGACATACGACCTACTCAATGGGTGCAATATGCTGCAAAGAAGAAGCAGTTGACTTCAATGAAGAAGGTGGGTGACATTGACATGAACCGTCGATAGCAAACGTATACTAATGGGGGCCGACATAGTTGATTTGTATCATTTCGTGCTGTTACGATCGGTGGGCAAAGGGGCTTTTGGCAAAGTGCGAGTAGTACAGCATAAGGCACACAAGCAGTTGTTTGCGTTGAAATACATCAACAAGGCGAAATGCATTCAAATGCGAGCGGTCGACAATATCATTTCCGAGAGGCGACTTTTGGAACAAATTGATTACACCTTCATTGTCAACTTGAGATACGCCTTTCAAGATGATGAGAACATGTTTATGGTCATTGATCTTATGCTTGGTGGCGACTTGCGTTTTCATCTCGATCGAATGGGCGCATTCCCAGAGGATTATGTACGATTTTACGCTGCTGAAATATCATGCGCCTTGAACTACCTTCATCGAAAGAATATCATTCATCGGTAATAATGCATGCTTATATGGTGGGGATAATGGATTTGGATCTCATTATTAACGCACATCTACATATGACTAGTGATTTGAAACCTGACAACATCCTATTGAATGAAAAAGGCCATGCTCATTTGACCGATTTCAATATCGCAGTACCCTTGATGGATAACAGGCCGTTGTTGTCAATTGCTGGATCTATGGCATACATGGCACCCGAGATTTTAAGAAAACGAGGATACCTTGCATCAGTGGATTGGTGGTCACTAGGAGTTGTATGCTATGAACTACTTGTTGGCACTGTAAGTGTACATGCAACAGCCAGGTCAAGGGATGATATCAAGATTGTTAAACTTTATCCATAGCGACCTTTCCGTGGCAAAACCAACGAGACGCTCCAACAATCCATTATGAATGAACCAGTCACCTTCCCAGAGGATATTCCTATATCAGAAGAGGCCAAGGATTTCGTGCTTGGACTATTGAATCGTGATGTGAGCCAACGTCTCGGCTTCAATGAACAAGGATTCAAGCGACTACAAGGACATGCCTGGTTCAAGGATTACAATTGGGATGCTGTTGAGAGCAAGCAACTTGAACCGCCGTTTAAACCTGATGTAAGTAGGAGAAATCAAGGGGGGGAGCCATATATGAAGAAGAATGTAGGCTGACAAGTTATATTGGGAAAACAGGACAAGCGTGCCAACTTTGATCCAACGCACGAGCTTGAGGAGATCTTGTTAGAAGATAACCCCCTGAAAGCACGGAAGCGAGCAGCTAAACGTAGCGGATCCAATCAGCATATTGATTCCAAGACTCAGGCGAGTGGCCTTTCAGACATCAGCCCTGAACAACAAAAGATGGAAGAAAAGTTCACCGTATTTGATTATACCAAGCCTCAATCAAGGGCTACTCGGCAATCCAAGCTAGGCACAAGCACCAAACACAGCATCTCTCAGCACCAGCACATGAGTGAGAAATGTGAAACGGATCCCCACCAGCACCACGTGATTGAACCCTCCAGCCCACCATGGTCTGAAGATGATAGCCATATCCTTCCTGATAATGGTGATCAACCTTTGATGACAGCGAAAAGAACACCACCACCCATTGCCGCCCCATCCTCTTAGTCATTCGTTCTCATTATTGCCCATCATCCTTCTTCCCTCCTGCATCGTAATATTATTGTGTATGTGTGTGTGTGTGTGTGTGCGTGCGCGTGTAGCCCTTTTTCATTCTTGCATCAGATAATTGTCGTACAATAATAATAGCAACTTTTATATTCTACTATTTGTCAAGTGATGGAGGTCTTCTTCTAATCACCCGACATTGAGAGCGGGATACCTGAGTTTATCGAAATTTTCTACAGCGACATTTATGCAGATGCATGCAACAACTTTTCTATTGGCAGACGTAACCGATTAGATAATCAATCGAACAGGGATCATTCTGAAAGAAGGTTCGCTAACATTCAAGACGCTGGTTCTTATCATGTGATGTGGAATGTACTCTTTAATTGGATATGGCAGCTAGAAGCAAAAGGAATCTTATTACGTTTGTGGTTCATATTGAGCAGGATACAAGCGAAATTTGAAGGGGTCTCCGTGAATGGTTTGAATGTGCATCAGGACGGGCTCGGTTGGATCGTCATTCAGGTAGCAAATCTCCAGATCCTCCATGCTGTCGATCTTGGGGACTAGGCGGGCCACGTTTTCCTCATTGAATTCTTCGTAAAAAAACATGCAGATAGCTTGTTCTCGTGTTATTGTAATCATGGTGGAGATGTGAAAGATGTTAAGATCAAAATAAATGAGCCATCCATTGTTGAAATATACAGCAGCAGTCATGCGCATGATCCTACATTACTTTAGTGTATACTTGCATACAATAACACACGTCACCCAACACCAACTACTACGATGTGATTAAGTTACATAATGATGGGCCGCTCTACTGATACACCAAAGAGGAAAGCAGCTGACATAAGGCACGGCAGCAAATAGCTATGCATGGCAATCCTCTTCCGAAACATAGGCCATGGAATTTCTTTGCGTGTAAAACATAGCTAGCTTATGTAATAACATGTATTCCATCTTCACGAAAAAGCTGTTTTAATGCATGGAAGTCATCCAAGTCATAAAGCTTTACGTGTGGTAGATGATGCGCCGTCATCAGCATGTTCTCTATATTAAGCTCGAACATCATTGTTATTGTAGAAGGCCATGACGCATCGACTAGCATTGATCTTGAAATATAGCTGTGATGATGAGATTGATCACATGGCATCTCTACCTTTCTATACTACCTTAGCCCTTTTTCCATGATGGATTGTCTTCATTCATGTCACCATTGTTTTCTTTACTTTTCCGATCCGCCCGTTGTTGTACATGATTGGATGAAACGGGACACCGCCCCGACCCTCCCGTATAGAAACGTCTACCATGCAAGTGCTTGAAACCGAGCAAATGAATGTCGACAGGTCCTGGAAATATATAAAGACTATGTTGGTGTGAAGTAAAGAAGAAGCAGTGTTATTCAACATCTCTATTTGATAACATTATTATTATTACAACTATCATCAATGGATTCTCGTCAAGCAAAAGCACCAGGCTACATGCTGTATTGCGTAGTGGTGGCCTGCATCGGATCTTTCTGTAATGGGTGGGTGATTGGATGTGCCAACCTTACTGCTGACGCGACACATGCATGCGAGGGAGGCTCTCAACATTTGGCAAGTCCATTACTCCCCGATTGTATACCAATGAGCACATCATTATGGTAAATACATGGATTTATTTGATATCTAATAGAAGACTAATGGTATTTGTTACAGGGGCTTTGCTGTAGCATCATTTTGTGTGGGTGGTCTTATTGGCGGTGCTACGGGTGGAGTCATCCAAACACGTTTTGGTCGCAAGAGAACGCTCATCTACAATACGGCTGGTTGGATTATAGGCGCACTCCTACTTGGATTGGCAGTGAACGTACCTATGTTTGTCATTGGTCGTCTCTTTTGTGGCTATTCATGTGGTCTTTGTTCGCTGACGATCCCCGCCTACATCGGTGAGATTTCCACTATCAAATTGCGGGGTGCCATGGGAACCTTAAATCAGTAAGTGTGTCACACAAACCTTTTTGCATATCCTTATTTCATTCTCACTCGTTTCTTTTTCAGACTCTTTATCACCATTGGTATCTTCATTTCTTCCCTTGTTGGATTGCCTACTTCCAATGTTCCTTTGTGGCGGTTGAATTTCGCTCTTGTTGGCATTCCTGCCATCTTGCAAGCTGTTCTCATGGCAACCTGTGTCGAATCACCACGCTGGTTGACTTCTCAAAACCGCTTCGTCGATGCTCATGTGGCTCTTCAGAAACTACGTGGTCGTGATGCTATTGTGGATAACGAATACTACGAGATTGTTGAAGGACAAGGAGGCACCGAAAAGGCTCAAAGTATGATGAAGGATGGTGAAAAGAGTCTTGATGGCAGCCAGCAGAGCACTCTTACTACTCCAGTGGATCAACTCGATACCATCTCCAAGTCTCTCGAAACGCAAGTCTCTCGTCCTGATATCGATCATCGCATCAGTAATGCCGATACAGTTGTCGAATCGCCTACCGCCATTTCATCCAAAGCCGTCCACCAAGCTATGAACATCATTGACATCTTCCGTGATCCTCTTATTCGCCGTATCGCTTTACGAGTTTGTGCATTGCATATGATCCAACAGTTATCTGGCATGAATGGTGTGATGTTTTACTCGACCTCGATCTTCAATTCTGCTCTTGATACGAGTATGTCAAAGTACATGGCAATTGCTACCAACGCTCTCAACGTTGTTATCACCATTCCATCGGTTTTACTCATTGATCGTATGGGTCGTCGTCCTTTGCTTATGATTGCTGAATTTGGTGCATGTCTTTTTTCGGTCCTTCTTGTCATTGGATACGTCTACAACGTCTCTTCTCTCTTGATTGTTTCCGTGTTCTTGTACGTTGCTTCTTTTGCTATTGGTATTGGTCCTATCCCATGGGTATGTATATCTAATGCAATGTTAAGGAGAGCATCTAACTCATCACGTACCCTATTAGTTGATCACATCAGAGCTTACGCCCACCTATGCCAGCTCAGCTGTCGGTGCCGTGGCAACGGCTGTTAATTGGGCTATGAACTTTGTTATTGGTCAAGTCTTCCCTGTCATCTTTGCTGCTATTGCAGGCTATTCGTTCGCTATCTTCGCAGGCATCTGCTTTTTGGCTTTGCTCTTCACCTTTTTCATGTTGCCCGAGACCAAGAACCGATCCATGGAAAGCATTGTTCGCGACTTTGAAAAACATGAGACCGAGACCAACCACGAGGCTCCATCCATTGCTGTCAATGGTAACTCGCTTTCTCCAGCATAATCAAACATTCATCAAGTATCGATTCCCATACATCATCCCATGTTACCCCATTCAGCATTGCAATAAAGCCTTCCACTTGAGAATAGCAACAATTCTCTTTATTCATTAGCCACTTTCGTGGGAAAGTATTACACTATGTGCAAGGATAATGCAATCAACATCCTTGGGAAATTTTCAGATGCTGCTGACTAGAATCATTCCCCAACAACGACTCATTTATAACAATGCCGCATTACAACCATCCTTTTCTCTTCCCAACTTTTCTTTTTCCTCGCACACAACAATGTCGTCGTCTACTCCAACGGATCGTCTCAACAATATCAAAGGCCATTTGTCTGGCAATTATCCTCAAGGTCTCTTGGCTGGAGAAGTGGCCATCATCACTGGCTCAGGGTAATACGAGAATCCTGTTGCTGCTTCTTGGTATTCACATCTTTTTGATATGTAGCCAAGGAATTGGAAAGTGTACGGCAGAGCTCTTTGCTCGTGAAGGTGCCCTTGTCACAGTCACTGATTTGGATGCTGGTAAGCATGTGTGTCTCAAAAAGTTGTTGACCCACGAAATTAACCGCGTTATGTAAAAAGCCAAATCGGATCAAGTCGCAGCCGATATTAATGCAGCTGGAGGTCGAGCCATCTCTGTACCTGGCAATGTGATGGATCCTGCATTCCCTGAAAGACTCGTAGAGGAGACCGTCAAGGCATTTGGAAAACTCAATCATATTGTCAACAATGCTGGATATACACATGATGGCATGATTCACAAGATGAGTGACAAGCAATGGGATGCCATGCTCAACGTGCATCAAACTGCTCCTTTTAAGATCATCCGTGCTGCTTCAAAGTACTTGGTAATTGCTGGCTATTACTATACAACGATGATGACATAGGATGCTAATGCCCTTTTTGGATGGGTTCATAGCGCAAAAAGGATGGAGAGAACAAGTCCATTATCAATGTAAGTATACAACAACAATGGCGCTGATCATTATCATTAACATGATTGCATGAAAAGATTTCATCCACCTCGGGTCTCCATGGCAACGTTGGGCAAGCCAATTATGCCACAGCCAAAGCAGGCGTCGTTGGATTGACCAAGACCATTGCCAAGGAATGGGTAAGAAGTGTTACTACATATAAAGTGGGATCATCAAATAGTAACATGGTTTATACATAGGGTCTCTTTGGTGTGCGCTGCAACACGGTTGCCTTTGGATGGGTTGATACACGTCTAACACGAGCCAAGGAGGCTGGCACTAGCATTGAAATTGATGGCCAAAAGGTGGCACTTGGTGTCCCCACTGCCAATCGTCAAGGTAATCCATACGCAGCTATCCCACTTGGTCGAGCAGCCACACCTGAGGAGGTCGCCGGCTCGGTGATGATGCTATGCACGCCACTCTCTAGCTATATCACAGGTCACACTTTGGAGGTTACTGGTGGCCGTGGTATATAATGTAGATGGTCCATTGTCATGTATTTTTTCCAATATAAGACATTTGATATCTCATCCATGCTAGTGTTTGATAAGGACATGAAAGGGGAGTGTCAATTAGTCACATCAATGATGGGAAGAGATAACCTTAATGTGATGATTCGAACCAAGAAGGTATTGATGGCTTCTTTCATGGTCATAAGGATTGCATAGTGAAACATCCGGTACTAAGGGTGCATATAAGGGTCTTTGGCGGAAGGTGTATTTGGATTGTGTCATCACTTTTAGATGAAACCTTTGTAGTCTCAACTACAAAGCGATAGAAAGATAATGAAACCATGACAATGAAACTGAGTTCACTTTTTTCGTGCACAGATGATTGTTGTTGGGTCCATTGTATTATATTATACGTAGCATTATGAATACTTGTTCCCTGAAAATGTCATCTGATATCTGCTGTGCATCTTAAAGTAGTACATTTGAACCATTGCACTGGTGGGAAATGTGAGACATCTCATGTTCATGGGTGATTAAGTAAAAGTACAATACATAATAACAATCTCAGCCTGATGGTGAGGTCTCCTTGACTGATGTACGCATGATCAGGCTCATCTGGTAGAATTCAGAACCATGACCGACGTATTCCGTGGTCAATTACCCCATGTGCACCAATCCATTGGTTCACAAACAAAATAGATCTTTGATCCATAGACTCATGCACCCAACTTCAAGGTAACCTTTCTATCGGAGTTGGTGTCCCAAAGCACTGTGTGTGGTGGGTATTTTCAAAGGGAAAAGGAGGTGTGCGTACAAGGCACGGATTCCTTTCTTTTTCTTTTCTATCCTTTTCACACTTTAATGAAGTTTTCCCATCAACTTCAATTCAATGCTGTACCGGATTGGGCAGAATATTATCTACCGTAAGTTATGCGTTGCATGTGCTACCATACTACTACCACTCCTTTGTCCGAATCATGGATTGATTGATTGATTGATTGATATGCAAATGTATATTTATTTAGCTATTCCAATCTCAAGAAACTTATCTATTCTACTGAACGAGAGCGTGTATCTCATGTTCGATCCGATGACTATGAACAAGTACCTGCCAGTGAACGAACAGCCCTCATGAGCGATGCGGATACGGTGGAGAGAGATAACAGCCGGTTCATTGCAGCACTGGATCAATCGTTGGACAAGATTGTCAAGTTTTATGTGAAGAAGGAGCGTGAGCTATACAAGGAAACAGACGAGTTGCTCAAAGATGTCAACCGTGATTGCCACGACGCCCATGGGAACTTTCCACGACGCGAATCGCTTGTCGAAGCCGAATCAGATATGCCACCTGCCATTGTGTCACAGAATGTAGCCGACACCGATCCAGAGCAGCAACATGTGCATGGCAACGATCTACGTAGGCGTACAGTGGATCTCTTTGTATTACTCTCAGAGCTCAAATCATTTGTGGCACTCAATCAGACGGCGTTTTCCAAGATCCTCAAAAAGTATGACAAGATCACCCACAGCAGCCTTAAGCGTTACTATACCCAGAACCATGTTGCGCCCGCTTATCCGTTTCAAAGTGCATCCAAACAACATCTCAACGAGCGTATCCAGGAAACAGAACGTTTATACGCCGACCTCACCACCGATGGCGATCTCGATCAAGCTATCATGGATCTCAAGACGCATTTGCGTGAACGTATCGTTTGGGAACGTAACATGGTATGGCGTGATATGGTGGGGCAAGAACGCAAGATGCAAACGGTCGGTGTCCGTGAAGCTGCCAAACCCATCACCCTGCGTACTCCTTGTGGCACCCTGCAGATTACGCGCGATCAGATCACCCAATCACTCATGCTCATCGTCAGCATCGCCATCTTCATCGTCCTTATCAACGCACACATCTTTGATCAGGTGGAGCAAAATTATTGTTTCGCTATTCTTGTATTGGCTAGTATGCTATGGGCGGGCGAGGTAAGATCTTTTTATCTTGAATTGTTGAAAGGGAATGTGTGTGTGTGATAGATAATTGACATCCATCATCAGGTGATGCCATTGTTTGTGACAGCCTTGTTGGTACCCCTTTTGGTCGTCATGCTACGAGTGATGCGAGAAAATGATGAGCGATTGACAGCACCCGATGCCACCAAACGAGTCTTTGCTGCCATGTTTTCACCCGTCATCATGTTGTTATTGGGAGGATTTGCGATTGCTGGTGCATTGAGCAAATATGGCATTGCCAAATCGATGGCAACCTTTGTATTGTCAAGAGCTGGAACGAAACCCAATCGGGTATTATTGGTGAACATGTTTGTGGCAACATTTGCAAGCATGTGGATCAGCAATGTGGCTGCACCCGTCCTTTGCTTTTCATTGATTCAACCCATCTTGCGAACACTTCCGGTGGACTCGACATTTGGTTCATGTTTGATTATGGGCATTGCACTTTCATCCAACCTTGGCGGTATGGCATCACCCATCTCTTCACCCCAAAACGTGGTCGCCATCCAGAATATGAATCCACCCCCTTCATGGGCTGAATGGTTTTTGGTGGCTATCCCATTGTGTATCGTTGGCAACATTATCATTTGGCTTTGGTTGCTATGGAACTACAACCCCGAAAAGCACACGCCTCAGATCCACGAGATACGTGCTTCACAAGATCCTGTCACTTGGACACAAGTTTACGTTGGTGTTGTCACCCTGGTCACCATTTCCCTCTGGTGCCTTGCTCACACTTATGAATCCACGTTTGGTGATATGGGCGTCATCGCTATTATTCCACTCATCGCCTTTTTTGGTCCTGGATTGCTTACCAAGGATGACTTTAACAACTTTTTATGGAACGTCATTATGCTCGCTATGGGTGGCATTGCGCTTGGCAAAGCTGTTGAGAGTTCAGGACTGCTGCAAACAATTGCTGAGAGGATTGAGGATATGGTCACTGGTTTCAATGCCTTTGAAATTTTATTTGTGTTTAGCGTCTTGGTGCTTGTCATGGCAACCTTTATCAGCCACACAGTCGCTGCATTGATTGTTCTTCCCATTGTCGCTGAAGTGGGTGCCCGTCTCGATGATCCACGACCCCGATTATTGGTTATGGTATGTATCAAGGAAAAGGAGGATGTATGGATCACATGGATTGATTTATAAAACGTCAATGATTTGTAGGGCACTGCATTTGTTTGCTCATGTGCCATGGGTTTGCCCGTGTCAGGATTCCCCAACATGAATGCGATATCCCAAGAGAATGAGCTCGGTCAATCCTACCTCACTACCAAGGACTTTTTGGTCAATGGCGTACCCTCAAGTGTATTTGCCGTACTTTGTGTGGCTACCATCGGCTATGCTCTCATGTCATTGATTGGATTTTAGAACAAACAATATTTGTATATAGATAAAGAGATCTTTTCATTTACTATTTTGACCATATGAGAGGAATCATGACAATAACTCACGTGAGCTGCTAATGATTTATGAATTAAACAACATCTTTGTGAATTCCCCATAGTTGATCTTCCCGTCACCGTCAGCATCAGCTTCTTGAATCATTTGGTCCAACTCTTGAGATGATAGCTTTTCACCTATATATGTGTGTTAGAGAGGGCGATTGGATGACTTGGAAAGAACTTGCCAAAAGATGCCATGACTTGACGCAACTCATCGATCGAAATGAAACCATCACCATCCTAACAAAATAAAGATGTCCATGTTAGAACATGTCATCGTTTGTTATCCCTGTAATGTTTCATACCTTGTCAAAGACACGAAAGGCTTCGACCAATTCATCGTTTTGTGAATTGGGATCTTGCTGTCCTCGCCTACACATATATGTCAACTACACGTGCTTACAGCCCAGCTTGGAGGGACCTACTTTGCCAGCATGGTGAGGAACTCGTTGAAATCGATGGTTCCATTGCCGTCCTTGTCCACTTCGTTGATCATATCCTTAAGCTCAGAGTTGGTGGGATGGATATCCAAGCTTTCCATCACAGCGCCCAATTCACGTGCATCAATCGATCCATTATTATCCTATGTACATACCTCGTTGTTGGCTTATCGTGATCTTCTTTGTTACTTTGGTATACGACATTTTTTTACCTTATCGAAAAGAGCAAAGGAGTCTTTGTATTCTTGTATTTGTTCTTTTGAAAGCTGATCAGCCTACGGTGACCACGTTAGTCTATAGGGTTTTGTCAAAGAAAAACGCGAGCAGGTGTATACGTGCCATTGAAAAAAATGGAAAAAGAGAGAGAAAAAGAAGATGTGACAAACGCGTAATGGGCTTGGATGCCTAAAAAAGAACGTTTACGCCGCAACCGTCGCATGATGAAGATGGTTAGGGTGCTAATATGCATTAGTTGATTAGCCTATGCAGCTCACCTGCACACACACATACATCCCGTCGGCTTACCGAACGCGCGTCTATTCTGCGTTGAAACATGACACTCATGGTTAAGGTTGAAATTACTTTTCATATGACATACATATACGTATACGTAGAGCTTTATCGACACAATCACGCACACACACGCACACACACATGCACATGATAACAAAATCCAATTCTTTGTTTTTGAAGGGAAAAAAGGGGAGTGGAGTTAAACTTCAAAGTATGTACAGGATGGGGTTTCCGAATTAGCAAAGCACACCGAGCATTTGGGGTTGTTGTTGTTGTTGCGGGTACGTGTTATGCGACTGCTGTTGTTGTTGTTGATTATTATTACTATGCACTAAGCAGCTTGAGCACACACATGCTTGTCCACAATGGCACGTCACCACACGCGTGATCGTAGGTCGATTGGTAGGAGTACCACCGTTGTTGTTATTGTTGAGAGGCGTGATGGTAATAACAACGGATTCAGGTTGCTGTGGAAGTGGTTGTGGAGGACATACACAACATGAACCACTACAACCCAAAGACGTGGATGATAATGATGATGATGACCACGCTGCCATTGGCAAGGGAGCACAAGAAGAAGTAGTACTACCAGGAGGTGGTGCTGCTATAGAAGGTGACGATGAAGGTGACACAGAGGACCAGCCCATCCAGGTGTCTTGTTGCTGCTGCTGCGGTGGTACGATATCGAGAGGAGCCCAAGGTGTCAATGTCGGATCAAAGCCATCAAATTCAAACGAAACAGGAAGCATGTTATTATCATTGTTGATCATGACACTTTCGGTGGTGGTGGTGGTAGTGGTCATAGGCAACATGATTGTGGAAGAAGTAACAGGTTCAATCTTGGGTTCGACCAAGGGTGGCTGTTGTTGTGGATGCAAGTGTTGTTGTTGCTGCTGATGATGATGGTCACCTACACCCATTTCTATTTACAGGTACAAGATGATGATCAGCCACAAGAAGGGGGGGGTTGTTGCATAGAATGCACAAAAAGTCACGTTACCTGGTGAGATGGAACGTTGTTTCTTGCCACAAAGACATTTTATGTGAACGTGTTTGGTTTTTCGAAGATGACGGCAATACGAACATTGAGTAACAGGCCGACCTTTCTTGCGGATTTCAATTAAAGGGCGATCAACATGCGCGCAGTGAGAGGAACGATGGCCCTGAAAAACACAAATCAATCACTCCCTCCCTTTTTCGGAAGCATCATCAATGATGATGATAATGAATGATTCTACCTTGATACAGCTGTTGCAGGCAAACTTGACACCGTTGATATAAGGCATTATTTATGTACGAAGATAGGGTTGGGCTACTACTACTTAACATTGGCATGTGTCAGTGTGAAAATCGCATTACCTAATCATCCTATCCGCAGCTAGACTATGATACTCACCTTGTTAAAAAATGATACACAGTGGCGATTAATGTATGTATATGCAGATAAAAGATAGTTTGGAAGAGAAAGAGAGCGCGCGCGTGAATGCGTAAGGTTACAGGATCTGTTGCGATAACAGCGAGACGAGACGACTACTACTGGTGTTGCGATAATGACGATTCCAATGAGAGATACAGGCACAAATCATAACAAAGCTGAGACAACAAAAACGGGATAAAGGGCAGTGTGGAAAGGGGAAAAAAGGATGGTAGACAAATAAAAAATATAGATTGAGTGTGTGGTTGAAAGGGTCTCTCCGAGTTGTTGGTGGATTTGCCAAGAAAACAACAGAGAGAGAAAGAGAGAGTGGAATAAAAAGGCGAAAAAGGGAAAAAGTGATGGGAGCTGCTGGGACAGGTTGCTGTTGTTGGGTGCACCCAGAAACGGCGGCGGCGGGATTGTGAGTGTGTGTGTGTATTTGTTTATGGGAGCACCACTGCTGCTGCTGCTGGTGGCGGCTATCCTGATCCGGTTCGACAGCAATCATCACTCAATGGCGTATAAAGCGCAAAAGTTAAACCTCCACAAGTCACTATTGAGAATGAGAGATAAAAATTTTAAGATCCCTTGCGTCATTGGCCAGCCATGTGCTTCCAATTTATACGTAGGCTTCTTTCTTCTAGTGGTGGTCATCCCACCCATTCACTGTTCACACACACACATATACAAGAAAGCGATCTTTTAGGGGAATCAGACGTCATCTTATTGTAACAAATATACACAAAAGTATTTTATCCGGCTCTCCCATACACAAGAAAAAGTAGTGGATGATGGATAGTATAGGTGTCTCAAAATCGAATCTTCCGCGTAGAAAAGCAGAATCCTTATCACACTCCGTTTCCAGGCTAGCAATAGGTCTTTTGTGGATTGGGAAACTCGAGTCTTCGATGAAGGCGTGTGCTGATGTCGATAAAGTTGGGTTCATTGTCGGCTGTGATGATACCATGCCGGATCATGAAATCAATGGCCACTATGTGTAGCACATTTGAGCCCGAGTCACTTTTTTCTTCCTCCTCCTTCTTCTCTCTCACTTACCAAGAGCACAGTTGGGCTTCCATTCTCCATTCAAAATCGTCTTTTTCACTTGATCCATATCCCACAAGTAGAAACAATCGACTTCGCCATCCTTGGGTGTAGGTGTAAAATCATTGGGTAAACAAAGATCGAAAATGTACCTGAATGACACAAATAAGCCTCACTTGAACGGGTAAAAGATCAATTGGGAAAAGACTTACTGGGTCTCAGGTTGAAGTCCATATTCGGTATATGTATAGTATGAGATCATGCCGACATTGGTAGCGGTTTCTGCAATCGAGGTTGGTATGCTCGCTTCCTCATCACATTCTTTCACCACCGTTGCTTTGGTTGAATACTCGTAGCTGATACCACCTGCCACCTAAAATACATGTCTCTTTGGTTAATCCACACATCCTATATACCTCCATCCCATCATAATACTTACACAATTATCCAATAAACCAGGCCATGTTTGTTTTGTCAATGCACGACGAGCGACCCACATACGCAATCCATGTTCCTCATCACGTGCATAAGCGTTGACATGGACACCAAATGTAGAGATACCAAGGAGTGGAGTAGCTGCACGTTCCATCACAAATGCAATGTTGTCATCCCTAGAAGGATCGCCATACACAGGATAGAGCTCATTTCGCCAGCCTTTTATGTTACACACAATGGTGAATACTACTACCATCATCCATCATCCATCTCCATCATACCTGCCAATGCTTTGACGTGGGGTCTCCATGAATCCATCATCGTTTTGATCACCTCGGTACGTTTTTCAAAAGAGTCAACCCATGATTGGAATTCGATTCGATTGTTGGAAATGATGAATGGTGCTGGTGAGCATGCGTCGTTGTATGACTTTAGACGAGGGAAGAGGTCGGGGAGCACATTGCCAATGACACGATCGAATAGTACAATGGGAACAGGAATGCCGAGTTCGAAATGTTCCAATGAGCCGTATGGGTATCTATCACCGTGCTGAACGACTTGTAAAAAGGAGTTGAATGTTGGCATAGTAAAAGAGACGCGGGTTAGTGGAGGAGTTATATCGAGAGGGGGGGGGGGAGGATGAACGACGACGCGGAGAAAGAAGGTTTCAAGGAAGCAATCGGAAGAGAGCGTGATTAGATGTCCCGGACTGCCGGATTGATGTGCGGTTGTGCAACAAAAGAAGTTGATGTCTAAACACTACCTGTACACTTCCAGAGACCTTTTGCGTAAGAGAGTTACTAGCTAAACGTATTTGTGTATAGCAACTTAGGACAAAGACCTTGACTTTGTTATGACCACACAAGAAATGATACGTAAAGTAAAGTTGACAATCTTTCTTAAGTCGCATCATGTTTTTACTTTTTTGTCTTGTGTGAATGCTTTGATGTAAGGGATACAATTGGCAATCGAAGGAACATAGCCTTATATCGATAATTTGGATACTAAACTACTAGGGGGATGCCACGCCTCCAGTCGAAAATGTCGAGCACCTAGTGATTCCCACCTCCACCATGGTGGTGGTGATTTAACGACTTCCCGGGAACGGAAGTAGTGTAATTGGTGTCAGGCGACGACGAAACCTAGATGAAAAAAGTTTGCCCAGCTCCGCCCTGACAGCTGATACAAAAGGCTTCGCCATAACATTTTCTTTTTTTCTGCCTGTTTATCTGTTATTCATTTGAACATGGCCAAGTCTTATATTAGGTATAGTATCAATGCAATAAAAGAGCGGTTGATTGACATATCCAGAGAGCGGGGAAAAGAGTGAGAGTGTAAACAATGAGCTACAATAGTCGAGGGAGGAGGATCAAAAGGGTTTTTTATATGATGTTTGGAAAAGGGGGAACCTACACACACACACTCACTCAACTGACATGCCCATGACACAGCTACAACCAGATTCACCAATCGATCCGTGATGCTGTTGAACGGTACAAGATCAACTCTGAATTCAAGCCTGATCTCATGATTACTATCACTGGTGGTGGTTTGGTGCCTAGCCGTATTCTTCGTACCTTCTTGGATAAGCGCAATGATCGCAACGTCCCCATCCAAGCTATTGGTTTGTCGTTGTACGAGGAGATCGAGGCCGATCAAGCTGCTGGTGGCACTGGCGAGAATATCGAAGTTCGCAAGACCCAATGGTTGAACTTGCCCGAGCAAATGTCTCTTCTCAACCGCAACATTTTGCTTGTTGATGAAGTCGATGATACTCGCAAGACCCTTGCCTATGCTGTGGATGAATTGATCAAGGACATTCAAGCCGAAGAGGTGCGTCAAGGTATGGAACCTGGTTCATCCGATACCAAGCTCGGTGTTTTCGTTCTCCACAACAAGCTCAAGCCCAAGAAGCGTGAATTGCCTGATCACATCATGAAGAACTACTTTGCTTGTGTTGATTTGCCCGACAAGTGGCTCGTGTATCCATGGGATGCTATTGACATTGAAGAACACACTGAATTGTCAAAGTCCCCCTCCCCTAAATAGATTTTCATCACATGACGCTCACACTTCACTCCACCCACCCACTCTCTTATACACTTATTTATCATCATCCGATTGCATCCATGCCATCACATCTTAAATGCATTTCTTTATTCTCTTTCATATCCAATCCATGTTGCTTTATAGACCATAAATAATTGGTATGCTTATCTCATATCGCATTCAAGTCGACTTTTATTAAGAAGATGGTGTGGGGAAAGATACATGTTTATTCTTACAAAAAGGCTGCCTTGTTGGAATGGATGTAATGTTCCAAAGTTTCGGGCTCACGACCCAACAAGATCGAAAGCAACCCAGTGGGCGTTGTACCATCTCCAAGACATCGGCTTACTGTGTATGCAATTAGGTGAGGCATCCCAATCCCAATAAGCTGCTTGTATCGTTCCAAATACGACACTTGCTTGTACACAATTTCACGTTCCAACGCTTCTGATAGGTATCTTGTACGATCTTTGGGTGTCACGTAATCACCCACCAATTCATAGACGGCATTTTTGTGCTTGTCAATAGGGTCCTGAAGAATACCAGCAGCGACAGAACCAACATCGTTGGGTGATATCCATTGATGCAATTCATCGGGTGCGCTTGTATCCATGACAACACCATGTTCACGAATACCAAATCCATCGAATGCGATAATGTTGGACATGAACTGGGTGGGTCGCAATGCCACATAATGACGACCACCACCAGGAGCTTGATTATTGGCGAGCTCTAGCAGAGCCATCTCGGTTGTTTGGGCCATATTCGCAAAAAAGTTCGTACGCCATCCACGTCCTGCTGCCATGCCAGAGAGATCAACGACTTGCTTAACACCTGCATTGTATGCTACGGATGCATACGTTTTCTTGAGCTCGATATAATTATTATCACCAAGGGAAATGGGTTCGTGGATGATGATCAAGAGACGCTGATGGCCTTGGATGCTTTTCTTAAAGGGTTCCATGTCATCATAATTGCCTTGAACCAAAGTAAGTAAATGCTGATTGTTTTTGTCAGCTGATACCAAATCACTAAAGTGTTTGGCAGCAGCCTCAGGAGATCGTGTCAATGCGGTAACAGAAACACCAGCCTTGAGGAGCTCACGGATGGCTTGCTTGCCTGAGTTCCCGGTACCACCCACAATGTAGATGCGTTCAGTGCTTGTAGTCATGTTTTGTAATGGAAGATTGTATGGGGGTCGAATAATGGGGTCATGGTGGGTGTCATTTTTATACCTTTTGTGCATGCATGTAAACACCTCTTGCATGAGCTTCATTGTTAATGCCGGCCGGCAACGGATAAATTATTGCCGACCCCAGGCACATATGCTACTACACGCATCGATTCCCATCACCCATTAAGGGCAATCGGTACGTACCACCCCTTCCAAATGGATGATGACAAATACGTTGTTGCCTTGATACCGTGCACTACAATAAGGTCGTACTAGAAGCTGAATATCCCTTTTTGATAATGAAGAATGTATTTCGCTGCATACCAATCAATTGCACAATGGGGCTGAAGGGCTTAAGTTCCCGTTTATAGTATCTACGGATCACCAAAGGTTGCATTAACACCTTATCAAACGCTTTGTCCACTCATAGTGTATTGTATACCAGCAAAAGAAACCATTTTTATTATCCCTATCACGCTGCATAATATTCTCTGCTACAACAAAAGCACTCTTCTTCATGGCATAAATGTACAGTAGCTCAACGTTCTGGTTCCCGGCCAAAAAGGATGGAAAGATATCCCTTGCTTGTGGCACCTGTACCAAAGAGTTCATCCACCGAGATTGCAAAGAGATGCTAACCCTGTGAGCCCCTTGGTATGAACTTTTCAGATAAGACTCGTTTTGAAAGCTCACGACCCAATGCGTACTTGCTGTAAATCTTTGGTCCGTACCTCCTGGGCAACGCCAGGTTCCATTGCACATTGGACATTACTGCCTTGTTTGGGATATACGGCGTTCAAGGAATGTATCCAGGTGTCAAGGACATCTTCAAGTACGTTGTTGACAATAGGATCCTCAAGACCATATTCATCGTGTTCTGTCGATGACCATTCTCAGAGATCGAGGCACTTTCCCACTCAAGCGGCAGCATCAATAGCAGCTATGGGAGCAGGAATTGGCGATTTTGTCGATTATGCATGATAGCCGAATGTGCATTCCTGGCATGTATGGCATGTCTACATTATTTTGTGAGTTGTTGTCAATCCTGAAATAACCCAAGACCTTTACCTTGCTTGTATAAGCTTCGTTTACGATGGCCATCACGAGCTTCCCTCTTTCTCCGCCGTCTTTAACGCCTTCAACAAAACACCTTGTGAACCAGGTAAAGACCTTTTCAACCTTCCCCAACTGCCGAATCCAGAAGCTATTAAAGAAGGGACCCTCGATCTCTTGGTTAAGCGGTCTTGAAGTACATTTTCCTTCATCAATCTATTATCATTTTCAGTCAATTGAAAACGAACAATAACATGTTCGATACTTACGTCTGCTTTCTCTTTCCCTTCTTGCGTCTCTTATGTCGTCGGCTTCTTTTGCCTGCATCATCGTCTTGGAGGAATTGTCGTGGAATAAGACCACGTTGAACTTTAGCATCACCACGTTGGAGAGGCGGGTAATTGAACTTGTTGCTGCTTGTATTCAAGGAGTTTGCGCAGTGATCGAAAAGAGCCAATCCATCGTAGTCTTCCTTCTTTGATTACATAGAGAACTTGTGGGTGTTGCCACCAAACGATCATTTGCCATGAAAAGATCCTTTACACCTGGGTCTACGCCCCATACAGTAAACACCTTGTTCAGGTTTCACGATGTAAAGTTGTCAATGTCAAATTCAGGAGACTTGAACTCGTCACGCCTTGTTCTTCGACTGAATCAAAGATAGAAGATGGTATAACTGGCACCATAAGCGTTGAAGATGTTGTGATAGATCCACTTGTAAAAGCGTGAGATGCGCACTTCGTTTGCATTAACAAGACCAGTCGCTATGCCGTCGGTAACCATGGAAACCGCTAGATCACCCTCGCAACGCGGGCTGCAGTAGTACAGTATGCCACCTAATCCTTCAGTTGCATCTCAAGAGGTAGCTACATTAAAAGGAATATGAATGTATGTTTCATCAAACAAGATAATTGGTTTTTACCTTAATAAAAGAGCCAAATATAACAATGACAATGATGACAATGAAAGCAATAGGGTAACAATGAAACCTTAGCGATCATCACTAATATTAGCACATGGATCATTCACAAAAAGGACTCTCAATCATGATACTCACCAAGGGCTTTTGAAGATGCCAGCAATCAAAGAGTGATATGATGATGGGAAGAGGAAAAAAGAGATGTGTGGGAGAAAAGCGATGGACGACAACATTGATACTTGTTTATATCTGCACGGTGGGCGTGGGTATTTCAGTAATCACAAAGAGCGATTGAGAATGGTGATGAGCTGATAGATTGATAGGGGATCTGCACAAAGAGCCTTGGTATGATTGATTATCGTTGCATGAATCAGGATCTGAGGTAGACAAAGACATCCAACAATGGCGCTAGTCAAATCACGTGCTGTGCTCCAGTTCCCTAAATAAGACGCTGTTCGAGGATGTACGAGAGAAGTCGTTGGCATCTTCATAGTCGATATGGCGTAAATGTTGCTGGCCATCACTGCTCCCTTATGGATGATATAGATACACGCTCTTCCTTGGATGCTGCAGACATTGTGAAAGAAAACGCACACCATCTTGTTGTATGCTGATCCATGTCTCTGAGAGAACGCGACCTTGATCCTTGGTCACCTTTTGGATGTCTCCATCAACATGGAGTGCGTTACACAACTACAAGAAGCATTTGGCTGTCAAAATCTCTCGCCGAAAACAGACACTCCTCCACCACACTACCTTTTTTGTCATGTTCATACGCCTACTTGGAAGACGCGCATTCTCGACAAGCATTCGAGGCATTGGCAAACACGATCAGGATGTTGGTGCTCTACAGAATTTGATGCGCATGGTCAACGACATTGAAGCCTACATGAACCCTCTTGCAACAGCCGATTTCAAAGTACACGTACGTTGAGGAGTCTCATTGTCACCTCCTGCATGTATACGCTGACGACGTTGACGACGCGTTGAATCTCATAGACACAGCAATGTAAAGCTTATTGCACGCCTGAAGCAGCCGTTGCTATCCCGAGTGATGCGACCCTGTTGCCAGTGGAAAGTGAAGAGTACAAGCATGCCCATTTGGCTCAGGGCGGTGAAGTTTTCGTGTTTCCACAGCATAACACACACGTTGCATGGGCCACCACCACCGACCTCGTTACGAATACAAGCGATCAACCTCATCAACAACAGAGCTTTGCTTTTGCATATGATCAAGACGAGTAATAATTGTGTGCATAGGATGGATTACTATCCAACATTTATATTTATCGCTTTCATTGTTATAGACCCACGTGCGTCAAGGGCGACTTGATCTTGTTGAATCCGGAACAATCACCCACATTGGCCAAGGTAGCACTCTCCTATGGTATGGCTCGATCCGTTCGTTTGGCTGTCTTTGAACAAGAAGTGGATGCAATGATCAAACAAGGCTCGACCTTACAAGAGGAAGCATTGCTCCAATTTCGAGAGCGGTTATGCAACGAAGCCGATCTCGGTTTACTTGGTACACCAGACTTGACGTGGGCACGTTCGGATCTCCAAGGTAACAAAGAGATGATTGACGTTGCTATGCATCATGAAACTCATATAATGTATACAGCCCATTACACAGCTATCTCCAATCGTTTGGATATCGGATCACGTATTGCTGTCATGCATAAGAAATTAGGCAAGTATACACACACATGCACACACGTAGTTAAGGATATCCATTGACATGATTTATATGTATGCAGAATTCCTTCAAGATAGAGTAAATGCATCCTGGCGATCACAACTTGTCCACTTGCTCAAAGATAAACGATAAAAAGAATAAAAAGCAACGATGGCATCTTAAAAAAGAAGAAGAAAGAGAGAAACATATTCTACATAATATATATAAATGGGGGGAAAGGGTAGAAAGAGTTGATGTGTATCGTGGAAATGTGTGTGTGTAAGACATGTGCATAATAATAATGGAAGGTGGGGTTGTGTGGAGAAGAATGCTAACTTTAACGGATAAAGATACTGTGAATACGCTCAAATTCAGCAGCACTTGATAATTGTATGCAATGACGACGGGGAGTAGTAATAGTAGTAGCTACGCTGCTGGAAGACAGCCGGGGTATCTGAACTTTAGCAATCGCTTGTGACAAGTATTCCATCGGACGTTGCAATGGCTATAAAGGGGTATTAGAAAACCCTTATCTCTCTCTTTTTCCATGTATGGGACTTACTTGTATACTGGCAGCAGCTTGCTTTGCTTCGGGTTCTTGATTGGTATGTTGAAGCTGTTTGATCTTGGATTTGAGCTGCTCGCTGCGTTGCTTGAGTGTATACAACGCAGATTGTTGGGCCTGATATTGGTAGTCAGGAGTCCTCTTGATACTCTGCCATTGGCCACTTTTATGCTCTGCCAATGATACCACCTTGGGCGTAGCACCCACACGACGCATGTCCTTGAGAAGAATGCGAGATTCCGTGGCAATAGCACGAAGGGTATCACGTGTATCATTCGATGACTCTTCTTCGCCCATATCCTTCTCCTCCTCCTCTTCGTCATTGTCGTCATCATCGTGTCGCTCCTCCTTTTTGATAGGTGCAACAGGTGCTGGCAATGTTTCAAGGTTCAATGAACGAGATAAATCACAGCTCTTGAGATAGGCATTCTCTGCACGCAAATAACGGATGCCAGCCTTCAAGGTTTCCATCTAAATGATGATAATGTGAGTGACACTGATACTTTTTTGTACACGTTTCGACATGCTTACATGTGTTTGCATATCAGCAATCTCGTTAAGGTTGTCTGCTGTAAGCATAGTCGCCTCTGATGTTGATTCGTCATCGAAAGCGCTTTGTTTCATCATAGGGATGGATCGGCGTTTGTCCTCCTTCATAGATACCTGCTTCCTGAGCTCAATGTTTTCTTGCTCCAAAGTTTCATATTCAGCCTGAAGATTATCCATGGCCTCGCTATACATTTGGGTCTGCTCCTTGGCCTTTTCCAAATCATTCTCCAATGTCATGATTTGCTCAGCTTCCTTCTTGGCAGCTTCCATGCGCTTTTCCAAAAGATCAACCTTAATGCTAGCTTCTTGTAGTGCTTGGTCCTAATAAACAATCCATGTGAGCTATCAAGGGCAATAGCAACCTCGCATTTTTTTCATGTTACCTTAAGTTTGATATCCTTGACCAGCTTATAAATCTCATCATTGTGTTGCTGCAGCTTGCGCTCGAGATCGTGGTTGATAACAACTTCGGCCTTCATATCAGAAGCGCGTTGCACCCATGGTGGGATACCAGTGGCAACTAAAACATGTTGTTAATCCAATGTTCGCTACTCATAGTAAGTATAAAGGACATACTCTTATCCATGCGGTTGTCGTTTTCGACCCGTTTCAAGGTGGTAGAGAGCTCCGTCGAAAGCGATTTGAGCATCTTGGTGCAACCATCCCACATGGTTGTTTCTGAAATCTCGAGAATATCATCCGTTTTGCTGTAAACGATATGCTGGAGCTCACGCAAGCTGATATCTTCACGATTGGCACGTTTGGTATCCAAATAACCCAAGATTTGTTTGAGCGACTATTACAAATCCAACGTTAGATTCTCGTCGACGACCGAGCAAATCGTATAGAGTTACGTACCTCAAAGCAGAATTTGCTCAACTTGGTGCTTAGAGCATACATGGTCTTGAATCGATGCATGTGATCGGCCTTGGGTGTCAATGCCTGCTCCGATAAATCATCAAGCTGTCGAAGCAATTTCCTGTAGGCAAGAGGTATTAGCATGAATGTACACACGTGTAAAAGATGAATTAGTATACTTGCTTTGAAATCATCTTGCAATTCTTGGTTTCGGAAACAAGTCGGCCCAATGGCTCGATGTATTCATAGTCCATTTGCATCGTGCCTTCAGCGATATTGATGCCTTCTGAGGTTGTGGCATTGTACACGAGTTGCTTGACAAAGGTAAGTTCCACCATCATCTTGTCCGCATTCATATCAAGTGCTCGAGTCAACCCATAAAACAAGTCGGCATTATCAGCTTCAGTGCTCTTGGTCAAATGTAGCTCGGCAAGATGTTCCACGTGAGCAATGATTCTATCAACAAAGTATATAAGTAAAGCAAAACTCATTATTTAGATGCACTTGCATACCTCTGGAGATCAACGATGGAATCAGAGTCATTGGCTTCATCGGTGCGGAAAAACTCAACAAGGGCATTCAACCTAATCGTATATGGGGTTAAGATAGATGCTTGTGTGCATGGATGATTACAAAAATACGTACTTTCTTTCAGAGCCAACAAGGTCTTGATAAACACGGGCCATCTTTGAGAATTCCTCAGGGGTGCAATGCTTGATGAATGTGACGAAACGTTTGGCCATGTCACTGAGGTATGCAGCCTTTTGTCTCAGCTATCGTAATCATATGATTTACGTTAAACAAACATGCATAAAGAATCACCAAACAGAGAATGTTCTCTTACCTCGCACACCGATACCAAGCTCTCTGATACATTATCCATGATCTTTTCGCTGATGGGATGTGTTTGATCAAGATGCTTGATGATCAATTCGGACTTGAAGACCAAACGTTTGAACAACAATAGGCATGAAATAGGATCATTCTCGGTTCTCAAGAATGCATCAGGCAAATAAGGCTAATAACATGACCATGAATGAATGAACACGTGTGGGCAAAAGAGGAATTGACCCTGAATGGGGATTGTGCATACCTGAATGTAACTAAGACGATCATTGGCTTGTGTAGCATCCAATTTGCGTAGCTCGAGATCGATTTGTTTCGCCTGGGCCTTCATCACGGTAGATTGTAGCTGCATATTGATGGACATCATTTCTTGCGATTGACTTGCCAGGTTCATGTTTTCAGTCTCTTGATCAACTTGCTTTTGTCGGAGATGCTCAAGATCACTAAAAAAATTCATGCATGTCAACAAATGATGTGTGTCCCACGCGACTCAAAACAATAAAGTATACCTCTGCAGATTCTGAACCAGTTCTCTAAATTGTTGGATGGTAGCTTCATAATCAACATTGGTTTCTTCAGCAGCCTTGATACGATCCATTTGTTCTCGTAGCAACATGTCACGATGATCTAATACCCTGATGTTAGATTATAAGAGGGACAGCGACGATAAATCTTACCAATTTCAGCCTGAAGTTGCTTTTCGGTTTCAACATGGTTCTCTTCAAGCTCATCAGCAAGCTCCTTGAGTGCTTCTAATTCTTCATTGGACGAGTTGATCTCTTCCAGTTGTTCAGTCAAGTGCAAATTCTTTTCAGTCAATTGCTCCACGAGCTCTTCAGCGCCCAAAGCATCATCCAAACGTTGTCGCAACTCTTCGATTTGATTCTCCGTGGTCTCGAGTTTGTCTTTGACCTTTTCATATTGCACTATACAAGCTGCATGAATACAAAAAACGGTCATCAGATGCACCATGTACACTATTTACCCTTGATTTCGGCAAGTTCATAGTTTTCCATTTCAAGTTCCTTGACCTTGAGCGTGAGCTCTGCTTCTTGTTCATTGGTCACATCGCGTAAACTAGGATATAGGATGGCGTCAACAATCAAGTTTTCTTTTTAGGCACCAAGGATCAGCTTACCGTATCAATGCTTCACGAAGTCGTTCATTGTGTCGTTCAAGCTGTGCTCTTTCCAAAGAGGCTCGTCCTTCTTCGCTTATTTCGGTAGGATCTCGATTCAGTATATCTACACAATCATCATGTTAATAACACACAAAGGATTGGCTTGTTTTGTTGTTGCTTACCAGCTTCCTTTTTAAGGACATCGAGGTCAACACTAATTTCTTGAATCTTATCCTTGAGCAAATCGACCTCTTCTTGAAGGCTCTCAGCGCGCTCCTCAGCAACTTCTTTATCCAAGGTCATCATTTCCAATGAGTCTGCCATTTCACTGAATCGTAACTCCAATTCTTCCTTGTCGGATGATGTTTCCTTGAGCTCGCGTTTGGTGTCACGAAGATCTTTTTGCAACTCGGCAATCTTATCTGTTTCGGGATTAGCATGAATCCAAGTACTTGCCACGTCCACACACACACATTCTCTTACCTTGTAACTTGTTACGCAGCGTCAAGAATTGTTCAGCTTCCTCTTTGACTTTTTCATGCTCTCGATAACGTTCACGATCTTCTTGCCGCTTGGCTTCCAATACTTTGAGCTTAAATCGCAATTCCTCATAATCCTTGAGTGGCACCATCTAAAATCCGAAAATCATATAAATAAGTGTACAAGGATGCATAAATATGGAGAGGGAGGTTACCTGTTCCGATTTGCTAACAGGCATTGTGGGTGCAAGGGCGCCATAAGATGATTGGGGTAATCGTTGATGTTCACGTTGTTGCTGTTGTTGAGAGGCTGAATCATCTTTGGGAAGGTGTGGCTCATCATCATCTTGATCAACAGGTGTCGCAGGTGAATCTTTATCAGACGATTCTTCTTCTTCCTCTTCGGATACATCATCGGAAGGTGTAGGCTCGTCATCATCATCGTCATCATCTGCATTGTAGCTGTAACTAGGATCATCTGTATCCTCCTCATCATCATCGTCTTCATCATCGATTTGTTGTTGTTGTTGTTGCTTCTGCATCATCAGCTGCTGTTGACGTAAACGAATTTGTTGTAATTGTCGTTCACGCTCAGCTTTCAATTGTTGTTCACGAGCTTCTTCTTCCTCTTTTTGTGCTTGTTGCTGACGAGCCAGCTCTTCCTGACGAGCACGTTCTTGCTCTTGACGACGACGTTCTTGCTCTTCTGCTTCTTTGGCAGCAGCCAATTGTGCCTCTCGAGCTTCTTTTGCTTCACGAGCAGCCCTTGCATCACGAGTTGTTGTGGATCCAATAGTGCCTGATCGTTGACGAGTTTGTGGAGCATCCTTATTCACATACATGCTCTTTCTACGAGTGGGTGAAGCAGTGGTGTTGGTGGTGGTTGTAGTAGTTGTAGTAGTAGCTGCACGATGTAGAGTGGATGTTCTAGTGGGAGTTGCTTTTGGGATAGTGGTTGCTCTACTCGTTGCCGTTGTAGCAGTGGACTTTGCTGATTTTGGCGAACCCACATAAGAAGAAGGACGCCGAGTAGTGGTTGTTGTAGGAACACGTGTTGTGCGGGATACAGGAGATTGTTGCTGTCGAGATTCTACAGTGGATGCAGCCATGGATGCCCGTCGTTTAGCCAGGGGTTGTTGCTGTGGAGATGGTTGAGTCATTGAACGACGTGCTGCTGCCTTGACGGCACGCCCTGGGTCTTGTTGTGGACGTTGTTGAGAATCACCATTATTTTCAGATCGTGGTGATGGTGGTACTTCATGCTGTTCCTATTATATAATAAAGAATCAGCATCTCTCTATGTTATCCACAAAGGGGTATATGTATGTATACACATACCTTGGCTGGCAACACTTTGACATAGGAAGGACGAACGAATACGCCATGATTGGCACGACATTCAAAGTATCGCTTTCCTTGAACGACACCATTGTTCTTGCCTAAAGGCTCGTCTAGTTCGACACCGACCCATTTGCCGGAGGTTTGAAAGCCAGTGGAACCAGCATAACGCACAGTGCCGAGATTCTCGCCATGAACAAGGACTCGAACACCCACTTGCAGATCCGGTGGAAGGCTATTGTTGTCTACTAAGCTGCTGTGTACACTACTTCGGCGAGCACCGAGTACAGTGGATTGACGTCTACGTCTGTCGACTACTGACATGCTGAATAAGAATGAATGAATGCAGCAACAGCACCAGTGTCAGGGGTTGATGGGATGGTCGATGGAGTCGTTTTCGTTTCGTTTCCTCTCAAGTTAATGCGTGGTGAATAAGAGGAAACAGTAGCAAGCAGTAAGCAACACCTCGAAGAAACCAAGATTGCTGCTGGCCGCGGAAGCTACGGGTAAAAAAAAGAAAAGGGTAAAGAAAAAGAGAGAGAGAGAGGAAGATGTATGTAAGTGCGTACAGAAAAGTAGGGTAACCTTTTACTCACTCTCTCTCTTTCTAGTGCGGAGCCTGCATATGCTGTAGCACAGGTGTGCATTCATCCCATTTTACACATTTACTACTTGATCATGATGACGATGATGATACTTTGACCCTTTCGATATGAAGATTTATTTATATACATACACGCACACAATAAAGATGATGTTCTCTTGTATCTCATGTACTACCCTTGATTGCGTTGTTTCCCTCCACAACCCCCCTTTCCCCTTTCAGTCGAGATATGGTAATAACACGTTTATGTGCTTTCATCAACCCGCCCCTTTTTTTTACTTTCATGGTCATCGCTCCGACAATCATTGCATGGTGCACCTTGCTTTTACATCACTCATCAACCCAACCTTATACATGATCGATCAACGCATGCCATCATTCGTTACTGCTACTATCCCTGGAACCTTAGCAACGCCTAATACTAAAATGTGTACAATGCAACCAAAAGGAGTTACTACTTGCAAAGTCAAATCATCATCATCATCATCATCAATGCATTTCCTAGGATACACAAAAGAGTGCACCGCATAATTACACTGTTGCTATTGTTGTTTCATTTTCATTTGTGGCGGGTGGTGGTGGTGCCTGAAATAACTACCACTGGATCAATCTCAGCAGCAGCAGCATACAAGCACATCCAATCTCAATTAGGTCATCCTGCTTGAAGCGAATAGAGTATCACATACCATGGGTGCACACACATACCCTCTCTCATAAGCCAAGCATCTTTTTTTCTCAAGAGTCATTTCGGCCATCCTCCGAATAAGCTCAAGATCATCGTTTGCATTCACTTGTGTAACAGCACTGGATATGAAAAGGAGCTTGACCCAAAAGGCGTCAGCTTTGATCCATCACAAATAGCACAATGCCAGCTAGCTCTTGTCACTTGGGATATACGCGTCAATGCATGACAACTCATCTTTAGCACAATTAATACCTCCTCTTGATGATGGCTGTTGGGATATTTCACTGTGAGGTTTATGCAAAAGCACTATTATTGATTGCTCTGCGAATGATGGAAGCTGTGAATATCTGATTTTTGCATAGGTACGCAGTGGATGAACCGTTAACAGCCTATTTGAGAGGCAATTTATTAATGACGCCATACAAGTTAAGAAAAGAACGCACCACCAAGACATAAAGAACACCAGTAACAAAGCAACAACAAAGATGCTAACGAAGAAAAAGAGATCAATGTATCATTCATGAGCTTACAAAATCTATCCTTGACACTTATCAAAAGCCATTAACAATCAAGGGGATGCGGTAGAAAGCGATGCGTGGTCATAGCAGCCTTGCTTTTATGTATGTCGGAATGGGAGCTGTTGTTGTCCACGCAAGAAAACGAGGTTGTGAATAGTTGAACCATTTCATTCTCTTTCCTTTTGTGAGCACAGATATCTAGGCGTCTCATCCCACCCGACGCTTTACTAGATCACACCTCTTTGTATATTCAAGAGCTCAAATTTGTTAGGTATTAAGGCGGAGGGTCCTTTTTCGGTGACCCTGTGTATGAAAGCTGGCGTTGTGGTGATTGAGAGTGTTTCATTGTTATCCTAGTGCCATTGTTGTGTACGTCACATTGATTTCCTTTGGTGCGGCAAGCTATTTCGAACGTAGTCCTTTTTGAGACTTTGGAGCTGCTTTGTCGTTAACCATCGTTGTGTGAAGCACCTGCTTAATTTGTGGACAGCGTCGACGATGATCCACCTCACGGTTGTGGTGAAGTCGAAGATGTTGATGATGATGCAGGTCCAGGATTATTCTCTTCCTCTTGTAATGCATCTCCAAAACTGGATCTGTGTCAGGCTAAAGAATATGCAATTTGCCAAGGTAATAAGCTACCCATCTATTGATGAAGAAATCACACGATGATTTATAGTAACAAGCGCACATCAAGTCATTATAGATTAGCCAATGCCGATCGGGATAAGGGTTCATGTTTTTTTGTTGGGAGGTTACGCAAACTGTCGAGGGAAAAAAGGCTCCAAGTGCGGGGAAAGTCATTTTCATGTGAAAGTTGTTAATCGCATTGTGTTTATTTTGGCCTCTTGTAATGATCAATAAGCAAAGACAATGAACACAACAGATAATGAATGCTATCCTAGTAAAGAAATATGATGGGATACCTAAGTGGAATTAGCTATACGTAAGGTGTTCATCCCCTCATCCACGTTAATAGGTCCATCCAGAAGTAGCTACCTTGTGCTACATGGAATGTGTGCAAATTGAAAGTCCATGAAAGCCTGTTCCTTGACATCTTCTCTTTTCCTCCTCTTCCTCCTCTCTCTCTCTCTCCACACACAACTATGGGTGCTGCACCTACTCAAGAAAACGCCAAACAACCCGAGACGCCATTGTCATCACCTGCTGTCAAGACAGCTATCCGTGCCTTTGTTCTGTCATGGTCCCTTACAGCACTTCCAAGCATCGCGATCGCGGCACTGAAAGCAGCAACGCGTTCATCAAAAAAGACACCGCCATTGCTACAGCTTATACAGAGAAATGTGCTAGAGAATGGGTTCCCAACGTTGGTGGCGGGTGCATTTGCTGGTCATCACTTGCTGCAATACGTTCACAAACACTACAACACGACACAAAAGAAGCAACAACAACAACAACAGTGGCTTCATAAGGTGGATCGCAAGACGGCCATCTTTTTGTCTTCTGCTCTTAGCATGTTCCTTGTTCGACGTGTTTTCCCTCGTACAAAGACATTGGATTTCACCCTATTTGCTTTGGTGCGAGCATTGGATGTCATGGCTCATCGTGCATACGACTCCCCCACTATTCGAGAACGCGTCCCTGGTTGGTTGCTTGACTATGGTAGTGTCGCTGTGTTCACGACGGCATGCACCGAAATTATGTTTGCATGGTTCTACGCACCTGAGAGATTACCTGGGTAAGTAAGAATGGCGGGTTTCCTATGATACAAGATCACTCATTGCATGGCAAAACAGGTCTTATTCGGGTTGGATCACAAAAATGTCCGAGATGGATAAGCGATTACTGATGGCATTACGAGCTATTCGCAGTGGTGATTGGGTTTATGGGGCAAGTAGTAAACAGGAGTCTTGAATAATACAAGTGATGCTAACATGCTTTTATTATTATAGAAAGATACTGGTATGCAAGACCTTCTTGGCGATTATGCGGTTGAACTCGGACTTCCAAAAGCAGCTGGAGATCCTATGAATGGACGTATCCCATGCCAGATTGTACATCAAGGACAACCTTATGGATGTGAAGTATATGCCATGAATCGCTTTGTCAAAGGATTCCTCAAGGTGTATCCCGTAAGTATTATCCTATATATTGTGGGCGTGGGGAATAATGACAAAGGAGCTCACAACTCTTCTATTAGCTATACCTCTCGGTTCATTTATTACCACCTTTGCTTTTCCGAACATCCCAATTGTTACAGAACCCGGGTAGTCGGCTGTTCCATATTCTCAAGGCATCTACACGCTCCTCTACATTCTTGGCATCTTTTATTACAATCATTTGGTACTCGATTTGCCTCGTCCGCACACGCATTGGTCACCAAGTCCTGAATGTGAATCAAACGTACCTGGATAACACATTGGCGCCTTTGGTTGGATGTATGCTCTGTGGTTTATCCCTTCTCATTGAAAGTCCTCATCGACGAGGTGAAATGGCGTTGTATGTTGTACCAAGAGCAATGCTATCAATGTTTGAACGTGTTTTGGGTCCACATCAAAAGGGGCGATGGTGGGAATCCGTAGCTGCTGAAGCTGCCGAAACGACCGTATTTGCTTCTTCCATGGCGGTGGTCTTGGATGCCATGTTTAACGACAAATCCCATGTACGATCGTCTGTTCGAGGTTTCTTGTCATGGATTATGAAGGATGAATTGAAACAAGATGAGAAGAAGCAAGATGATGACTAGTAGAAACAGGATGTCGATTCTATAGTATACCATTACTTAATACATAATATACATATTTACACTGTGGGCAATCATCGAGATGGATCATTAATGATAAGTCATTTGAGGTTTATTGAACAAATCTTGCTTGTGTCAAGAATCAGCTATTAATCCTTAGTAACATTGACCGAAATGGAAAGCCTAATACGATTGACTATTAGCTTGGCCCTAGAGCTGCTGCAACACGATGTTGATGATAACTACTACCAATTGCCATCCAACACATGATGGAGGTTGAGTTTATAAGTGGCAAAGCGGATATGTAAGCATGCATAAAAAGATACTCCTTTTGGTTGTTGATGTGGATGAATCGGCCGATACAATGCTCATAACAGCAAGATAATGATAACAAAGAGTACTCTGAATGACGACCATTGACTAGAGGGAGATGAGAGTGATACAATCAATGCCTATTTTTGATCCGCCATAATCAGGTGTTCCTTCTCTCTTGTTCTGTAACCACCACACATTTTCTCGTATCCGCAGCTCCCACATGCCCTCATTGCTGCTGCTCTTGCTCTCAACATGCATGGGCATAGTAGCCATGCCCTTTCATTCCGGTCCTCATTTACGTAAAAGGTGCGGCGAAACGTTTACGGCCACAACCGAGCCAACCGAGTTGTCTTCTTCCTTTATTACGTACGTCCTCTTTTCTTTCTCTTAACCAATGTACAAAATGGTGACTCATGTGTGGAATTAGCAACTGTGAATGGCATTTGGAGGCAACTGCAGGGACCCTTGTCAAGCTCGAGTTTACCATGTTGGACCTTTTTTGTGGGTGAGTTTATTGCTTATGCCGATCATTACTGCTTTTTCGGGCTGCATGAATATCTTATTGATCCATTCGTTCAAGCCAGGACTATATCAATGTATCCAGTGATGGCATCGTATTAGCCAACCTATGTGGATCCCAATTACCACCACCGATTTATGCATCCTCCACCATGTCGATAGCAACGGCCACAGGAAATGCATTTCATGCAATATACCAAGCCATTGGTAAGAGTCTCATGCTGTGTGCTTGGCGTCTCCAACAACTTACCATGATCTGATCATTTAGATGTATGCGATGCTTGTGGAGATCATGGCACCTGTAACAATGGCACCTGTGAATGCGCACCAGGATTTCAAGGCATTGCCTGTGATCAAGGTGAGTGGATACCAAGTTCGATTAAACGTGTTCTCTAATGGATTGGCTTTTAGCGATTTTTTCTCGTAGCTTGCATGGTGCTGTGTATTATCCTCCTCGTGACAGCATGATTGTATACGGTGGGACGACCTTGAATGGATTGGCTAGTCCAAGCCTGATAGAATTTCATTTTGGTAACGAAGCATGCTCCAGTAGTTGAAGTCTTGGGCTAAGGAATGTATATAGGCAACATGAGTTGGACAACACCGACCATAGCTTCATCGACAGCGCCTATCGCACGTTATGGACACGCTTTATTTATGCATGATGGTTACGTATATTGCTTTGGTGGAAAAGGAAGACCAGGTGTTGTTTTGAGTGATTTATGGCGTATGGATCCAGGCAAGTATCTTATGGGGAGGGCCATGATATATCGAGGATGAGCAAAAGCTGACTATCCATACCTCTGCAGCAACATGGTCATGGGAACAAGTGAGCTTTGCAAATGACAATAGGCCGCCCATCCTTATCGATCCAACGGTGACCATTGTTTCCCATGGAAGTAATTCGACCCAGATGTTTGTCTTTGGTGGATACATGGCAACCAACTATAGCATGTCTCGAAGTATCTATGTCTATGATGTTGGTAAGTGATGAGCTTGGTGGAGCGGAAAGGAAAGAAATCCAACATGTGTTACAATAGCTACTGGGTATTGGGAGAATCAATTGAGAAGGAACGGCATTGGATGTGTGGGAGCCCAAGGAATCTATCACCCTGACACCGAGTCGATCTACTACTTTGGTGGTCTACGGGAAAACAACAGCAATGCCCTATTCGAGTATCACATTCCGAGCGATCTTTGGTACCTGGATCAGACACAATTGGAGTTTCAGGGACGAGTACAAGGAGCAGCTGTGCTATTTCAAAACGACCAAGCATTGTTATTCGGAGGACAAACACCAGACGACGACACGACGTCGGACAATCATACATGCTTTTATGCCGATGCCAACATGTACGATTTCGGTATGTCTTGCTAGCTCAGCTATCCCCGATGATAATGATGACAACTAATGATAATATTGACCATTGTAGCATGTGGCACCTTTTCATCCAATGACATGGCCATTCAATCCAACCCAAGGATGGGACATAGTTTGGTTATGCGAAATGGCGAAGCTTGGATATTTGGAGGACAAAATGGTGTCGATTTGGGAGATGTCACGCGTGTTTCCATTCCGTCAACATCCAGCATCACTGCGACTCAGGAACAACTATGCAAAAGTAAGTGGATGGAGTCATCGTTTTGTTCTCTTGTTCATGTCAAAACGGTAGCATAGGTGTACGATGGTGTAGCACATATAATGATTGTGATGGTGAGCTATTTTTTATTCACGACATGATTAAGGAAAAGCTAAATACGGATTATCTTAGATTGCCAGCAAAAGCGTTATTGCTCGTATACCCATGGATCATGTACCTTTAATGACACAGATGTTGATTTAACAAGTGATACTTGTCCTACGCGTAAGTGCCTTTATTGTATGCATTAACACATTCCAGCTAATTGGATCGCAAATAGGCATCCCTGTCAACGTGGGTGAATCATACAATGGCATCTTGACAGATCGACTTGTATTCAAGACATTTGTGGATGCTCCCGACCAGGACCTTGTATTTCGATTCAGCTCCGTGGATAATGAAATGGTCGCTATTACCTTTGAAACGATGAATGGATGGCAAGGGGAAAGGAACAACAATAACAAGGCAATCGTATTCAATGACCAAGGGCAGCCGTATCGAATCATGAACGACACCAATCATATCCCAATCACAGCTTCATCAATAATGCAAGATCCAACGCCACTTGTAGGTGTCAGCCCAACTGTATCCATCAAATCCAATGACACACGCCGCTATAGTGGATACTATGTGTACCAGCTACGCAATACAGATGGATCAGCGCAACAAATTAAGGTATCAGTGGAGCTACACGATTCGGCTACTGGGAAAAACGCGGATGGTGGTCGACAACAGCAACAACAATCGGATCAAGAAAATGGAGGTGGACCTTCAAAGTCACTCAAAATAGTCGCTCTCACGCTATTTTGCTTTGCATGCCTTTTATTTTTCGTCGTGGGTGTCATTGGTAGCCGACGTATGCGCCGCTATGTTCAAGAAAACAACAGGAATAATGGACCTGGCATTGAAGGCCCGAATGAACTTGGCTCTGAACTCTCCCAAGGAAATGTGCCCAACGTCTACCATATCAAGGTGCCGAAGCGATGGTGGGATATTGCCGTCCTTGATCCATCAGCAAAGGGATCGACGTATCTTCCCATGGTAAGTGCATTTCATCACAATCACACAAGCATCTTTTTCGCTAATACGTGATTGTGTTTTACCTTTTAGCCTCTCTCGGCGCAACCACTTTTATCCACGGATCAAGAAGATTGCCAAACTAGTAATAGCGACCGTCAGATCGGAATTACCAGTCATGTGGATAGCACCAATACCAGCAGTGATGATGACAGCAGCTGTCATCCATATGTTCTCAATTATGCCGTTTTGCTTCCCACGCCCCCAGTATCAATGAGCACCCATGACGATGCCAAGGATGAAGAATTAGCCATGTTACCCAATATCACTCTTGCCAGTACACTTGTTCAAGTGGATCCTACGCTTTAAACTTTTTGTATCCGCCTACTTTTTATATACACTAATATGGTCTCAATGATCGTGTACGGGTTCTCTTTAATAATAAATGCATTGTAACCGCTATCCTGGATTCCCTTCTAAGTGATGATGGCATGTATGTCTTTTTTCAATTGACACGTTTCGAATATGATTTCCATAGTTGTTCACGTAAAACAAACTTTTGGTACTTGCCTAACAAGGTTTTACGGTAAATCAATTAGTAACTAGCGGATGATCTTTCTCTCTCTCTCTCTCTCCACAATTACCGGTGCTCGTCTTTGGGATGTTGTTGGTGAAGATGACTTTGGAGGGGCACTTGTAACCAGCCAAGTTTTTCCGGCAATGCTCAATGACAGCGGCTTCAGTTAAGGATTGGCCTTGCTTGAGAATAACGAATGCATAAGGACGTTCACCCCATTTTTCATCTGGACCTGCAATGATGGCACTATATAATAGTGTTGCATTAATCTTCTTACTGCCCTTTGAAGATAACTAAAACCTTGTTCCTGCAAACCTTACCATTCCGACACAGCATCCATTTGTACAACGACGTTTTCAACTTCGATTGAACTGATGTTCTCACCACCTGAGACGACCACATCTTTGGAACGATCCACGATTTCCACAGACCCATCCGTATGCCGTACTCCCAAATCGCCTGTCCAGAACACACCATGACGAAAAGCTTTGGCGGTTTCTTCGGGGTCATTGTAGTACCCGAGCATAACAAGGTTTCCAGTGATGCAAATCTCGCCCACCGTCTTGCCATCAGGTGGTACGTCCAGAGCCGTTTCCTTATCAAGAACACGCATTTCATCGCAAATCGCTGTACCATAGCCAATACGTGCTGCAAGTGTCAAATGCTGATCCTTGGGATATTGTGCGATAGCCGCGTTGTCATAACTAAGAACACAAGGACCCATGGTTTCGGTAAGGCCGTCTATTGCTTGGTGAGAAGGAGGAAGTTGTATACGCACACATGCAATGGCGTTCCACTTACACACTTGAGTAGGCTCAATGTTCAAGTCATGGAGACGTTTGATGCGAGTACTTGACAATGCAGCACCTGAATGTTGATGGACAGAGGTGAGTGGAAAAAGGAAGCAAGCAAATCACATGTTGACTCACCTCCACTAAATGTAAGCACTTTGCGATCAAGTCGCACAGCATCTTTGTGGTTGCAGATTTCATTTTGTACTGTGGGTGCACCGCAATAGTGAGTGATACCATGGGTCTTTAGCATCTTCCAGATCAACGTGTAATCAATGCCATTTAGCATCACTTGTGTGGCTATCATTATCACACATACATGCATACATGAGTCATCTTTTTACGATATCCATATCCATCGTTGCCAAGCACTTACCACCCATGGATACGAGGGCCCAAGGGAAATTCCAACCGTTGCAGTGAAACATGGGCAGCGTCCACAAATAGACCGTTTCAGGAGTAACGCGTGCTTGCATGCACATGGAGACGGCCATCATGTAGCATGATCGATACGACACCATGACACCCTTGGGACGACCTGTGGAACCAGACGTGTAGTTGATTGATAATAATGCATTTTCATCTTGTGTAAGCGGCAATGCATTCCAGCTGAGACGGGGCTTTGTGCAACTTTGAATCAGTTGCTCATATGCACATAATGTCGTATTCGTCGGTTGAACCGTAATCATCTTGACTTGTTGTCTCGCTTTGGGTGATACACGCGATAATAAATCTTCTTGCACAACCAACACACTGGCTCCAGAATGTGCAATCACATAATCAATCTCGGCTGCTGCAAGTCGCGTATTCAGGGGAACCAAAACGCCACCTGCTGCAGGCACAGCATACTTGCTTTCAAGAAAGGCTGGCACATTTTGACACAAAATCGCCACTCGATCTCCTGGTTGAACACTGTATTGGTCAATCAATACATTTGCAAGTCGATGTACACGCTCGGCTAGTGCTTGGTATGTAAACTGCCGATCTCCATCAATCATGGCAACCTTGTTTTTATAAACCATCGCACTACGTAGCAACCACCGTATCGGGTTCAAGGGTGTTGTATAGGGTGCTTGGCCTTGAGCGCGATGGATTCTCACTATGATGAGTTTGGTTTTAGTATACAAGCTTTCCCACAACAACAACACTATGAATAATACTTGCAGTTTTCAAAATGAGCGTCATCACCAAGATGGTTGGCAACACCTTGTAAACGTCGAAGAGCTACGTTGTTGGTATCGGAGGAGCTCATGTCAAGGAGAAAATGGTTAAAGAAAGAAAGGAGCAAGGAATTCCCAGGAGCAGCAAAAGTATTGCCTTTTTATTTCTCAGGCACTGTGTGACCACCGCATCATCTCCAATGCACACACACAACAACACAAGCGAATCATACCCCGTTGTACCGCATGACACACAAGCTTTTTTAAAATCCCCCTGCTCTAGCGCCTAGCATTATCATTTTACCCCGCTTCTTTCTCATCTATCATGTACCCCGGCCATATCATTGGAATAGTTGATTCAATAACACATCATGGACACTTTTACCAATATGAATTCCCGTATTAAATAAGATGTACCAGAAGAATCAATATCCCGAGACTTTACCGATAATAATGTCATTGATTGATCTTTTCGATAAGATACTTAGCGTTCTCCATGCCGTAAATCACATTACATTTTGCATATCAGGGACATCCCCACACATTATTATTCTAATTACTATACAACGACCATCTGTTTTAGTCACGTGATCACAAATCGAGAAAAAACAAAAAAGAAAGTGAAGAGAGTGGGATTCGAACCCACGCCTCCGAAGAGATCAGGGCCTTAACCTGACGCCTTAGACCAACTCGGCCATCTCTCCGCCTTTTCGCTCTTATTTTATTACTTTTGAGTGCACAGATAAGTCTCTGACCTTCCTTATTTGGGTGGGGTCATTTTAGTAAATGAGGTTATGGTCTAATGAGGGGATTTGGAGCTTTAAAACTAGCCAATGATGTTCAATTTGAGCTTGTTGCAGGAATTAAGAGTCCGTGCTCGCAACACGTGATCATTTGGCTCCCCTTGGCATCATCACTTTTATCTTTGCATAAAAAAAACATCTCTGTTATTACACAAATGACTTTTTAATTGGGGTTTTCTTATAAAAATGTACAGGACATGGAGCTGATACAATAAAAAGTTGGGTTACTACATAAAAGGGGTCTATTTAAATGAGCAACAACAACAACAATAAGGCTATACAGCAGTATGGGGATCTACATGTAATCGTTTGCTTCTTTTTCCTCATTGGAACAGCGAATACACGAACGATTGCAGCTACAATGCACATTAGCAAGCTGTCCGAGGAGAGCCTAGCATAGTTGTTGAAGGTCTTGTAAGTGGCAATGGTGCACTTGAACGAATGGAAATGCATACCCACCATGCGACAATCTCCAACCAGCTACAGAGCAATGTACGATTGACACTTGAAACACCTCGTGTTAGCGACACAAAGACACCCGTTGAGCCTTGAGGTATGTTCGTTGCTAGGCATGTAGTGATTAAAATCACGTCTCATATCCTATCGTCAAGGTGTTCATCAAATGCGAGGGTCATTTACAAAGGAGACTATTGAATGGACGTGTTGAAGCAAAGTATGGAACTTGGTGGTAAAAAAGGAAGGATCGATGATCAGTAGTATCAACAACAACGGTAACTTCTTTCCCTTTGGCGGATATTGTGGTTGTCAGGCACGATTAGGTGGTAGCTCGGATTAGATCCATTCTATCTTTTACATAAAACTCTTCAACAACATCTACCAAGTCTCGTGTACTCATTCTTGTTATCAATCGCATACATAACCGTCTGGTGGTCATGGCAACCACAATCTCCGAACACAGATTGCATGATTTTCCTTCTCGATAATAAACGTCTATGTCATGTAAATAATAGCAAGCGAGGGGAAACAAAACACCTCCTACACAATAAAAGAGAAATGACTGTAGCTCTAAAAGCGTGCACATGGCTTTTTAATAGAATAAGAAGACAATAAAGTGACAAGGAGATGAGAGGAATATGGATATGAGTGGGAGAGAGTGAGAGAGAAGCAAAGGATATTTTTAGCAGTAAAAGAAAAGTGCAAGCAAACCCAAGGCGATGGTTACGAATAGGTTAGCGCGAGTAGAGCTACCAGCACCAGGACGTGTAGTGCCGATAAAGCAATCGGTAGCACATTGGAAAGCCATACTTTCAGGGTTATGCACGATGGTGTCGTCGGGGCAAAGCTGGAACTGATTAGGGGTCATGTAGCAGTAGCCGAGTGCACGTGGTGCCATGAATGATGGGAATTGGCCGTTGAGCTGATTATAGTTCAATTGTACATATTCAAGCTGTGCAAGTGCTCCCAAACTGTCAGGAATAGGACCGGTCAATCCATTACGACCCAACATGCTAATCATGCCAAAAGTTAGCGTGTGCATCAAGGTCATTGTAATAGCTACTTACAGCTTTTTCAAATTCACCAATTGACCAAGCTTATCCGAAATCTCTCCTGTAAGGCGATTATGGGTCAAATCACTAAAGGGTATTGTCTTTGTAAGCAATGGATACATAGCCAAGTGAATACACTTACAGGTATTGGAGATTAGAAAGTCCATAAAGTGATTCGGGAATTGTGCCGTTCAACATCATATCCGACATCAAGCTATAAAAACATGATGAGCCATGGTGATCAAACATAAACAATAGCCTCCTTGCTGTTTACAAACTTACAGGTTGGTGAGCGAAGTGAGATTGCCAATGCTTGCAGGAATGTTACCCAACAAATGGTTCTGGCGAATATTTCTGGAAAGGATGAATGAGCCACTTTTTTCACGTACATCCTTGTGATCCAAACTTACAAAACCTTCAAGGCTCCAAGGTTGCCAATCTGAGGTGGAACAATGCCGTTGAATTGGTTGTTATCAATCGCCCTGAAAAGATAGCATGTTAGTGTTGCCCTTGCTAAAGTGCACCTTTACACTTACAAGGTAGTCAATTGACCAAGGTTCAAAATGGACATTGGGAATGGGCCGCTCAATTGATTGTTGCTCAAATAGATATCTATCGTATGCGTTGAGTGGATTTTGGATAAACGCCATGTATATGAATAATGTATCATACCATTAAGAGTACCAATGTTACCCCAAGAATCAGGGATGGATCCAGTGAATGAGTTGTTCTTCATATGACTAGAGACGAGAAAACAAGAGTAAGCTCCATGGATTGATCGTGGTCGTTAAAATAGGACATACATGCTTTGCAACATGGGTGTTTGGCCAAAAGCGATCAAACCACCTCCCAAATTATTGACGTCGACATTGATGAATCGCAAGTTGGGCATGTTGGCCAAGGATCCAGGCAATGAACCTGAGATTTGGTTATGGCTCAAGTCACTATGATAATGTATGTGTGTAAGTCGTATGGTGGTAATAGGGTATTTACATGCGTCCACTTACAGATTAGTCAAAGATTGGAGCGAACCAAAGACGTCGGGAAGTTCACCAGCGAGATTGTTGTAAGGTAATTGGCTATGCAATGCATGTTTTAGCTTTGTTTGATATATATGTATCAAGATCGGCAGGCATTAGCTTACATTTTTGATACAGAGCCCATGATGCATGATACACCAAACCATCCATTGCAGCAGCTTGTCATATCATCGCCTGACCAACCATTGGATACGGTCCATGAGTTGCCATTGAGTGAGTTGTAAATTTGTTTCAATGCTTGACAAGCAGCTTCGTCAACCGTGTCACCCGATGGTGTGGCGTCAGGTGCTGTTTCTGGATCGGTAGGTGATGGTTGTTGTTGTTCACCACCATCGGATGGTTGATCTGTGGGTTGTTGTGGGTCTGTTGTGCCGTCATCAGATGGTGAAGGTGAAGTTGTGCCATCATCAGTAGGGTTGGGAGTGGTGCCATCATCAGAGGGTTGTTGTGTATCGCCGCCTGTTGAGCCATCACCACCGGTTGAACCATCGCCACCAGTTGAGCCATCACCACCAGTTGAGGTATCACCACCACCAGTTGAGGTATCATCACCACCACCGGTAGAGCCATCGCTACCAGTTGAACCATCACCAGTGCCTGTGCCTGCATCACCACCAGTTGAACCATCACCGGTGCCAGTATCACCACCAACACCATCACCAGTGCCACTATCACCAGCACCGGGGTCTGAACAAAGAAGAAAACGTCGTCGTCAATAAAATTGTTGTTTCATATTGGCGTGAGAGAGAGTGAGACGAAAAAAAAGTACCTTGCGCGAATACCATGGCAGCGAGAGCCAATATCAGCAAGAGGATCAATAATCTCATTGCGAGAAAGGAAGGAAAAGAATGAAAAAGGGAAGGAGGAGGAGAAGGAGGAGTGAGTAGAGGAAAGGGAAAGGTAGTAAAGAAGAAAAAGAAAATTGATGATGGCTGTGTATGGTATACAATGTTGTCCAAAATAGAGTGATCGCTGTTTACATTTCTCGTTTGTGTTACATACAACGCGCCTGCTCCTGTAGCGCTATTTTTATAGTCATCGTATCTCGAATTAACCTTTGTGCCCTGGTCAATGTGTGTAACCTGTTGCCCACTTTTTATCTCAGCCCAACAACGAACGACATACATGCATCTCTTTTTTATTGTTTGAATCATTATCCTTCTTTTGTGGGTTGTTGCTGACGACTTTGTCCAATCTTCCATTCTTCACTCGTAGAGATGGCAGGGGGTGGTGGTGGTGGTGGCCCTCCTTCAGTAACAGGTGGTTTCTTCTCCACAAATGGGTTGGTATGACTAGCCTTATCTTGTTCCTCTTGTTGCAAGCGTGCAGCCAATTCAGCATCTTGCCTGATTTGATCTTGTCGTTGCCAAAGTGCTTGTAAATCTGCCGAGTCAATATCCACCATATCATAATCATCATCGTAATCATCGTCCAATGCTTGTCCATCATCATCACTATTGTCTCCTCGTATCTCTTCATTGAACCGACTTGACGTGCTTGCCACTGATAAAAGGTCTGCATCTTTGTTGATAGGGTGACCTTGATCATCCATGCGCCACGACCGACTAAAAAGACTGTGCCATTCACACGCCACATCCCGTAACATGGCCTCTTCTTCATCCTTGCCTTGTTCCGAAATATCATCAAACAACGATAAGCCTTCTGCATCATCTTCTTGATGATGATGATCATCATCACTATCCACATCCACGCCTTCGTCGATATAATGTTTGCCAAATAAGCCCATCCATGGCCCTCGATATGAATCATACGGCAATGCCTTCTTGGGGTCTTGATCCGTCCATGAAAATCCTCGCAAAAGTAGATTCCAGTAAATGGCGAACGTGACAAAGAATACGTATGGCTCAAGACAGCACATGCCCCACAATGCTTGGTATCCCTCGTATGCCACCACGCCGACAATAGTGCTCAACATTGCAATCCATGCATAGTATCCAATAGGCTTACCTATGAATGAATACATGACATATGAGTGTCTTTCCTTTTGTATGAGTCAATGTATACTTTACCCAGCCAAGACCGTCGTCGTTGCAGTAGCGGCATGATTGTGTCATGCAATAGTCGTATATGGAATGGTTTGGCTGGATCCACTTGTTCCATCACCACCACGGGTGAATGTGTTCTTGTGGGAGTGGGTGTTATATCCTCTTCAGCAGCAGCATCATGATCCATACTTGTCGTCACTGTTAATGGTGTGGTGTGTGCATCGTCAGCAGGCGTTATAGGATCAGGTACGGGCGATGTGAGCGAGTCAACTCGAGATTTGTCATTGGGGGAAGTGGGTGTTGGTAATGAGGTTGCGGAAGAGTGCGATTGATCAGGGAATGGTGGAATGAAGCGTTTGGGTTGTGGCGATATGAGACCTGGGTCTTGTTGTTGTTGGTTGTTTGAACGAGGAAGAGTTGCAAATTGCTGTGGTAACGGCGGTACAGGCGGAGGTTGTTGGGTATTTTCTCCACCTTTTTGGGTTGCTGCTGCTGCTGCCATATCAGGTACAGAGAATGATTTGAATAGTCCTGATGATCTTGATAAGAGTTGCATCGTAAATAGAGCTTGAAACTCGATCAAAAACTCCAACACACGCTTCATAATGGCCATCTGTACAGGGCTGTTATGGCTTGGATGACTAAAGATAGATGGGGCAAATACAATGGCAAGGTTGGCAGCATCCATGCGGTTCTCCATCTCATTCGATGCAAATAGGCTAAGCATGTCAAGTAGATACAACAATAAATGTTGATGTGGGATGGGTAGTTGTTGGATCAGGTGCTGAAATGCTTGGATGCGGGCCTCGGTCGACTTGTAATACTTGTCACCTGCACAACAACCAACCCCCCCATGTTGAATGAGTCAACAATTTTATCAAAGATCCTTCTTTTTTCACTTACTCATGACATCACGGAATGGCTCATAAAACTCATGTGGAATTACAGGCTCTGGTAAACTTTGTAGATATCGACGTAGAATACTGGAAGCATCATGCACGCTGTATCCTAGCCAATGGATATTCAAACCATACGATTCGCGTGGATCATCAAAGATGGTTTGCAAATGCTGTATTCGTTTGACACTACCAGGTATACGAAAGATACCTTGTGTGTGAAGTGCTATTAAATGAAGATATCGTGAGCTCATTTTGTTGCATATACGTGCATCAGCAGCACCCTTAAACATGATCGTGCATACCATTTGCCTTGAGAAATGAGCCACACTTGGCTACTACAAGTGGGATAATGCCTGCTCGCCGATGTTTGACCGCTTCTTCATCCACATAGCCCACTGTGGATCGTGCATAGCAAATTGACTCACAAAGAGACACACCAAAGACGCCTATTTGTTGATCTGTCATGAGCCAAAAGTTGCCCTCCTTCATCTCCTACTTGCGCCTCATATATATACTTGCCTGATTTCTTCCCAGAAGTCGGTCCTACGCGACGTAATCCTGAGCCAGTCAGTCGTCGCATCCATGACCCTATCGATCGTTTTCGTGGAAGTTGAGTAGTTGACATGTTGTTGAAAAAGTGAAAAACGAGATACAAGTGGATAAAATAAAAGCAAAAAGGAGAGAAAGGAAGAAAAGAAGAAAAAGGATAAGGCTTGTGTATGTTTGATGCTGGCACACAATAGGTTGCTTCGGCTTTGTGTAACGACTTGTTAGTGCAAAAGTGTATCAACAAAAGGTCATACACACTTTCCTATAATGCAAAGTGGCCCCGCTGTTGCATCATACAGGAGGCAGCAGCACCAATAATTCATCTGTCACCTTTTGAGCTTAATTTACGTCACTCGAGTAGTTTATCATCATCTTTTCGAATGCTAACCAAGAAAATCTTTGCTCCCCAAATTTGCCCAGGTGACTCTTTGCTGTATGTACAATTGGAGGTTCATGATAGAGTCGGGTGAAAGCTTTAGCCGCTTTACTTGTGTGTGGATGTGATTTCATTTCATTTCCTTTATGCAGCAGTAAAGCGCAGTTCAGAAACATCAATCATCTCTCTTTGAATTCCAAATGCCCTTTGCAATCCATTGGATTGAAGCTTATCATTGCCATTGTGGTTCGCTTGAAGCTTACGACGACATTATGGGTGCGTTGACAAGCAAATTCACATTCAAATGGGTTGGATGAACTACCCAACTTGCTTACAGTATCAAATACTCGAAAGCGATCATGCCAAATGCAGCCGTTTAATCCTTCCAATGGATACTGTAGTGATCATACTTTTTGAAATCACACTGGTTCAAATGGTATCCATGGAGACCAGCAATGTAGAGCTTCCTAGGCTTTAAGCAAGCTTGTCCAAAGCATGACCCACGATATTCGAAGCACAACCGCCAAGCATCACCATGGCAACAACAGCTCTTTTTTTGATCCGATAATCCACACGTGATAAATGATACAGTCGTCTTTTTCAACTTTTTTGGTGAATGTATTTACTATGTTGAAAAGAAAAAAAGCGAAGGAGAAAACATACAAAGAGACAAGGAGGTGATGGTGGGTGTGTGTGTGGTGAAGGGAGGATGGGGAAAAGAATATAAAGAGAAAAAGAAAAAACTATAACGTCCAAAGGATGAGATTTTTATCCTTGATGCTATGGCTTGCAGTTGCCACCACTTGGGTATTGTCCATGGACGCACAAGCAATGCAAGCCACGGTTCCTGGTTGTTTTCCTGCTTGTTTCGGTTGTGCACCTGATACGCCGCACTGCCAAATGTAAACGGCTTCATATTCACCAAACACTACCCGTAGCTTGTCAAGGCTGCAATCGCCATCACTATTCGCAAACGCACAACTTGAAATCTTGCCGGGTACTGATTGAGATACCAGCATTTTCCAGTGAGATGCTTCATACACAGCAACATGGCCCTCAGAGCACGTAACCAAAAAGTTGCCATCGGGTGACCAATCCAATGCCGATATGTTCTTTGAGTCCTCCGTGGTGATTGTTCGAATCGCCGCATCATTGCCAGTACCATTGTTCTTGGCATTGGTAACATTAACCACATACAATTGGTTACCCACTGCACATGCTACGATGTTGCTGTCACGTGGATGGCATCGTAATGGATTGGGACCCACAGTTTGTAACGGCTATATAGACAATCCCATTAGTTTTCTTTTATCCCATATAAAAGAGACCACTTTACCATTTTAAATCGTTTTTCGGTTTGCTGTGTGTTCATATTCCATACATCCAACTCGCCTTCTTGATCCATGGAGCAAATAATTTCGGGTCGTCCAGGGCAAAAATCAATAGCGACGACTGAAATACGACGTTCATACATGAGGATTTGCTTGGCAGTGGCTGCATTGCCTGAGAGGGCGGAACCAATATCCCATATACGGATAGACTTATCATAGGATGCCGTAGCAACGAGATTTCGGTCATCAGGACTCCATCGTACACAGCTGATAACACCTCCATGACCACCGAGATCGTACAACTTGGTCTTGTCATGGACACCCCAAACCAGGATACGCTTATCTCTTCCACCACTCACAAGGTATTGGCCATTGGGAGAAAACGCACATGTCATGACCTTGTTGGTATGTCCTTGTAATTCACCATGTTGTTGTAATACTTGGCCCGCTACCGGTAAGGAAAGAGATCCATCCACGCCCAAATTGCCACCCATGCTGGCAAGGAAACTGTTGCTAAAGCCATCCATATCACCGCCATCACCCATCAAAAGAGCGGCATCACCATCATCATTGGCTGCAAAAATCTCGGCGAAATCACCACCATCGCTCATCATGAATCGTTCAAGATCAAACGACATGTTGTTGGCACCACCACTACCACCACCTCCACCAGCTCCAGCACCAGCACTGCTAGTAGGTACAGCGGCACTTGCAGAAGGTGCTGTTGCAGGTGATTGCATGGTTTCAGGTTTGACGTTGGTGGATGCTGGTGAACCCATTTCCATTCCTGTAGCATTCCATTGCATTCTTTGTTGTTGTTGTTGTTGCTGTGAAGAAGCCTGTTGTTGTTGTTGAGATGGGATTTGTTGAGGTGCTTGTGTAGGTGTGGATCGCTTATTATTACGATTGGTTTGTGGTGATGTGGTAGCACTCGTATTTCCTCCTCCTCCTCCTCCTTGAGCATTATTGTTATTGGCTTCTTGATTCCCCGTAAATGATGCTCGTTGTTGCATAGGTGTTCCTTGTTGTTGCTGTTGTTGTTGTGGTGGCATGTTGCGACCAGCTCCTCCTTTACCACCTTGTTGTTGTTGATTCATCATTGGACTACCAACATTGCTGAGTTGGGGAGAAGGATGAGCACCAGGTTGATTGCCAGGTGTGCCAGGTTCATTTTCAGTATTAAGACGAGGTCGTTTGTTGGGATGTGTTTGAGGTGATTGTTGTTGTTGCTTAGCAGCAGCAGCAGCTTGAGCAGCAGCAAATTGCATTTGACGTTGATATTGAGCAATGGCTCTGGCCTTTTCAGGATCTTGTGGAGAACCGGCACCACCACTAGCAGCAGCAGCAGCAGCAGCGGCAGCAGCGGCAGCTGTCATTGGCATCCCACCAGGAGTCGTAGTCACCATAGGATTGGGTCCTTGTCCTGCTCCACTTGCAGCAGCAGCGGCTGCCATTTGTTGTTGTTGGTATTGTTGTTGTTGCATCATTCGTGCTCGATTCGCTGCTAACATTCGTTGATGTTGTTGTTGACGAAATGCCATCTTTTACAAAAGGATTCCATCAGCCTCTCCTCTTTTTAAAGAAACACCTCCCACACATACCTGTTGTTGAGCCGTCATATTGGGTGGTAATTGTCCTTTGCTGATCATTTGTTGCATCATCATATTCATGGTGGCAGCTATAATAATGATGCGTTAATCTCTTGAAGAAAACCAGCGCCAAAAGAGATACTTACGATCAGTAGCAAAAGGGGAATTTTGCATAGCATTCGGGTTTTGCATGGCAGCAGACATTTGTGCAGCAGTAGCAGGACCGCCCATAGTCATTGATGGATTGGCAGTAACACGTGGTTGTCCATTACCTACATTAAAACCTGTCAATGCCTGTATAGGATATCTAATCATAAACAATTTCCCTCCCAAATTCTTACCAGCTTGAACCATGGCTGCATTACGTGCAGCTGCCATATCCATTGCATGTTGTTGCTGATTGGGTGGCATACTTTGTGCTTGTTGTGGTGTAGCTGGTGGCTGTTGCTGTGGTTGCTGTGGTTGCTGTTGGGGTTGTTGCTGTGCCATATGAGGTGGTTGTTGTGATGCAGCAGCAGCGGCAGCAGCAGCGGCAGCGGCTTGTTGTTGAGCCAACATTTGCTGTTGTTGAGGATTCATGCCACCTTGAGGATGTTGTTGTTGTGGTTGCTGCTGCATTGGCATTCCTGGTCGACCTGGGTGGTTCATCATGTTCCTTTGTTTTTGACATGATAAGTTCATTGTTGTTGTGTGATTCAATAATGATTACTTACGGGTTCCTCATCATATTGCCTTGAGCAGCAGCAGCAGCAGCCATTTGTTGTCGTTGCTTGATTTGCATTTGAAGAGCATTCTAAAGAAGAAGCACGTTAATTTACCTATCAAAAGAGGGAAGAAGATGATGACACTTTACCTTTTCCTCTTGTGACATTGAAGCAAAGTCTCGTCCATTCAAATTGATACCCATCATTGGATTTTGCATTCCACCGGCAGCAGCCACAGCGGCAGCTCGTTGAGAATTGAGCATTGCTTGACTCATTGGCATACCTTGTGGACCCACCATAGGAGAATTCATCATTTCATGTTGTTGTTGAGGTTGACCGGCAGGAGTGGGAGCACCCATCGGTTCACTCATTCGTGGTTGTTGTTGTTGTTGTTGTTGCATGATTTGAGGAGAGAAGGAAGGTGACGAAGCGTGTTGATGCTGTTGAACGGGTGTAGGAGGGGGTGGTGGTCTTCCAGGCATGTGTTGTTGCGGTAAAGATGCAGGCATGCTTTGAGGAGTATGTACAAGGTTGGTAGTAGGATTGGTATTGGTGTTGGGTGTCGGATGAGTAGGCATACCGCTTGTGGGAAGAGATGTGGTACTACTTGCAGGTGAAGGACGAGCATGTTGTTGTGGTTGTTGCTGTGACGGCACACTTTGTGGTGTTAGTCCTGCAGCACCAGCACCAGGATATTGTTGCTGTTGCTGCTGTTGCTGTTGTTGAAGCATGTGTTGTTGTTGAGGCGAGTTTCGTAATGCTTCAGATGCCCGCCTTTGCTGCTGTTGCTGTTGTTGTGCAGCTACAGCTTGTTGTTGTGCACGATGCTGTTGAATAATCTCCTCACGTCGACTGTGGAGCATGGCAGTGTACTGAAAGAGCAATATAATGAGCATAATGTATAACAAAGATGCACGGATCAAACTTACATTGTCATAAACTTGAGCCTCCTTACTAGCAAGCACCTCATTGTGTTTTGCATTATAAACATCCCAAAATACACCCCACCAATCGCCAAGGAAACCAGATGGAATATCCACAGGTGGCATTTGATCCGTTGAAACATTGGCCTCGCTTGCAAATGCCTTTGCTGCCTGCTGGAAATTGTGCTTCTTGCAATAGTCGTAAATGTATACATGGAGTTCGTTGGTTGCTATATCTGCTTGAGATCGTCCATTTAATCTATACATAATACAGCTGATCAGTATCATAGTAATGGTGGTAGTAACGATGATGATGACGATGATGGTATGGGCCACCCCACACTTGCACCCATTTTCTCCCTTTATACCCCCACACCGCTATAACACGCGCACCCCCTTGAGGAGCCCTCATTCCCACTTGCAAATCGACCGTGCAGAGTGTGCAATGACAGAATCCGACAGCTGTGTATCCAATGCAAGAGATGATCCCCACACGTCCCATTTGATAGCGTACCCTTCCCAGGCATTTCGCCGAGTTTGCGACTGCGCCATTATATGAGTGTATATACGTAGGACGTTATGTGCTGGTACGACGATTGAGTTCAAAGAACGACCTTATAAAAACGCCAAGTGAGGAAGGAAAAGAGAGAGAGCGTATGTGTGTGTGTGAGTGTAGTGGAAAAGAGAAAGAAAAAAGAAGGGGGGTCAGTACGGATGAAGGAAGGGGAACAACTCAAACGCCCAATGGCTGCTCTTTCAGAATTTAAATGTCCGTTGCGTGAGCTCCGTTGTTGTTGTTGTTGTTGTTGTTTTGCTCTACTGTGCAAACGTAGATAATCGTATCGATTCATAGTCGTATGCTCATTGTCTTCATTGTCATCATTCATTGAATGGTTCATTGTGGGTTGTGTGTTAATGCATCCTTCTTTTTGTTGGGCAAATTTCGATCCGGTGCGGATGCGGCGTCTGGTGGCCAAAGCAACGTTGCAGCACAGTCAGTGGTCCCTATTTTCTTATCCTACCCAAAAGCAAAAAGTAATGAACACCTTATTTTCTATCATATCACTATTGGTCCATTTTCATCACTATACAGAATACCGTAACCGGTTTCTAGCGGTGTAGAATCTCTGAATAGGTTTAATCGTAGTTTATTTCTTCTTAGGCTGTGCTTCGTTGATCCTTATTTCTCGTGTAACGAATAATCGAATGATGCCATTACTTTTAAGCTATCTCAATATCCATCAGGATGCACACCTCTACATACATCTTGTATCGAATGTGTGACGTCAAACATACCTCGCTATGACGCTTCTTCCACTCTTTTCCATCGTTTACCTCTAGCACCATACATCTTTAAAATACACTTACGTAATCACCCATCATAATCCATGTTGTCTTTAGAAAGAAGTGATATGCAATATGTTATTGAAGAGAAGAGTATGATGGTAATGTAAGGGTAGAGAGAGCAAAACAAGAATGGAGGAGAAAATGTAATATGAAAAAGTGATTGATAGGATCCAAAATCTTATATCTTGAAGAGCGCATTGGCCTTTTTCCGATGTTCGATTTCATGGACAGGGTTGTAATCCAAATGGACAAAGGCCCGTTCTACATGCTCCATCATTTCCAAGGCATCCTGTAACGCTTCTCCAACATCGTGTGCTTCATGCAAAGGACATTCTGGAGGTAGTACAATATCCACTTCAACCAATAGACGGTCACCCACATGATATGCACGCACCTAATACTAGCACATTAGCCTACATCATCATGTCACTTTGAAATCCTCCCTCATTACCGTATCCACTGCAACCACTTTGCTTGAAAAGCGATAGGCCATGTATGTCAATTGTCGAAGATCGTCTGTGCTTGCAGCATGTCCTGTCAATCGCCGGATATTTTCTGTCATACGTCAATTAGCATCTTGTGTCCATTCGACGTGTGCACGTGTACACCCATCTCCTTATCCTCCTCCTCCTTCTCATTTACCTAAAAGCAGTACCATCCATTCGTAGATAATGTAAATCGAAAGCAAAATGGCACCGAGAGGATCAAGCCATGCCCAGCTTCCCCAAACAGCTATCAAACCATGCATGTTAAAATGTCACATCTCCCAACATGTCCATACACACACAATACTTACCGACAACGGGAAAGATGGTACTAGCCACATTGAATACAACATCATTTTCATGATCAATGGCAAGAGCAGCAACACTAGAACTACCCTTGATGGATTTACACCATATCCATAGTACGCCCTTGATGACAATGTTGGAAACGAGGATACCAATACTCATAGGGTCCAGGTCAATCGTCTCAATATTCTTGCTAGGATCGGTGAGGCGCTGTACCGATGTCAACAACACTTGGGAGAATGATGTGGTGATGATGACAGCAAAGACGATGATGCCAAGGGGTTCCATACGCGACTATTTAGATATACATGAGTCATCTCAGGCACACACACACACACACAATACACCATGGGATAGATATTACCTTGCCAACAGGGTACTTGTACCAATCTTGATGACGCATGATGCGCACCGTGAAAAAGATGATGGCATTGCTGAGTAAATCCAAAAACGATTCGAATGCTGAAGCAAGAATAGCCATCGATCCCGAATACCATGCCAAAAAGAGCTTCGTCAAGAACAAGACGATATTGGCCAAGAATGACAGGTTGATCGCCAAATGCACCAGCCAGTCAGGTGCAGCTTTTGTATTGTTCAATAAAGGTACTCGTTCACCAATCCTTCGTTCCTCGTCGTCATCATCATGACCACCATCATAGTGCCGAAAGGTGGAACGGCTGCTTGACCTCTTGATACCATGCGTTTCGCCGTGTTGCAAGGCGTCCACTATTTGGTCGACTTCGAGAAACCGATCGATCATTTCATTTTGGTGCTAAATGGCAAAAGAGATGAGCACGCCGTGGATCGATGGTGGTGGTGTCAAACTCACGCTGTAGAATGCGCGCAGCGACTTGTTTTTGATCTTTTCTAGATTGTCTTCGGAGACACGCAGGGCTTCGAAATGAACGGGTGGAGGAGGAGCTGTCATTGCTATACTCTGAATAGAACGTCGCCTGCGACTGTGGATGGATGTCATATTTAAAGAGAAGGGGAAGGGGGGTTAAAGGGGAGGAAAAGGAAAACTGGAATTGGGTTTAGTGCATCAATCATGTGGTGGGACATCGCGGGATGGAGATCTTATCTACAGCTGCTATCAATTACTCCCTTTCATTGGGCACGTGATATACCCACACCACCGGCTATATTGAAGTAGTATAGTACCCACTATATTGTGACGACTTGCATGAAGGAGTATAAGCGTATACACATGGAAATAAAAGTTTATGTCTTGTATGTGATGAAACATCTATTTATCTACAATGATTTACTTGCGATGTCTAGCACAAAAGTCTGCCATACGCTCGTAAGCTTCCTGAAGGCTACCAGCAGGTGGAGTAATGACGATACGGATAAAGTTGGGATAATCAAAGCATTGACCTGGAAGCACAAGCACGTTTTCTTCGGCCACCAGCTTTTGGCTAAACTCGACATCCGAACTGATATCCTTGAACTTGTTCATATCGATACCCACCATCATGTACATGGCTCCTTGTGGAGTGACAGGTGTCAAGCCATCAATCTTGGAAACTGCGTCAATACCCAACTTGGCATTGTGCTATCATATCCATCATGTGTGTGAGATTTCACTCGTTTGCTATCATGGGGGGTAACACTTTACCTCGAGTTGAGAAATAGTCTCTTCATAAAAGGATTGAGGAGTATGATGCAAAATATCATCCAAAGCACCTTGCACCACCGAGTTGGGACCAAGAATGACTTGAGACAAATTCAACAAGCCTGTACGGACTTCAGCAGCAAAGGCATCATGACGATCATGCACAAGAATCCAACCGATACGCCATCCAGGCACCAACCATTTCTTTGCAAGACCACCAACAGCCAAAATAGGGACATCCTTGGTAAGCGATGCCATGGGATAGAATGTGTTGCCCTTGTAAACCAAATCACAATAGATTTCATCAGCAATAATAGGAAGATGGTGCTTGGCAGCGACATCCAAAATGGCTTCGAGATGTTCCTTTGGATACACGGAACCACAAGGGTTGGACGGGCTATTTGTTAAACCGTTAGAGGGGATCATCCATACATAGATCATAGTGAATGTTGACTTACTTGTTGACCAAGATACAAGCTGTCTTGTCATCAATCAATGATTCAAGATGCTTCAAATCCACTTGCCAGTTGTTCTCAGGGACCAAGTCATAGAATCGCACCTCCACTTCACGAATCTCGGCCAAACTCTTGTACAAGGAAAAGCCAGGGCGTGGTAACAAAATGTTCTGGCCAGGATTGCATAGTACATTGACACAAATATCGAGAGCACCAGAGCATCCGTTGGCCAACAAGACATCATTGGGGGTCAAGGGAGCAACATCAGGAATAGTGTACTTGCGAGCAATGGCATCACGCGCATCCAAAGTACCTACATAGCATCATCCTTCCATATCAGATAAAGAGAGATTACAATCTCATATCAGTTGTGCCCTTACCATGAGCTGGAGGATAGCCATTATGCTTGAACGTGTCGAGTTGACGTTTGATGGCTTCGTTGGCACTCTCATGCACATTAAAGTTGCCAAATACTGTGGGGTCACCTATATAATAGAACACACGTGTCAAAAAAAGGGGGGACTCCATGAACCACGAGACATGCCCATGCTTACCGACTGACAGACTAATGAATGACTTTTGTGCATTGGGATCGACCTTGAGCTTGTCAACAATCTGACGAATGGGGTTGTGTGCACGCTTGGAGATGTTAGAAGCCTTAATGTTCCACTCTGACATGGCGAGAATAGGAGAAAGATACAAAGATGTGTGTGGATCTTGCTGATGATCTCCGGTGAGCCTCTAATGTAGACTTTCCCACGCCGTGGGAATCCATTGGATAAAGTCGACAAGTCATGAGGGCATCGGACAACAAAGAAGTCGTAATTAAATGTCAATTGTATATAAAGGATGATGGACTATACCAGTACAGCTTGCCCATCATCATTCAAATTAAGATCAATATGCGTAGTTAGGCACACTCTGATTGCAAAGGGCTGGGTTTCACCCGTTAAACAGATGCATGTTCAATGAAAGATCTACGTATTAGTATAGCCCAAGCCATTCAATAGCAAAATAAAAGTTCCCATTATAGCGATGATCTTTGTTGATTTGTCGTATGGGAGATCGTGCGGAGGAAATGAAGTTACCAATAGGTCAATTACTATAGTCACTCTCATGATCGCTGTGGCCAGCGAATTTGGCTGGGAATAGTTGGCTGTAGCTAGGTGTCCAAAAATGGATGTGACACGATAGGGAATCGAGATTTGAGGGCACGTATCCACTCAAGGCGAAGACATTGCTACTTAATGCTGGTATCCATGGAAACGAAATAATGCAGGAACTTGATGCGTTGTATCTTGCGTAGCAAGTTCCATGCTTTCAATGCTCCCATATGATTCTAAGGATTCCATAGAAATCAAATCGAGATGATAATGTTGGAAAATGATGGGTGCTAAACGAGCCCATTTGTACCAAGCCATGTCAATTTACAAGCTTTAAGGGTCTTAAAACTCCATCAATATGCCAGGCCAACTGCTTCATTATGTATCAGTTGCTATGGATCTTAGTGAGCATTCAAATACGGCCAACAACGAGGGCTATTGTTTTTTTTAAGCTTGGAATTGACAAAGTCTATCATACACTGTAATCAATCTCGAGGTCTAACAACAAGTACAGTGAATGCACATTATCTTACCACAATGCCATCCAAGCCCGAACAAGAACCTAGCTTCTTCACAGCTTCCCTATACACTAAAAACCTTTATACGCCATATCGACTTAGCTATTCAATCCACATGTACCTATGTAATGATGATTCTAACCGTTGTCATGTAGCCATTGTGATCTTGTGAATAGGAGTAGGGGATGCGTTGAGTGAACTATGGCCACCCATAGTCTTTCATTGTCTAGTGTTGGTACATGCTATCCTCATTTTGGTTACCCTTTGTAACCTCCCTTTGATTGATTCATGCTTGTTAATTGGTTGCTTCTATAGACAAAGAGATTGTGTAATGGTAAAACAATGAAGACGCTGTATGAATGAATTGTAGCAACCTCTCTACTACGTAGATCATTACTGCACAGGGTCAACAAAAAAGGCATAGTGATTTCTTTAAAAGGAAACAAGGGCAAGTTACTAATCCCGGGTCTTCCTTCTCTGCGTATGTAATTGGAACAGTGGATAACGACATTCATCGTCGGGTCGCTTTTGACTCAAGGGAAAGCCAACATGGATGTCCAGAGGGTGACGACGACGGCTGTGAGAAATATACTGCTTGAAGTTGGTGGTTGAGGAACTCCGAGGAAGGTTAAAATTGCCCTATCGAATTAATAAGGTGAGGATCATCATCCAACTTTAGGAATAACGGTGCTGTTGACCAAGCGGACATGCTCGAACATAGGCAAGCACATTGCAAGCTACTACCAACAATGACAAAAAAAAGTGGTCTGATAACAGGTGGAAGGCTAATCGGTCACTTTGGGCTTATCGGATAGGGATTACCTTAATAAAAATTGGTGGCTATGGTATATCACGTTTTCCTTTGATTCCTTGCATCCTTGTATAGGCACCGTATCACATATAACCCCATGTCACGTTGTTGTTATAGCCTGATAAAGGCAATTGATAGAGGTCTTTCCATATCTATTAGCTCAGCGATGATGATGATGATGCATAAGATCGGGGCTGACGACGACGAAGCAGTAGTAGTATACTTTACTACCAAAGAGATGCATGTGCCCGAAACCAGAGCCCTCCTCCTCGGCTATACATAATCTGATATTCAAATTCCCAATATCAAGGAACAACGTGATCAGCCAATCCGGAGAGCCGCCCTGAAATTTGATGCAGGTTGCACTGAAAGCAAGCAGGATTTTGGTCTCGATTCCAAGGGTGCCACGACGTGTCATCATATAATTCAAGGTGGTACAAGTTTTTATTCTTAATCCTGATGGATTGCACAAGACATGGTCAATGTGTGTATGTGTGGCTGATATAGACATCTGTGCTAAAAATGAAACAATTATGTGTATTTGGTTATCCGTGATATTAGCCATGGCAACAGACATGCAAGAAATCCGAAATGATATGCAGCCACTATTTATTTTACGCCTTTTAAGCGAAATTTTGTGTCCAATGATGGGGTACACATGGACTAAAGGCTTTGTGTATGTACCCAAAAGTGAGGGGAGGGGAGGGGAGAGGGGGGCGTATAAACAAGAAGCTGTTGTGCAGCTATAAACATTCAACACCGGGTAGTAGCAGCAATTTGTATACGTGTGTAATGGATGTGGAGGATGATGATGATGAGGAGTGTGGTGCTTCTATTTTTACCATGGGGTCCGCTCGAAACTTCTTTCATTGCGATTAGGCTATTTGCAGCATCAGCACAGCTTTTTTACATTTGCAGGGTATCATCGAAAGCAGGTAGATGGTACACGAGCCATGTGTCTGTTCATCTATTGGAGACAGCAAAAGAAGAAGGTACTACACGTGCACCTGTGCCTGCATGGATGTTTTGCAACAAAGCTGTATATGTGAATCTTGTATAGTAGGGCGATCGCTGTATCCATAAGAGTGATGGGCTTGCTTTATCTTTCGAGCGGCGATCCATCAGAAATAAATGCTGTGTCCAATGAGGCAGTTGCTAGGTTCCCCTCCTTTTCTTCTCTCTTTCCATCGTATCCTTTCCTTTATTCTATCATGTCCACCGTCAAGAACATTTGCTGTATTGGTGCCGGCTATGTCGGTATGTATTCATTGTAGGATGGGGGTTGGTGGTGGCTATGTGTGTGTGTCTATATATGTATGTGAATGGCCCCGCCCTGACATGTTTGATTTTATCCATCAGGTGGCCCTACTTGTGCCGTTATCGCCTACAAGTGCCATGACATCAAGGTCACCATCGTTGACGTTAATCCCGCACGCATTGCTGCCTGGAACTCGGACAAGTTGCCCATCTACGAGCCTGGTCTTGAGGAGGTTGTCTTTGATCGCCGTGGCAAGAACCTTTTCTTCTCCACTGATGTTGATGGTGCCATCGATGAAGCCGATCTTATCTTTGTCTCGGTGAACACTCCCACCAAAAAGTCTGGTATGGGCGCTGGTATGGCTGCTGATCTTGCGTAAGTAGATTGAGAGGGAGTATGCTTTGGGAGTGTGATAAAGTGGGATCTTAACGTACCTGTTTTCTTGTCGATCTAGTTATATCGAGAGTGCTACTCGTCGTATTGCTCAAGTTGCCAAGACCTCCAAGATTGTTGTTGAAAAGTCCACTGTGCCTTGCCGTACTGCTCAAAGCATGCGTACCATTCTCGAGGCCAATTCTACCCCTGAAGTTTCTTTCCAGATCTTGTCCAACCCTGAGTTTTTGGCAGAAGGCACTGCCATCAGAGACTTGCTCAGCCCTGATCGTGTCTTGATTGGTGCTTTGCAAACTGAGGAGGGTATCAAGGCCCAAAACGCTTTGGTTGAGGTCTACACCCACTGGGTTCCTAACGAACGCGTCATCACCACTAACCTTTGGTCCTCTGAACTTTCAAAGTTGGTAAGTACATGCATGCATTGTGCAACATTGGATCGCACTCAACTCACTTTATGGTATCTCTAAGGCTGCCAATGCTATGCTTGCCCAACGTATCTCTTCTATCAACGCCCTCTCCGCTATTTGTGAAGCCACGGGTGCTGATGTCGATGAGGTTGCTTATGCCTGTGGTCGTGACTCTCGTCTTGGTTCCAAGTTTTTGAAGGCCTCCGTTGGCTTTGGTGGTTCATGCTTCCAAAAGGATATCCTTAACTTGGTCTACTTGTCCGAGCAATTGAACTTGCCCGAGGTTGCTGCTTACTGGAAGCAAGTCGTCATCATGAACGAGTACCAAAAGAAGCGTTTCGTTCGCAAGATCATCACCACCTTGTTCAACACCATCACCAACAAAAAGATTGCCGTGCTTGGTTTTGCTTTCAAGAAGGATACTGGTGACACCCGTGAGTCTGCTGCCATCACCTTGATCAAGGACTTTATCCAAGAACACGCTCGTGTCGCTATCTATGACCCCAAGGTCGAGCATGAGCAGATCTACATGGATCTCTCTGAGCCCGGCGTTGTCGATACCCGCAAGGAGGTTGAGAAGCACATTCAAATCTGCGGTAGCGCTTATGAAGCTGCTGAAGGTGCCGATGCTGTTATCATTGTCACTGAGTGGGACGAGTTCCGTGATGAAAACCTTGACTATGAAAAGATCTATGCTGGTATGAACAAGCCCGCTTTCCTCTTTGATGGTCGTCTCTTGGTCAACGCCGCCAAGTTGCGTGAGATTGGTTTCAAGGTCAATGTCATTGGCAAGAACGAGCTCGCTGGTACCGCTTAAACCAAATCCTCAATTCAACATATAAAAAAACAGCAACTCCCCCATGATGCATTCTTCCATCCTCTTTCTCCCAGCATTTTGAGATTTCTTTTTTCCACCTCCTTTATACACTCGCAACCACCATACACACAACAACGCTCTCTCACAGCTTCCTTCATCACATGACTTTTGTCTTTGTATACACTCGCACACACACACACATATAAACATCTTGTTTGAAACAATAAAACCCGTGTTTATTCGTGGTTTGGTAGAAATAACAATCGTTGTGGTCCATAATGCTATGTACGTTTAACTTTTTTTCTTTATTTTTTGATGGATGATGATGGTAACGTGGATGATGATGATGATGATGGGGAGGCGGTGGTAGTAGTAGTAGTAGTAGCAGCAGCAGCTGCAGTAGTAGTAGTAGGAGGGGAAGTTGACGATGATGGCGATGATGATGAACAAGCGGAAGCGGGAGGGATGGGGGAAGGTGATTTCTCGTTTGTTGAAGAAACAGCAGCAGTGTCTGGTGGTTTATTGCCAGTAGTACTAGTAGATTGATGTGCTCTTAATGCTGATTGTAAAGTGGTCGAAAATTGATTAGCAAGATGAGGTGGGAGTTGTGCAATAGCTTGTGGCAATAGTTGAGCAATGGATGGCGGTAATGGGTTTCTCACTGGATCCAATAAATGTTGTCGAATAGCAGCTTGAAGTTGCATCTGAATTTGATGTATGCTTTGAGCACTTGGTTGTTGTTGTTGTTGTTGTGTGGAAGAAAGTAAAGGTGTGGGTGTGGATGATGTTGATGGCGATGTTGTTGATGATGTTGCTGATGATGACGATGGTGGGGGTGTAGCTGGTGGTTGGGATTGCGCATTGGAAGATGGTAGCATAGCAACGGATGATGTCGTAGCCGTAGCAACAGTAGCACTGGCTTCTCCTTTAATATCGGGTTTCGATGACTTGGTTGCTGTTTCTTCTGATGCGGCAGATTCCTTTTCCTTTTTCCTCTTTTTCTTTTCGGATGTGGTGGTGGTAGAAGAAGGAGTGATGGAGGATGTCCGCTTATTGCTGCCACGTTTGCTGTTGCCATTGTTACTACTACTGCTGCTGCTGTTGTTGATAGCGCCCAAAAGGAATTGCATATCTGCCTTGGGGTCAATGGTCCAAAATGCGCCCTTTCCAGGTTCATCATCGTTACGCGGTACTTTGACAAACGCCTTGTTGAGGGAAAGGTTGTGTCGAATCGAGTTCTATATATGTATAAAAAGTGAACATCATGGGATACGTGATAAGAATAGTAATATTTACCTGCCATCCATTCTGAGCCATGTTGTAATAAGGATAATGATGGGTGATGTAGTTGTAGATTTCATGCAAGGCCATACGTTTCTCGTCCGTTGATGTGATAGCCTGAGCAATCAATGTCGCATATGAGTAAGGGGGCTTATCATCCTTATTGTTGTTGCTGCTGCTGTTGCTGACGACTTGACTAGGTGGATGATGGATGTACTGTTCTGAGATGCCCATGTTCATCATACGAGGTAAGAGAAAGAGAAATCTGGAATCACCTATCCTGATCCTTGCCCTTTGAAACAAAAAGGTCAGCATAACACTTTGATCATCATCCCATGTAGTAAAACCACCCACCTATTCTCCAAAGGGACTGTAACACCTTTCTCTATGAATTGCTCGTTGACAAACGCGCCGTTCTTGCCTAGCACCATCATTTCAAATCGTTGTGTTGCAAAGTTGTAAAAGAGACGAGCGTGTTGTCGCGACACAGACTTGACTTTGCCAAGAGGGATATCCACCGTATTCATGCGTGTCACTGTACGCCCCAAAGTGACCTGGAAGGTACGAATGTAATAACATGCCTGATCGCCTTCCAATTTAGCGTAAGCTTGAACCGGGCCTGAATCGACGGATGCTGCTGGTGGAGGTGGAGGTGGAGGAGGGGGAGGTGCCTGTTGTTCCATGCCACGATTGGACTCGGTCAACGTTTGTTGTGTGTTGCTGCTGCTACTACTACTCCTTGTTGTTTCCATAAAAGTAGAGGGGATAGAGAGGGGTGGGTTGTGGGTTTTGTATATAGTCAAAAAAGAAAGAAAGAGAAAGAGTGAGTGAGAGTTGACCTTCCGGATTGGTCAGCGAGGTTGATGCCGGTGGATGTAGCCTAATCCCGCAGTAAAATCAAAACAATTCCCGCAGGCCTGGTTGTACAACAAACACCTTATCAACAACATCATCTATGATACTGTACACAGCTACCCACCCACCCACACATACATAGGTATATCAAGAGAACGGCGCGTATGTTAATATATTAGAACTTATAGTATATAGATATATAGAGATATGTATAAAAAGAGGTGTGAGGGGAGGGGAAAAAGTGAAACGATGATGGTGTTGAATATGATAAATAAATTATACGGTGGTGGTCGTGGTGTAGTAAACATCTGTAACTCCACATTATTGAAAGGAGTAAAAAGAAAGATAATGAGTTGGTGGAAGGAAAAAGCGAATGTTGTGTGTGAGTGAAATACATGGTGAATTGCTTGTTGTTGTTGTTGTTGTTGAAGTATTCGTCGTATGTGTGTGAATAGAATGCTGCTGTTGTGTGAGTGTGTATGTAGTGGTGTGGTGTAAATGATTGGATTGCTTATGAAAATTGCTGTTGCTGTTGTTGTTGTTGATCGAATAATGCAAGTGGTTGACTTTCTCGGCGTCCAACATCGGCTGGCCTAACTCCCTACATGTATGTAACTTGTAGTCAATCACCCATTCCATGGACCCTGGCATGTTGCTCCTTTTTCTCTCTCTCTCTCTTTTTTTGCTCCTTTTTCATATTATCCCACTTGTCAAGCTTACTTACCAAAGGATTCTTGCTAAATGATAAGCGAATTCCACCCTTGGTCGAGTTGCTCAGCATTTTACCATACAAATCTTGCATAGCGTGTGTGGCACATGCGACATCATCGAATTCCACAAAGCACATGGGGCCATTATGTTTGTTGGAGAAGCAAAGTCGCTGATAACCAATGCATTGGGAGAACATGGCCCTGAGTTCCTCCTCATTTGTATTATGAGGGAGGTTTCCCACATAAAGTGTATTGCAGGGTGGATGTTGATCAGCAGCAGCAGCAGCAGTTGCCATGGATGGTGGAATAGCAAAGCTCCGAAATGTAGGTGATGTAATTCCAGGTGATGGCAATCCTCCATTTGAAGTGGTCGTAGATGTACTAATCGATAATCCATTCAGTCTCGCATCCAAGGAACAGCTCTCTGGCAACGCCGTCATTGGCTCTTCTGGTAATGTCTGAAGAAACGATGTCGGAGGTGGAGGTGGTGGTGGCGGGGCACCAGCACCAGTGGAAGAAGAAACCGTTGGCGGCGGCATGAAACGATCCTCATCAATGCTGCCTTTGGATGACATTCGATGATTAAATCGAGACAAGAATAAATCACCACCACTCCCATTCATGGTTGTATTACTGCCACCACCGCCAGCAAACATGGCATCGGGAAAGACGTGTGTGGTACCACCAGGTGATAATAAATCAGGATAAAAATCAGGGTTGGGAGGATGACGATCGGATGGTAATGCTGGTGGCACAGAGTGAAATGCCTCGTAAGCTGATGCATGACTCGGTGTTGTAGGAACAATGTTGCTTATTGAATATCGTTTTGATGTTGATGTTGATGATGATGCCAATGGATGATAGGGATCAATCGATAATCCTCGTTTTGTATGCAGGTTCTTCTTTGCCATTTCAGCCTTGAGTACTGAACCTTTCTCGGCATCCACCTTACGACCATTCAAGATATCTCTTGCTTCAAGCGCCTCAAATCGAGTACGGAACTTTGCAAAACCAATCTATCATCTTTGGTTAGTACCATCCTTCTTTTATGCTTTCCTTCTCTTTCCCTCTCGACAAAAACGTACCGTTTGTTTACGTCCATTGTCATCTTCTTGTTCCTTGCTAGGTGACTTTAACGTTGCTGCCTCAAAGCCGGGCGAAAAGATGAACATGTTTTGGAACTCACGTTCGTGCATATCATCGGGAAAGCCCACCACAAAGATTGTCGATATCTCTTCAATAGTCGCATTATTGTTGCCTGGCAACGACGAGGACGACGAAAGAACAGGTTGTTGTGAATTGACATTGCTTGTCATCATGTCAAGAGCAAGCCCTGTGCCAACAGCAGAATGCATGGGCAACCGTTGTTGTTGTGGTAGTTGGTGTTGTAGTTGTTGTAGTTGCCAATCAGTAGCAAGCGGCGGTAGTGGAGGTGGAGGAGGGGAAAATGTGGACGTGGATGACTCAAGTGGATGAAAGGAAGCCACGGTTCAAAATGAGCAAAAAGTAAAAAAGAAGGTCGAGAGAAGAGTGAGAGAAAGGGAAAAGATGCAAGGTATTATTATGGATGGGCTGTGGGTGGGCAGGTGTGAGTCCAAAATGGGTCATCACATCTCTCTCTCTCTCACACACACACACACACGCACCTTGATGGGATGCAACACAAGCTTATACTGCCTTGGATATCACTTCATTGTCCTTTTTTACTCCCTTACTAGTACCACCCCCCTAAAAACATGATAGACTTGCATTGATGAATGTATATTCAAAGGAGGAAAGTTTCTCTCATATCATCTTTATCCGATCATTGCTTGTTAGTAGCATAAACAAATATACGGTGCATTTCATCCGGGTCTTTTTTTTGTCTTTCGTCTCAATGTGTTCTCTATATACATCTTTTTTCATCTTTTCATTTCATCTGACAGTATTATGCAGCACGTTGATCTTGTCCACGAGGTTCTCGGAGCCGAGGTAAATTCATTATGATGGAACAAGGAAGATGATTGATTGATTCTATCTTGCTTATTAGAACAATGAACAACAGCAACCTACATCCAATTTAGGCGTCTCAATGCCACAAAAGACTCAACAAGCGCAAGGTCTCAATATCACTTCGGAAGAACTACGAAAATTCATTGCATCTCCACCATCAGGTATAGGAAGTTTTTAAGTTTTATAGCTTTCCACTAAACGTGTATATAGCGCGTGACTCGAACAACATGCTTAGATTGGAGATTTTGGGGCCACAGAACAACAAGCAGGAGAATGAGGATGAGGAGGAAAAAGATGAACTTGACAAAGGAGAACATGAAGAGGAGGAGAGAGTGGTATCACCATCCATTTGGGAAGCAGCCAAGCAGGGCAATGTGGCGTTGGTGCGTCAAGTGATTGAAGATCAAGGAAAGGAAATTGTGAATACCCGTGATCCAGAAACCGAGACGACGCTTTTGTACACCACCGTTGCACATGTAAGACAACCTGAGAGCATGCTACGCTTACTTGTCGAGAATGGAGCTGAGCCTGATGCACCAAGCGTATATGGTATTCGTGCCCTACACGCACTTCCTATCCATTGTGCACGCCCACTTCCTTCTATGCAACTCTTACTTGACCATCATGCTGATATCAATGCCAGAGATGGGGATAATTGGACACCGCTTCATTATGCAGCTCGTTTTTGCAAGGAGCCTGATACAATTGTACGTCAATTGGTATCTCGTGGTGCTAATGTAAATGCAGTGGATGCGAACGGCAAAAGTCCTCTCTTTGCACTCCTTGCGAATGGTGATCATGCATCCACACTTGGCTGGTTGATTCATTCGGCTAAAGCGGATGTTACTATCAAGGGCGAGTTTTTGTTATTTAGACCAACACCTGGTACCATTCTCCTGCAAACAGCAAAATACGCACGTCTTGAATGCATGAAATTGCTTGTACAGTCCCCAGCAGCGATGGATCAATTACGTACAGCTATTACATGCCACGAACTTAACCTTGCTACAGTCATGTTGCGAAAGCGTCTTGAAAAGCAAGATCCATCTTCAGCTGTACAAACCGACGAGCTGCTTGAAATTGTTGAGGAACTTCGACGTACGCTTGAAGAAGATGCAAACTCTACCGTTGCCTATGAAATCTACATGGAACGCACAGGGCGACAAGCTGCTGGAACCTTACCACGTAGAAGAACAACCTTGCTTGGCACAATCAAACGCTCTGCATCCAAAAAGACAATGATGTCTCAATCATCATCAGCATCATCGGCTGATCATAGAGACTCTGATACTTGTTCTAAATCAGGAATAGAAAGAAAGCCAACGTTAATGAGGCGTGTCTTTAGTGTCATGTCCCGCCAACAAAAAGAGCACCATGATAATACACAATGACCATGTTTTTATTGATCCATTTTCAATCATCGAAATAAACATTACACATACCCTCTTTGCAGTTACCCATATACTTCAGGATACCAACAGGCGACATTGCTAGGTGTATGATGTTATGGTGATCCATGAGTATCACGTGTGGTATATATTATCATATCCCAGCCATTTGGATTTCACATGTAGGTATGCCATGGCTATAAAAGGGAGAGGCGTGGTTGTTGTGGTGCAAGGTTATCACAGGCTCGGGATAATGTTCAACCGCGGGAAGAGATAAAGGGAGGAGGAGTGATATAGAGCGCTCCACGCATCAACCCAACAGCTGGTTCTCCGTACGAAATCAAATAATGAAATACAAATGGATGATTCAAATAATGAAATCAATGCATCTCTGAATGAGACCATGATCCATGGTATCATTGTCTCTTGTGATACCAAGCCGGGAGCGTTCCTGCATTAGGGACAAAGGTCATTTTAAGCATTGGATTCATTGATATAGATATTATCACTTTCTACTATTACTACAGAATGGGCTACTACTCCATTGGCAAATAAATTTCACAACAAGCGCTGGTTGGAAAAGACCTTGACTCTTTTTTCGCAGACGCGGCAACTACACGCGACCTACCACTTTACAACTACTACTACTTTTACCCTTCCAGTCTGCGTGCATCATGATCATTTCAAAGCCGCAGTGGATCTCCCATGCCGGTAACTTTGAACACCATTCACAGCCTCCCATACACGACCTTTCTATTCACACACTACATCTATCAGCAGAACGAGAAAAAGGTGTAAAGCCGGCCATTTATTCCATTCACGTTCATCCGGACGGCAAACGCATCGCTACTGGAAGTTTAGGTGCGTTCTATTGCTTGTTTCTACAACTCGTCTTGCTCACACACCACCTTGCATAGACACCACGGTCCGGATCTGGAACACAGACCCCATTTTCGACGAAACTGCAGAGAGCAATCCCGACTGCCATAAGCTTCTTTGCACGTTAGCTAGGCACAGCGGTATGCGAAACACACCTCTTTCTCTCCCTTTTATGTTGACAGATCCAACCCCTTTTCCCTCTTTTGGTTTTTCCCCAATACTGACCATGACGCTCTATATTAGGCGCCGTTCTTTGTGTACGTTGGTCCAACAATGAAGGTCGATATCTTGCTTCTAGTTCTGACAATGACAATGTCATCATTGTTTGGGAATCCGAAGGGTAAGAAGTCATCATCAAATGAGTCCCTATGCCAACGCATGCCCATCCTCTCATCTCTTAGGGAATCCTTCGCAACCACAGTCTTTGGTAGTTCCGAAGTCAACTACGAAACGTGGCGACCCAAACAATACCTTCGTGGACATGATTCAGGCAAGTGTTATTCTTAAAGGGATCCAAATTCAACGTATTAATGTGGTTTTGGATATAGATGTACAAGATCTTGCATGGTCAAGGGATAATGTGTATCTCGCATCAGGCAGTGTGGATGGCTCAGTCATTGTCTGGAATGGCACAACATTTGGTAACACAAGAAATTTTGTGGCATGATGCATTATCTAATCGCCCTTCAATGGTAGATCAAGTAAGACGCATCGAACAACAACAAGGCTTTGTCAAGGGTATTACTTGGGATCCCGTTGGGAAATTCATTGCAGCTCAGGTATTTAAAGGGTTTGGTATCCTCTATTAAGATGCTAAATGGATTGTACATGTTGTAGTACGATAACAAAATGCTCAAGATTTGGAGGACATCCGATTGGAATCTCGAACAAGAAATCAGAGCTCCCTTTATTAATGCTCCCAGCACAACATTCTTCCGTCGACCAAGGTAAGATCATCATTTTACTTTACAACAACAAGATGACTCAAAAGGTCATATAGCTGGGCACCTACTGGGACTCAAATTGTCACTGCAAACGCCACCAATGGTGCACATTGTGTTGCTGCTATCATCTCTCGAGAAGAATGGGTCGCTGATGTATCTCTTGTTGGCCATAAATGTCCCATTGAAGTCGCTGTAAGTGGATTGGGCAATGTAATGGATATTGTGGCCTTACTCAAAGTACGTATCATTTATTTTAGTCCTTCAATCCACACTTGTTCTATCTCGGCGAAAATGGCGAGAATCCAGCTGAAAAGAGCAGTGAGCATTTATCAACTGTATGTGCATTGGGCGGTCAAGATCGAAGCATCTCTATATGGACAACCAAATTTGAAAGACCACTCGCTGTGGCAACCGATATCTTTGAAGGAAATGTATATGATTTATCGTGGTATGTGTGTGATTAGGATCATCAAAGGAAAAGAGAGATGTTGACATGATTGTATAGGACACCAGATGGCCAAGCATTATTTGCATGTGCACATGATGGCACCGTAGCTTGTATACGTCTACCCGAATTTTCAGATCAAATCGCTCCTGAGGATCAAGTGGTAAGCAAAGCGAATACTTCCATATACATTGATCTTTTTTGGTTGTTTATGCATTCATGTTCTCTTTTAGTTACGACAACTAGCAGCGTTTGGATACAACAGTGAAAGCAGCCAACTTCCCGAAAGCACGTTGCAATTGGACATTGAGGATACAAACGCAAAGCAACCCAAGCCTACAACAGCAAGGCGGTTTGCTGATTTGATGGGAGAAACGACCGAAACTTTACCAGCACCCAATGGCAAGCTATCAGATAACACATCATCAGCCTCCACCACCACCACAACAGCAGCAGCAGCAGCAGCCAATTCTACCACTACCACTACCACACAAGGAGAGAATTCATCCACTACTACAACACAGCCCTCTCGCCCTGCTGATGCTGATTTTACATCATCATCTTCAAATCAACCCACAATACTCCAGCAAACTGTAACAGTTGGCAAGGATGGAAAACGACGTATCAAACCAGTGACTATTCGATCATCCTCATCTGCAGCCTCACCTGGTCCTCGACCCGCATCACCAAAGGTCCCATCTACCCAGGTAAAGTACTATGAAGGATCTATATGTATGGGAAGGATTACTTAAACATGGGGTGTATATAGCATACAGGGATTGTGGAAGCAAGACCTGCAGCCAATGTTGTTAGGTGGGTGGATGGGATTACCTATGATTTCCCTGAATCCAATATACCAGCTTCTGGCATCGGATCCATTGTGGCGGGTAACAAGCGTGAGGCTATGGAAGTGGATGAGGACACAGCTCCACGCAAAAGACCAGCATGGATCGACTCGGCAATACTTCCACCAGCTGCAGCCAAAAGCCAAGTGAGATTAGGCGTACCAAAGATCCGAGCCAATTTTGTATGGGCACCACGTGGGAATGACAAGCAAAGCAAGGCGATTCTTATGGAATGTGACAATCATAGTAAGTTGGATCCTCGTTTTCTTTCATGCATGATGATCTTACGCATTGGATCAATAGATACTGGTACAAACAACACATCAGCATCGACGACATGGGATTGTGCACGGCTATCAGTTAGCTCGCATGGCAAAAAGTTATGGCATGATTATCTTCCAAGTGCAATTATGCTTATGGGTGGCTGTCAAGAATTTTATGCTGCAGCATGCGAAGATGGAAGTGTACATTTATACTCATCCACGGGTCGCAGGTATGCTTTTTTCACATGATGCTGGATCCCATCATTGATACCTTTTTGATTTAGGTTACTTCCACCTATGGTATTGGAAAGCACTATTGTGTTGTTGCGATGTTCGGATCCTTGGCTTGTGTGCCTCACTGCAACTGGATTGCTCTATACATGGGATGTATCCAAGTTATCAAGTCGACTCGATGGCGTATCTATAGCACCCTTATTACGAGTGGCGCAAATACCAGGGTCATTGGATGAAGATGAAGATGAGGAGGATGAGGAAGAAGACGATGAAGAAGAGGAGGATGGTGAGGAGGGCGACAAGGATACACCCAAGATCAAGGACGTACGGATACAAAAGAATGGCTTACCGCTGGTGATCACCAATTATCAGCAAGCATTTACATATCATCCCGGCATGAAAGTTTGGTTGCGTATTAGCGATGCGTGGTACATTGTCTCTGAGTTCTGGAACTCGTCTTTGGGCCATCCAAGCGATTATCCATTGGGATGGTTATCTGCTGCAATGACATTGAATGGTGGGCTGGATCCTATCGGCAAGGTCATGCTCAACTTTGTGGAAGGCAACAAGGAAGCTGTAGGCACAATTACTCTAAGTCATATCGAGGTAGGCGGCGCAATTGGCTCTTTTACGACGTACTGATCATTGACATGATGATGTTATAGATTCAACTAGCAGTAGCTGCTTTATTGAATTCAAAATCAGAATACCGACAATGGCTCAAGATTTATGCAAAGAAACTCTCGGCGGAAAATGCTCAAGAAAAGGTCAAAGAACTTTGTCATTGGCTTATTGGCCCACCATTATTACCGTAAGTACAAGATTTCAAGTCGAATGATTAATCAACTGATACGCTTTGTATAGGTGCGTGGATGGAAGACATTGGGAACCAACAGTGATGGTATGTTTATATATACGACGACAAGGATCACACTGGCTCACCATATTACATGATAGGACTCATTGTCAAAGCAAGATCTTTTAAGGGATATCCTTCCTTTACTTGGTAAGTAAAAGTATACATGTTTATACTTGATGTATATTAATCATATCATTTGTAGGCACCAATCGACAATTACAAAGGCTCATAAATGAATACAACACTTATATCAACGCTCCCGCTACCTTGTAAATTCCTTATCATACAATACATGCCGCATATCTCATTCTTGGGCCAAGTAAATATACATTCTTCAGATGTTCATGTTACATAGTTTAAGAATCACCAAGCTGTTATACATGCGAATCTCGTTACTACTGGAGGTTGATATTCACCAACATTAGTGAGCTTTTCCTGCTGAATAAAAAAAGCACATGTGCACTATGTATCAAATGCTGTGCATGAATGTGATCAACTACTACTGATTAATGTGCAACACCAATCTTCAGTTGCATCAACGGCATGCCGATTCATCAGTCGTTGATTTCCATCATTTCGGCTCGGTATGTATACCAAGATGCTTGACCACTTTATCAGTTCGATCCATCATGGCAGCAATTCTCACGCCCACTCATATATAAACAAGGCTGTTGTCACCAACAATATCACACGCCCTTTCTTTCTACTTGTATTCATACCATCATCAATGGCCTTTGGTAAGTCCCAAGGATGGTCTTTATGCGATCCACAAAATGAAGGTATTCATGCATTCATCATCTATTATGTAGCTCACTTCATTGCTTTACCTCTTGGTGACTTCATTGGTGCCTAATGTCATTTGAATGTGTTCCTTGATGGACCTTTGTGGTAGGTATAACTCTCATTTATATGGATACATGTTATTAAAAGACGCCTTGTACATTTGTCAGCAAAAGGCAACCCCAGTCTGATGGGAAATTTGGGACCCTTTTGAAGGCGGCATAAGGACATGAGATGGTCGTTCCGTGGTAAGTGTAACAACGTAGGCTGTTATGTCTCTTGTAGGTGCTCACACTTATGCAACATCATATAGGAGTAAACGATCTAGTGAAACAAGTCCCAACCATATGAGCCAAGCTCGATGTCCTAAAGTAGTGTTGCCAATGGATCGTAAAAGGGCTGGGAGCAAGGCGAATACGTTATTCTCTAACGATTTGCAAGAGTATGGGACGGCCGAAGCAGGGCGTACAACGGGTACACAAAACAGCAAGACGCTGCTCGAGGCTGGCATCGTGTGCCCTAAAGCCCTTAAAGACATGTTTTGTGAACTTGTTAACCATGCACTGGTGTTTTCAGGTAATAATTCCTCAAGAAGGTTGTATTGACAATGACAATCTAACAGCTAAATCAGGTCTACAAATGGATCACCTTATCATGGATTTACTCCAAGGAGATGTATGTCGTGTGAGCAGACTGGGAAGATGGCTCAAATACCCAACTTAATTCGGAACGTTTCATATACCAGTTGACACCAATTCTACAAGTGGTGTATAACGCTAAAATATCAATGAAGCAAGTTCAGCGGGGAAGTTGGCATGGAAACTGGTTCAAGATCCATTTCATATGGAGATGATGATTCTCAAATTTTACTCCCTTGCTTTACTCGTTGCCCTTGATACCCAGAACGCTCCACCAAATTGCTGCAACGAGTGCTTCAACAACCATAAACCATCACGTTGCTTTTCAATGATTGCTATCAACAAAAATCGACTAATGGATCATCGTTGCAACAATTGTCTTGTCCCAACAAACGCAAACGGCATTGTTTTCCATGATCAATCCATCAATGAGCATTGCCAACTGGGTAACGACAACCGGTACACCTTCCATTGCCAGTGACAAGAAGCGTAAGACGTCCATGGATGCTACCCACAATGCATTGTAGCAAACCACATATTGTGTATAGGCCCATTTGTATATCTTTCTTTTGTGATCCTTCCATCCCATGTACCAGCCAATACCCAGAGCCATATCCATAGAAATTCATATGTATTAAAGCAAGTTGATATGTGTTAATAAAGCTATCTGCTGCTCACGTAAAAAAGGATGTAAGGCAAGTTGCTGCCGGTAACTTGAGACAATGGAGTAAAGACTTTTGCTGATAGCAGCTGCTGTTACGTTGTGTGGCGGCAGAGGAGTGTGCAAGAGCGTGTGTTGTAGTAGAGTGACAAGGTTGAGAACGCTGTATGAGACAATGGAGTACATGGCAGCTGCTTGAATGAACGCTGTCGACTTTTAGTTGGGGCAGAGGAATATGGAAAAAGCGTGTGTTGTAGTAGAGTGCAAGAAGGCTGTGTACATGTCATGGACTTGCCATTCAGTCAAAGACAATCGGATCAAGACAATTGTCCGATTGGCATGGTGGGTTAAAGCAGGACAATCGTTTGCAGGTGGTACTTGTATACTTGAATGGGGCAACAGTTGAGAATGGGAGAAAGAGGCAAGAAGCTGCGAGTGGAAGAAGTGGAAATTAAAATGAGTTAGTCAGACGTTGGATGATACTTCCTGTGTTTGAGCGTTTGTTAGTCAAAACCTCTCGGATCAAGGAAGTTGAAGGATGGACATGATGGGCTGGAGCAGGACAATCGTTCACATGCATTGTTTTGGGCAACAAAGGTGAATGGGAGGAATGGGCTATTAGCTGGCAGTTTACAAATAACTTTGCAAAATGATTTTTCTCATATTGGACGATACTTCTGTGCTTGAGCGTTTTTCAGTCAAATCCCCTCGGATCAAGAAAGTTTAATGATGGGCATGCTGGGCTGGAGCAGGACAATCGTTCACATGCATTGGATTGGGCAACAAAGGTGAATGAGAGAAAGGCGCTATTAGCTGGCATTTAATGAACTGTTCCTGAATGGTGCACAAGTATCATGCATTATCCACAGGCGCTGAATTTTGGCTGTGTTACACCAAGAAGTCCTTCTGCATCTTTGGCTCTAGCATGAGTGAGCGATTAACGATAACAAAGTCCACTTCTCATATAGCATCACGCTTACAGCATAGGTAAAACATAAAGACGCCTGTATCTCCAAACTTTACAATGAAACGTGGGGTTTTTATTAGAGCAATGGGCTCGACTTGGCCAACAGCACCTTGTGTGAAAGTTTCACGTTCAATGTCGCAAACAGCCCAAAAAATATTTTTTGGTCGTCGTCGTCGAAGAGGTCGACCCCCAGATCCTGTTTGGCTGGTGGCGACATTGCGAAATCTGGGATTGGCCACGATGAACTTCATACTTTGACACAAGATTCCTTTGACCCCGACAAGCACGTTGATCTATTAAAGAGCTCACGTTTGATTGTAAAGTTTGGATATACAGGCACCTTTATGTTTTACATATGCTGTAAGGGTGATGCTATATGAGAAGTGGTCTTTGTTTAATGTAAAGTAGTATGACTATAATAGAGCAAAAGATGCAGAGGGCGTGTTTGTGTAACTTGAGTCATTCAGCACAGGCGATGCATGATTCTTGTACACTATTTAGGAATAGTTCAAAATGCCAGCTAATAACCTTAGTCCTCCCATTCTCCATTGTTGTCCAATCCAATGCATACGAACGATTGTCCTGCTCCAGCCTAGCATGCCCATCATTCAACTTTCTTGATCCGATGAGTTTTGACTGAAAAACGCTCAAACACAGAAACATCATCCAATATCAGAAGAATCAAATTGGTAAGTTATTTGTAAACTGCCGGCTAATAGCCCATTCCTCCCATTCACCTTTGTTGCCCAAACCAATGCATACGATCGATTGCCCTGCTCCATCCCATCATTCCCATCATTTAACTTTCTTGATTCGAGGTAACCTGGTAGTAATGGCAATGGCTGTTGTTGGATCATCATTATCATGTAAAGTGTAAAATGGCACACACCCTTTTGCTATACGTGAGGATCATCATTTCTTTTATTTACGTGTACCTATTGTTTATCGTGAGGGTGATGATGACGATGGGTGGATGGTGTGTGTGGGGTCATTGAGTGGGCTCAATGTAATAGCAGTAGGGGGATTTAAACTTGGGGGACAACAGCTCCACCACTTGACAACGCTTCTCTTCTTTTTCTCCCACCTTTCCTTATTCCATTCGCGACATCTCGATCAAGGTAATTGTATTATAAAAAAGTGCTCTTGTTGGCTAGAGGTGTCAATGTAGTTCTGAACATGCATTGTCAGGGAGTGTGTCCAAATGCTGAGGAATGGAACGTGGTAGCCATGGCGATACCGTTGCTTCCTTTTGTTCGTTGCTATTCCCGCTCTATGCTTGGTGTCAACAGGTACATTCAAAGTCCAATGCTGCAGCGTAACTTGTTCCGTTGACGCGTTAGCTTGTGTAGAGGGCAAGTTTGGTTTCACGACGTTGGCTCGTTTGGCGTTTTGTTTCGGCTCAACTATACTACACCATGGTTTTCGGTTTCCAGGAACCAACAACAAAGGGGTTTTTGTGTATATGGAAAAGGCAAGTGTAATGAAACAAACAATGAAAAGGGGCGTTTATTGTATGTGTGTGCTAATAATGAATTCAATAGGTTTCTTTGGTCAGGCAATGCAACTAGGGGCATCATCATCATCTCTTTGGGTTCAAGTCCCAGCCTGTATCAAGTGGCTGCTGCGTCGCTCTGCACTAGCCAAGTGTGCTGGAAAAGCTTCTTGGAACGCGTCCAGGGCTCTATAGGCCTGCGTTTGAGTTGATGGGTCGATGACGATGGGTTTTTGGAAGAGCATGGTCACCGTGTTGAGGTAAAAGGAGATTTGCAACAGCTTGTGAATGTGTTGGAACCAACAGGCTCTTCTCGTGATAGGCTCGTTCTTTCCCTTCGAGGATTTTATTTCATGAGGCGGGAAATGATTGGAAGGATTGGATTGGGGATCATTCTTTCTTTGGAGAGGATGAATGAGGACAACGATGAGCCTGGACTCTACGTAAGTGATGTCCTTCCTTGCCATGAATCGAACTGGCCTTGTATGATTCGTGCAGTGCTTTCTCAAGAACAAGGGATCGGCAGACGTTGCTCATATGGGGTGATTTGGTTTCTTAGAGAGGATCGCCTAAGGTATACCAAATCGACATTATTCCGGTATCAGATAGTCTAACTTGGCTGTTTTATTTTTAGAGACGGCGATTATTACGATGATAACGACAACGAAATCCACGACAATGAAAATGATAGCGACAACGAGATACACAACAATGACGATAACGACAATGAGATCCACGGCAATGGAGATAATGGCAACGACACAAGCAAGCATGGTTTCCCTTTCTCTTGCCAAGATGATGGTGCTTGATCATACCCCATATCTCGTTGACATCTGCAAGGAGGCATGCAAGATCCCATTCTTTTCCATTTTGTGCCCTTTTGGATGTTTGTGATGAAGACTATGTAGGAGCATGAGTAGGACTGCGACTACGTATGATGACGGACGAGGAAGGCGACGATGATGGCAACGTAGGTAGCTATAGCTGCATAGAGGAAATAAAGGATTGTTTATTACTGCACCTGGACTTTGCTAGCTTATCCGCTCATTGCATATGTACTTATGGATTACATAATGGTATTGCATAGATGGAGTAATAAAAATGGATGGTGATTGTTATATTAACTACCATTGACAGTATCAGCTATAGGCTTAACCATGACCGTTTCTATATTTCAAGCATGAGTTTGTATGAATATATAACCATGAGCGTTAATAATAGGGAACACCTACTGTCAAATATTCTCAAATGCCAGCGAAGATCCAATGCATCTGGATCAATCACTAGCTGAGATAGGCCTTTCGATGTTTTCATACGTGAAATGTGTTGGCATGGCAACCGGTAATTGACTCGAGTCTCGCATGTGCAATCATCCACAATCTCACTATCGGCTGTGCCACGTGCTTCGATGAACTCTGTCGTTATCATGCGTATAGCGAAATGGGATATGGAACCAATGCTTTTTAGATAAAGATGATATGATTTGAATAATTGTGATAGCTTTCCAGGAGTGTTCAATATCCTCTTCAGCTGCCAGCGAGCACCTTCTACTCGTTGTGTTGTACGTGCACCAAAATGTGCAAGTTTCTCGACCCAAGGACCACCCCATTTTTGGGACACGACAATACCCTGTAATGCAAGGATCATCAATACGAGTTTAATGGTTTTATGATTGTACCGATACATACTTTGTCATGTACGTTAGAAGCTCTGCTTCTTTGGTTGTCCCTTTAATGACTTTTCTATAGCTGTCGGCACCGCCTTCAAACCCCTTCTCATCTCGTGACCAAATCATGGCTTTGACGGCTCTTTCATATTCCTTGTATTCCTTGCTTTCAGCCGCAAATGTCTTTCCCAGTTTAGCCACGAAGTTTTTCATAATGTGCAAAGCGCATAATACGTGTGGTTTGTCTGGTGCTATTTTATGCAAAGCACTACTCAAGGTGTGATCATCATCCGATACAAAGATTGCTGGCCCTTGCGATTCCATCCCTTGCACAGTGCCAAGTAATGTTTGCAGCTGTGATGGCTGCTATGCAAGCAAGGCTGATTTCAGGAGCAGTCCAAAGAAACAAGGATGATAACAAGATTGAGATACCAAGACAAGGTAACAAGGATCAAGAACAAGTTAACAAGAACAAGGAACAAGGGCAAGGAACAAAGGTATGGACAATAGCTGCAGCAATGATAAGAGCTAGACTATAACAGAAGGATGGCCATTAGGTACATGATCACAGCACATCTGTGCAAGATCACGTGCCAAGCGGCAAGGGAAGGACAAAGATCAAATGAGCAAGATATCAAGGGCTAAGACTACGCAAGGATTGAGAGTACAAGATAATCAGACTGGGGTTTATTGAATCTGAATTTATTTATACAAAGGAGAGGAATGGCAAGAATGAGACATCAATAAAATATGCGAACAAAGCATCCACAATGGTCCGAATGATGATCATGACAGCAGCACCCATTCATACGAAGTTGTTCTTTCATCTGATACGGAAGCAACTGCAACGAGGCTCTTGCTCTTGTATTCTCATGCAAGGTTGCTAACCCAAACTACATTCAGAAATGGCATCTTGCATACGTTGCTTTTGTATGTTACATCCAATATCACGACTTTGGTTCTATGGATTTGGGGTGGGTGACTAGAATGGACTTCAATAGGCTGTTTTCTGGTTGCTGTAATTCATATCGCACGATGAAACCAAGAGCGCGCATCATATCCACGACTTCTTGTAATTCACCCTAAACGATGCTTGTTGAGAAATACTTGATAGTGGAATTATAGACGTCCTTAGCCTTAATCATAGCTGCCAAATCGCTCTCTTGCACTATGTCTACGACTTGACTTGGCCGGTTTTTTGCTCCAAGTAACGTTGCGATAAGTAATTGCTTGGCTTTCTCAGTTCATGGTAGATTTGATGGATTCGTAGAAAGATAATGGGTATGGTACCAGACACGAATTGACCACATGCCTCCTTCACCTTCTTAGGAAGTAGAGATCTGTATTGTAAAAGGACACCCTCGTCACAGTGTCATGTCACCAACACGATCCATATAAGGTTGACACCACTTTGTAATGTAGATTTAAAGCAGCTGATGGATGATGTTGTGTGCCTACAATCCCAATTCTATCAAGTCAATTTATGCATGGATTTACAATAAGTGGGATTTGGATGGCGGGGTGATTAGGAGACCAGTACCACGTCATCGACTTGCCCGATTCCCTCACACCCGTTTATTTTGTTTACCGCACCAAATTTTAAGACGCTTCCCTTCTTATCTCACATTCAACCATGATCTCCAACATGCTCGCCCGTTCTGCCATGCGCTCCCGCGTTGCCACTCGCCAGGTTATGCGCTCTGATCTCTACCACTTTGAGAACACCAACGGCCAGGTACTTTAGTCGCATCATGCTCAATACCATTCGAAGGCCCCCCATTCAACTCAACATTGCACGCGAATCACCTATACTAGAACATTCCCTTCAAGACTACCAACCGTGTTGGTCTTGCCATCAAGATGACCCTCTTCCTTGGTCTTGGTTTCGGTGCTCCTTTCCTTGGTATGTAAACTCTATCTTCGCTGGATCATATAGTCCTTTGACTGACCCATCGTTCGTTTTTTGTTTTGCTCTTTAGGTGCCGCCTGGCAATTGTAAGTATCATGGCTTCTTTGGAAAATGGAACATTGGATATGGAGAAAACGAGTATGTGTGAAGGATAGAATGCTTATGGTGCTTCTTTTTTCGTTTCTTCTTTTAGCCACAAGGCCGGTTAAACACCTCGCCTCTTTATCACGCACACACTTGATTAGAAGATCATCGAAAGAAGAAAAAGTGGGAATCCCTTTATCTCTCTTTGTTCAACATCCTCAATGCAAATAAACCGCAAAAGTCGCGCATACTTTTTCATGGGCGGATATGATGATGATGTTTTTTTGTCACCTGATTTTTCATTCACGGCTAATTTTCCCCATTTCCATCCCACATCAAGCGTTATCCAAATAAAGAGGAGGAAATCTAATCTATTACTGTAAAACTAAAACAAGTATCTATGGCAATGGTTGTGTGTGGTATCTATAATGAATCTTCTTCGATGCAAAAGCGACGCAATGTTTCGAGTAAATTCTTGGTGTTGAATGGCTTTGTCAGGTAACCATCCATGCCAACTTCGAGAGAAATATTACGAGCACTTTCTTGAATGTCAGCAGTCAAGGCCACAATGGGGAATCGTTTTTCTACGCATTGTTCTGTTTCCATCCGCCGTATCCTGCGAGTTGCTTCCACGCCATCACACTAATAAAATCCCCCATTCAATACATTGGCTCAAATCATGGATTGCTGGTGGTGGACTTACTTTTGGCATGTGATGATCAAAGAATCCCAGCTTGAAATACCCAGGTGGATGATTGACCCATGCATCGATGGCTTCGAGACCATTGTTGGCACATTGAACTTGAAATCCGAGACGTGTCAATTGCTTGTACAACACTTTTTGTGCAACTGGATTGTCTATATCATGCATGTGAGCATATGACTAAGATGCATCATCCATTACTTTTACCTTCAGCTGCAAGTACATGCATTTTACTAAATCGTGCTTTTTCTTCATCAGTGACCATTGTGGAAGGCTGTTTGGCTGCTTGTGGTGTTGGTAACGGTGTGGGCGACTGCTGCTGCTGTTGTTGTTGCACTAAACTACACATGGCTCTCAAAAGTTTATGTCGACGGATAGGAACTGCCATACGCACCATACTGGATGACGTCTTTTCTTGTCGTCTTTCAGCTTCAATTTCACCAATAGTAGGGTTGGGCCCTATTCGATGTTTCATCGTGCCATTGTTGTTGCTATTGCTGCTGCTAGGATAATGAAGCATAATGACATTGTTTGCACGGGCCAAGAGATCGTCCAGCTGCTTGCATGGTTTGAGAAAATGACCGACAATGACAACGGGATAATCATTTGCTTGGATTGTTGGTAGTTTGTCGACATCCCATACGCCGTCCACGTTCACTTCAGGTAACAAGTGTTGCACCATGGTCACTGTCGACTTGAATTTCGACGCTACGAGCAATCGTTTACCCCTCCATGCCATAAGCTGTGAGGCAATAACCTTGGCATGTTGCGCTTCTTGCTGAGGAACTCGCGTGGTTGTAATAGTAAAGTGGAAATTGGATCCAGCACCAGGTGTGCTCGTCACGTCAATAGTGTCCGACATCAACTCAACCAGCTGAAGACAAATGGATAATCCGAGACCTGTACCACCGTATTTACGTCTACGTAACGTGCATGATTGTAAGCAAAAGAATGATGAAGACCATGTGTAATGAAAACTTACGTCGTACTACCATCCACTTGTGAAAAGGGAACAAAGAGGACCTTGCGTTGCTCATTGCTGATGCCAATACCAGTGTCAACCACTTCAAATAGCAAAGCAGCATCATTGGGCCCGCATTTAGCTTGTCTTTCTTTATCAACCGAGCATCGAATCCATATTTCACCCTCGTGCGTGAACTACATCAAAAAAGAGAGTGAGCCAAACGCAATAATATCCTATGCATGATACATTACCTTGATGGCATTGCCCAATAAATTGATAACGATCCTACAAATGCGTGAGTTTTGATGCTATTCCAATTTTATGCGGACACACTTACTGTTTCAGGCGATTCGAATCGGCCATGACAACCGGTGGCACGTCCTTTTCAATGGTATATGTCACATTGATCTGCTTTTGTAGTGCCATAACGATAAGCATCTCAATAACATCGGCTACCAAGTCCTCGACCACGACAGGGGCAAGATCCAATGATACTTTGCGAGCTTGAAGCTTGGAAAAGTTGAGCAAATCATCAATGATCTGCAATAGCACCTCACAGGAAGATTTGGCAGTGAGCACCAAGTCCATTTGCTCATTGTCAAGTTTGGTATCTGCAAGTAAGGAAATCATGCCATAGAAACCAGAAAACGGTGTTCGGATCTCGTGGCTCATGTTGGCTAAAAATATCTCTCGTAGTCGTGTAGCTCTGTCAGCCTCTTCTTTGCTTCGTTTGACTTCTTCAAGGGCACGTTTTTGCATCTCGATCAATCTACATACATGGATTAGTATGAGCCATACGCTATTATAGATTGATCTTATTACCTTATTTTAGCCATGGTAGCCTTTTGTGCAGAGGTGAAAAGCGAGGCATTGGTGATAGAGATACCCATTTGTTGACATAAAAGACTAAGTACAGTGATGTGCCTTTGCGTAAAGATGCCGACAGGTCCTTCGACAAAAAGACAGCCAACAGTGCGATTGGTATGGTTGATAGGCATGCAAATGACCGACTTGCTCCCAGTGCGTTCATACCAAGGCCCGACAGCAAATCTTGGATCCTTTTCCACATCGGGGATGAATATGCTCTGCTTGCTGTGTAATGTGTGATGTACAATGCGGCTCGATATCAGCTCACGTTTGCTTGAAAGCTTCTTGGGTGGTTCATAGTATGCCACTTCAGGGTCCTCTTGGCTGCCATAGGCACGAATGCCATCTTGATCATCGCGCACAACAATAGCGCCGCAATCTGCACCCGAATTTTCGAGAATGATCTTCATCATGGATGTCATCAAGTTTTGGAACTTCACTTCGGATGACATGACCTGAGAGCTCTTGAGAATAGAAGCAATGTCGATCTACGTTGTAGAGATGAATAAGTATCATAGCTCTATTGTCGGCATGTTTGCCATAAGAGATACTTACAACATCCAATGTCATGAGCGTTTTCTCAGTGGTAACGTGTGGGATGGATTCGGCTACGAGCGGCTCATTGGCAGCAATACTATTATTGCCATTGCTGTTTTCATCTGATGACGTGCTCCAGGATTGTGCTGCTGTAGTAAAGAAAGGCAATGGTTCGGTTTGGACACCCGTGTCGTGTAATTCTCGTCGTTCATCAAGTCGTTCAGCCAATAAATCCGAAAACTTGGTGCTCACATGCCTCGCCTTGCCATAAGACCCATGACTCATGTATAAATCGATAGCCTACAATTCAAGTCAATACATCATTGGAAATGGCTCTTGGACAAAATTGGTTTTACCTTTTTGACATACATCACCGCGGTATTGTACATGCCAATACGCTGATAAAAAGCCCCTGCGTATTCGTGGATCACGCACAATTCCATCAACCACGAGCCTTCACGTGCTTCATCAATCGCCTTTTCATACAATCGACAAGCCTTGGGTATATCATGCTCGGCAGTCAATTCAGCTTCGATGGTTGTCCAATACATGACATAGTTGATCCTGCTGTGTGTGGCCCATTCATGGATCAATTCTTGGTTTTCCTTAATTTGGTTGAGCAAAGGCTGCTTTTCTTCAGGCGTTGCTGCCTCTCGCACCTTTTCCATCAACGCCAATGAAAAGTAAAACAACATCATGCGTGTGTGACGATGGTTGGGATGCACTTCGATGGTTGCCAGGCAACGGTATCCCATCTCGATAGCGGTGTCAAGATGACCATATAACACCAAAGGAATAATCTTGAAGGACTCGTACCAATTCATCACCAATTCAGGGTTTGAGCTTTGTCGACAACTCTCAGCCAAAAAATGCTCGTCGTTGAATCCATCATCTCCATCAAGCACTTGGGGCGTATCCGTATACGTGTGACCATTGAGCGCCTTACACACGCGAACGATGACCATGGCAAAGCTGTTCATATCAATCGATTGTGACCAAGCGTGGATGTCTTCAAAGCATGCTTCGGCATAGCGTAGCGTATCAGCAATATGATACCCGAGGCAAAACATGAGAATGGCGATATGGATTTGGTGGAATGATGTATAGATACGATCACCAGCAGAGAATGAAAACTTCATGCCATCCCGGTACCATTGGATCGCATCACGATGATGATGTCCCCATAAGATAAGAAACGCTGGATAGAGACTGTATGCACGTCCTTTGTCGCCGTTGCTTCCATACTTGTCTGCAAGTGCAATGCCAATAGTACCAAGTTTCTAGAATAGTATATATACCATCAATATTGAGTTGACCTTTTTGATCATTGAAGGATAACTTACATCTGAAAAGGCAAACTTTTTGAGATTGTTCGAATAGCATAAACCGGCAAACATCCATGCATTGCATGAGCCATTCGTAGGACCATAAGTAAGTGACATGGAGATGATGCGAATGGCCCAATAGTACATTTCACGCTTGTGACCGCTCCAATAAGACGTTGTTAACCTGTATACATAAATGTGGTCAGCCATCATCCCATTTAATAGTTCTTGGGTACTTACAGCTCTTCCATGATATACATCTTTGAGACCAGCATAGGATCCTTGGAAAGTGGAATGTCAAGAACGCCTTCTTTTCCCAACCTTTCCACTGTGTCTTGAACGTTGTTGTATTGCTCCTCAAGCCATTCATCAGTAAAGTCGAGCTGTGTGTTCTCGCCCAATTCCTCAAGGCATGAAAATAACGTCCTTCGTCCCTTTTGATGAAGCTGACACCCATAGTAATATCGCGCTTGGACACGATAGGCTGGTAGCCGATCGAGTGGATCTTTTACGTGTGCAAAGATGATGTCTAAAAGTCGTTCGGTGTCCTCGTATTTGCCCACAGCCCAGCTGAGAGCCACTGCATTCACATGCAAATTCAACGAGATATTGTATCCACCATTGGTTCGATCCCATTCATCCGGCAGCGTTTGACCAAGATCGATAGCAGCCATGTAATAACTGAATGCCATATCATGTGCACCTGATGAATTTCCCTTGTTGCCAGCTTCGATTAATACATGACGATAAGGCCTTTTGTCGTCCAGCGATAAAAGCAAGTGTGATGATTTAAGCAAGTGATCAGCCACCAAGAACAAATCAATCTCACGTTCTATAAAGTAGAATAAGCATTCCATCAACATGGGAAGCTGCAAGGTCCTTACCATTCATTAACCATTGTGCAATACTCAAATGGATTGTGTCTCGTGTACTTGGATCAGCTAATTCAGCAGCAGCTTGTGATATTCGATCATGGCTCCATTTGAATTCGTCTCCACCCACTGGCATGATGTATCCCTCTTGAAGAACGGTCTGCAATCCGCTGATGGGATCACTGCCCACGGATGATACGCTGGTGCCTGATCGATGTAAGCTGGGTCGTTGCATCTTGTCTCTTGCGCATTCATCATCGGTTGAGCTCATCATCAAATTTTTGACGGTGGTCCACGAGAATGTGTCTCCCACAAAGGATGCAAATTTGAGGACTTGTTGTGCATTGGCAGGTAGTTCACGTAACCGAGCAACAATAAATGTTACATCCAATTCGCGCATGTCGCTTTCGAAAAGATCTGCTTCTTGAATTTCTTGCAAGTTGTAATCCCATGCATTCTTTTCCCAGTTGAAAAAAATGAGTCGCTTTCGTTCCAATGTGCGTAACAGCTGAGCAGCGTAAAATGCATTGCCATGGGTGCGGTCGAAAATCACCTGGGCAAGGGGTATAATTCTACTACGGTCGACATTGTTGCGTGGTTGGTGTAGCGTGTCGAGCACAAAGTCGATGATTGTGTTCATGTCAAGTGGGCCAACCTTAATCATATGCACGTTGGCAAAAGGATTTTCAAGGAGTTGACTAAGCTTTGTGGTCATTTCCTGATCACGGTAGGAGACGAAGATAAGGATGTTGACCCTGGATGTCACCAATGTAAGCAAAATCTCCAATGATGGATCATCTAAATGAATGAATGTATGCAGGGTCAAATGTCAAACGCCTTTGTTCTTTCTCCAACCCCCTTATTCCTCACAATGATAACGATAATGTTGATCACCTTACCTGCTTGATGTAAATCGTCCAAGAACTACATATCATCATCATGATAATGAGGTGAGTGACAAGAAGATCATTGGTTTGCTGATGTTCTTTGATAGCCCCTTACCAAAGTAGTCATACGCCATTGGGTGATGGATCGAAACACCTCAACGTAAAGGTTATGAAAACGAAAACGAGCTTCATTGTTGTCCATTTGGATTTCCTCCCTTGGATTGACCCGATTACTGTTATTCTCCAGGAGCGGTTTAAGTTCAGGCACGAAATCAGCAAGTAACTCGACATTGAAGAACTGGGCACCCAAGCTTGTTTTCAAATGATCATAAAATCGCTTCATCTCTTCTTCACATTCTGAAAGAATCTGCTGCAAGATTTGTGATAGTGCTTTGATCACTGCACCATAGGGCACCTTGTTTCTTGAATCAAACTTGGCCGATGCTACATAACTATCATCAACGCGCCCCACATGTTAGATTTATGGCTGCCCCCCTTGTTTTTGTCTCCTTTCCTTTTTTTCCCTTGATGCTTACCCATGCTGTCGTGCTGTTGGTTGTACTGCGGTGAATAAAGTAGATTTGCCGATTCCTCCAGGTCCATATACACTAGCAATGGTAGCGCCTACTCGATTGATGCGTCGTGTATTCCCATTGCTTGTATTTGCAATATCACTATTGCCATCCCAACCACTGACATGGCTTGGCGTATGTATTGCTGATCGATGTCCATTGCTACTATCACGATCTGATGATGCCGCATCACTAAAGCTGTCAGTCTCGGTTGTCAATTTGCTGCTGTTGGCGCTGTATAATGATCGTGGTGGTGGTTTGTAAAGGCCGGCGCATCGTTCAATGATATACGCCATCTCTGAAATGACAGGTTCTCGGCCGTAGATCGTTTTTGGTAATGTAAATACAGAAGCAATATCATGCTGTGCAAGCGGAAATGATGTAATCCCATCCTATAATGATGATGATGACAAATAGCATCAGCAATGCGTGTTGCCAAGCAAAACAAAGTTTTTCTTTACCTCATCAGCAGCTTCAAGACGTTTAAGACATTCTTTGAGATCTGCCCGTACACCATGCGCACTTGAATATCGATCATCAGGGGCCTGTATATGGTATCATCATGTTAATCTATGATTTGATGATGTGAATGCAAGATGATGATACTCACTTTTTGGGTCATCTTTTCTACAATGCGTCCCACCACCTCGGGTATGTTAAGATGTAATTCATGCACCAGCGTGATCTTACGGCTCAAGATGCCATTCAAGATATCCAATGCACCTCTTCCTTCGAATGGGTGCCTCCCTCCTGTCAATAATACATAGAATACGATGCCCAAAGAATAGATATCGGATCGATGATCGGGGCAATAGGTGGTGCGGCCTGTTTGTTCTGGACTCATATAAACGAGGAGATCATCCTTGTTGACCGTTTTACGCCATCCTTCGCTTGTCAACAAGATGTCCTTATTGCTGGATGATCCAACTACGTTCCACATTTTGACGCGGTTGTCGGAGAATCGTATTGAAGCAAGTCGCACTTGGCCGTGAACAATCTGGTGGCGGTGAATGTAATCGAGGCAGTCTGTGCATTGAATGGCAAATCTTAAAAATGCGCCGAGATCATGTGGGCTTGGGAACGATTTGCTGCTGGTATTGTCATCAAGGTAAATGGCAGCTGTCAAGCCATTCTGTAGCTGAGTGTATTCCACTGGTCGTACTAGTAAAAAGATCACATGTCAGCCATTGTGCTATGTATCATTGTTGACATCCATCAACGTATAGTATACCACTCACCCACATGGGATGGTCCATCCGCGTATTGATAGAGTCGTTTCATGACATAGAATTCTCGTTCAAGACGAAATGACTGGCTCGATACTTTGGCAATGACCGATTGCTTCGTGGCGATCCTGCAAGAGTAGACGTAGTAGCAATGTCAATCGTGTGTGTGTGCTTTCAATAAAGTGGATTGGGGTCATTTACTTGTAACCGTGAATGAGGGCTACATTGTCTTCGTATGTGGCTGAGGTGGTTTTGAAATGGTATCCTGCAATGTGGAGATCGCCTACGAAAAGACACGAGCTTGATATGCTTGGAGTGTCAGTTGCTATGGAGCTGCCTGACTCCGAGAATGGCATAATTGGGATGAGAAGAAGAAAGAGAGAGGGAGATACATGGATCGATCAAGTGCCGCGATCCATGGAAAATCCATGCTGTGGGGTTGTGCGTAAAAGGGGTGATGTATTAGAGCTCCATTTTAGGCGTGGTTCCAAGCAACCACAGCTTGTTGTTACACAATCCTTTTCATGCTGCTGCGTTTATATCCTGCACAATGCATACTATACCTCTTTTACACCCCCGTAAGCTTAGTAAATAATGAGGAGTTAGCTATTGTGCATGGTAGATTCATTCATCTACTTGCCTCTCTCCCCCACTAAACAAGAATACCTGCAGTAATCAACATCCCATTTCCATGTGTCAGACCCGATCTAATTCTAAGATCTTGGCCCCCACCACCCCTTCTTCCATTATACATGTCTTCTTTGGTACATACATCCATCCACCCCCTTATTTCTTTCAGCCTCCTTCATTTGATTCACCTTTTACTATAAAGATAGCCTAATTTCTTCTTTATGAATGAAACCTTTCGATGTGAGAAATGTATTAGCATTGCACCACGCGGTCTTTTGGTCACTGAAACATTCACGAATTTTCTTTTGTTTGAGATCATTGCCGTCTTTTCGAGAACATTGGGTATCCCTATAACAATCATTTTATAGAGCACACACGATATACAAACACGCGTAAAAACGCCTCCCTTTCGTTGTATTCCTCAAGTCCAAGATGGAAGAAGGGTACCAAGAATGCTGCAGAAGGTGTCATGTGTGGAGGTGCGGAGCTCAACCAGTCATTTTTAGAGGAGATTGCAGCTGGTTTGTTCTTTCCTTCTCTCCCCCTTCTTACGCTGTCTTACCGCCATGAAGTTCCATCGAGCAGCAGCAACTGAAAAAATACGCCATCGTCAAAGCTAAGTATCGCTCATTTGAATATTCCTTTTGCAATGGCAAGTCTACATTGGGACCCTGCTCTACGCCGGAGAACTTTCTGGTTGACTCGTGGGAAGTGGCCTTCTCCCTCTTTGTCAGAGCTTACTTTTGTCATCAGCTTCCAGAAGCACCAAGGTGTCTATCAACAGCATGTTCCCTAGGAGACCATCAAAAGTAAGATCAGGCAACGCATGCAGCGACATCCTCGCATACCTCGTTATAGTTTCCTCGTCCTTGGATACTCCCAATAAAACTTTGTGCTTTATTATACGTTGGTTATGCATGATGCATTGATCGAGTACTCACATGTCATTGCCAACAGCACACTACTACGAGTTACTGTATTGTGGTTCACCCATTTATCAAGGTATGAAAGAAGATGGATGGGGCTATTGAATAAGAGATGGTGATTAACAATGATTTTCATTTAATGAAGTATACGACATGATGACCCGTTTGGATGATGCCATATCAGCTATAAAGTACACTGCAGTACAGTACATCGGCAGCGATCCCATGACTCTTTCAACCAACGTATTGGACTTGCGATGATTATGGATGGATGGATGCAGCCAAGTGCAGCGATGAGAGAGGAATCCTGGAATGTTGCCCTGGTTACTTGGCGCGTTGTCAGCATGTACGATAGATCAAATCACATAAAAACTATTTTCCAATCATGGATGAAGGATGTTTATGACGGCAGCAGCATGAATACTACCACACAATTATCCCTGTTGCTTCTATGCGATTCACACGTATCTCCTTCAATTTGCAACGTTGTTCCTTTATCATATCTACATCATAAACATCCACACTACCAAGTACTGCATATTCTTCGACTTTTCCATTGGATGGAGATCGGATTTTAGAAGGGTATCGTGCTATCAGCTCACATGTGCGAGATAGGGATCACTTGGTTGGTTGGGTGAGAAGAGTAATCGTATTTGAAAGTTGAAAAGCGAAGATTGGATCATTTACATCATCGGATCAAGATGCTTTTGTTCTTTTGCCACAACTTTATTAAATACATTCACTAAAGTCTCCTAGTTCACATGATGATAGACGAATGCTTGTATGGCAAAGATAATAATTATGAGAGTGATGCCCAACATTGTGCTTGTTACAGAAGCTTGGTTCATTGTAAGTTTAATTCATTATGTACAAGAGAAGGAGCTGTGATACAATGTGACTATACAAGAACGAGCTACGCATTACGAGCTATCATAGGCGGACCTTACTGTGAGGGAAGGAATCGCGGCTCATGCACTCTCCACCAATAGGATCGACCCTTCCAAGTCGCGTTCTCCCCGAACTTCGTGACACACACAAGTGCTTCTGCATCTTCGGCTCTAAGGTGAGTGAGCTACTTGATAATGAACAAAGACCTCTTTTCATATATCATCACGCTTACAGCATATGTAAAACATAAAGGTGCCTGTCTCTCTAAACTTTACAATCAAACGTGGGGTCTTTAATAGAACAGAGTTGCTCGGCGGGGTCAAAGCGATCTTGTGTCAAAGTATGAAGTTCATCGTGGCCATTCCCAGATTCACCCAATGTCGCTACCAGCCGAAAAATTTTTTGGTCGTCGTCGAAAAAAATTCAAGAGGTCGACCCCCCGAATCCAATTTGGGCTGGTGGCGACATTAGCGAAATCTGGGATTGGCAAGCTCGATCGCGAAACTGGCACACATAATTCCTTTGACCCCGACGAGCAGCCTTGTTCTGTTAGAGACCCCACGCTTCATTGTAAAGTTTAGAGATACAGGCACCTTTATGTTTTACATATGCTGTAAGCGTAATGCTATATGAAAGGTGGTGTTTGTTCATTGTCGATAGCCTCACTCATATGTGTCAAAATGCAGAATGACTCGTTTGTGTAACTTAATACCAAGAGGATGGGACTTGGGAGGGTCAATGCTATTGGTGGAGAAATGCATGATTGCAGTAGCCCCATCCCTTATAGACAGGTCCGGCTATGATTAGGATAGCGTTAGCTGAAAACTGTCATAGGTAAGCATGTTATCCATGTACTCGTGTCATGTTGTGTAACAAGCTCATTCTTTCTAGAAATACAATGAATTAGGCTTACAATGAACTATGATTCTGGAACAATCAAGCACAGCATGTTAGGCATCGTCACTCTCAGTTATCTTTGCAGTATAAGCGTTCGACAAACGCTACTGCCTTTCGTCTATTATCAGCATGTGAGCTACTAGGAAGCTTCAGTGAATCTAATAATGTTGCGGCCAACAACAGCATCTCAATACGAAGATTAAATGATCCAACTTCGCTTTCCAACCTTCAATTCTACTCTCCCCTTCAATCCAGAAACCAACCAAGTGATCCACACCTTGCTCATACGAGCTGATAGTATGATATCCCAAATATTACGTTGAATCCAAGTTCATTCAATGAAAAAGTGGAAGAATAGTACATGGTAGTATGTATATTTATCAAGTAAATGTGACAAAGGAGCAGTATTGCAAAACGAATAAGATATGGGTGGATTGCATAGAGTCAACGGGTGTCATGGTATCCTTGGTTGCTGCATTCATAATCATCCTTCATCTCATGATTGCAAAATAGCTGCTGCATGCATTGAATCGAGTACTCCAGTACCATCCATGGTGAACAACCATCCCTCGTAAAGATAAAGGGGTCCCAACCAATCCATCATCATCCTCGGCCCTATCCACGTGACATGATCCATCGTTCCTGCTGACAAGGCGACAAGTAACCAAAGAGACATTCCATCTTTCCCTATCGCTGCACTTGGTTGCATCCATCCATCATCACCATTGCAAATTCCATACGTTGGTTGAAAAAGAGCCATGTGATCGATGCTGCTATGCTTCCTTTTCCATCCGGCTGTTGGTCTATCCTTTCCTTGATCATTTCTTATTGCAGCTCAACCAGGTGATAGATTGCTTGTAGTGTGGTGTACTTGAAAACTGGTATGGCATCATCCATAGGAAGCAAGTTGCTGCACGTAATAAAGCTGCTTCAACACGGTGGCTATCTGCTGTTCACGTAAAGAAGGGCTGCAAGGCACGTTGCTGCATGTGAGTAACACTGCTTGAGGCAATAGAGTGACAAGGTTGCAAATACTGCTTGAGACAATGGTGTGTATACCTTGCGGATTGCAACTGTTGGAATGAACGTACGTTTGACTATCGCAAAGTATTGTGCAAGACAAAATGCAGTGTCATGAACGGGTGTGTTGTGGTGGGGTGCACATGCCATGGAGTTGCCATTCAGTCAAAGACAATTGGTTCAAGACAATCGTAGTATTGACATATGGGCCGAAGCAGGACAATCGTTCGCAGGTGGTAGTTGTGCTTGAATGGAGCAACAGTTGAGAATGGGAGGAGAGTGGAAGAAGTGGAAACTTAAGTAGGCTGAGCTGTCGGACACCTCTTGTATAAATACACGAACACTGTACATCAAACCTTGATATTGAGATTGCCCCCCTCGTACCTGAAACCTTCACACAAGGTGCTCTCGGACATGCTGATCAGCCTGTTCACAATAAAGACCTCGCGCTTCATTATGAGAATTTAAAGGGGAGCGTCTGACGATGAATGGAAGAGAATACAAGTAGTGCGGGTGCGGTCCATGACCTTGAGATTGCCTTTCTCGAACTTGTAACTTTCATACAATGTGCTCTAGACCACGCCGATCAATCACGTTCCCGTAAATCCTCTACGATTCATTATGAAAACAATGGGGGAACCTATACTGTAATAAGTGGGATGGAGCTGTTGCTGCTAATTGATTGTATCCGGAGAAGGTACTCTCAGCGTGAATTAGCACTTGGTGGTTACACACGCGTCGTTGACAGGTTGCTGCATAAATGGGATCATGATTGCCTGTAGAAAGGTACGTAAACAACATCCAATAAAGAAGAAGATGTATCAATGTAATTGGTTATGCACAATCCATCCATGTTGAGTAGTGGTGGAAGGGATCACATATGGTTGGTTGAGCTGATATCATTGCAAGATGAGCTTTATTGATCCACTTCTACTACTGCTATTATAAGTCTATAGGTTGACAAAGGATTGCATGCGGTATGGGATCACGTGAAT